GAAGTTGCAGGACTGTAGGGCAGGTGCAAAGCAAACCTAAGCTAATGACACTTTTTAGGTTAGTTTTATTCCTGTACTTATAACCTTGTTTATTTATGTGCTTGTCTTGTGCACACTGACGGCCTTTTGCAGACGTATCTGTGGAAAATTAACCTCACAGATGGGATCTCAGACACCAGAGCTCGGGATATCAGAGCTCCTGGAAGTTTATTCAGTTTCTTCCAGGTTTTTTCAGACAGAACAAAATCAGGATATGGTTTATATAGTCAACGTTTACGTCACACATACATCATACATGGAAAAACATACGTGTCACATCAAGAGACAATCAGAACATAACAAAACATCAAAAGAACATAACGGACACACAATCATAGCAGATACACAATCAGGTTGTGACCTACGCAAGGCCAGATCACTTGTATATCTATCTAATTCCCATACATCCTATGTGGTTTTACTGCAAATGGCAAATAAAATAAGTCTGAATCAGCTGATTGAACAATGTGAGTTTTAATTGTTTAAAGATTAGATAGATATTATTTCCACCAGTTCTTGTTAGTCATACTGGAGGACAGAGCCGAGGCAATACAACTACAACTTCCTTCAAACCCAAAACATCAATGTATCATGTTTACCAAACATGTTCAGAGTGTTTAATTATTTCCAACATGAATTACCAAATGTCACTACATAGAATTTTCTTGCAAATAATTCATTTATAATTACGTATTACAATATTGTACATTATTCAAACTTGAAAACGGAAGGGAAGAAGAAAAATAGAGATTTTAGATTCCCACCCCTGTGAAAATCATATTTACATCTGTGTGTTTGGAGACAGTAAAGCAATGTGCAACAACACGACGGCAACCAGCAGCACAATGAACCCAGCCAATCCCGACGCAGCATGTTGTATGAACATAGTTGATTCTTCCATCTATGAATGCATTTATTTGGACGGAAAAGTGTGTATTAATAAACAGTAGCTGTAAATCCACCAGACAGTACCTTTGTAGTTCATCTCCATTTGTAGTTGACATATTAGACAAAGCTGTTCCGTCCCTATGATTACTGCACTTACATCTTTATCTTCTTGAGTTGTAGCTGTAATCACCTCCAAGTGGATCAACATTCCTCTGTGCAGCCCTGGGAGATCACCCCTAGGTGGCAGTGTGCCTCCTGAAAACAGTCCCAGCGTCATTACTGCCAATGAAAAGCTGTCTTTTATTTGCAGACGGCCGGAGGAGCTGCAGAGGAGCAGATAAGTTATGATGAGCCTTGGTGCGGGCCTTTAAACAGCAGAGCGATAGGATCAGTCAGGCGGCCAGTGCATGTATAAAGTTACCCTCATCAAAGGCTCTTGAAGGAGTTTGAATAGAGGATGATGGCTGCACTGCCTCTGCTTAGTGCCGTCATTTGGATGTGGCGCCAGGGCAGAGGAAACCCACTGAGACACACAACAACCCGCGCAGACACAGGGGTCAGCGCTGCTCCACGCCCCGCGACCGTTCCCAGGAGAGCGGCTTCTCCTCGGGACCGCGCATCTCTGCTTTTTCATATCCGCCACAAGGCCAGCAATCTACAAATTCAAAATACACATAGAAAAGAATAAGTTTGGACTAGATTACAACCTGATCTTGTGTGCACACTAATACGTGCACATAAGTTCAGGTAACTGCATGTGCATTATTCAACACAGTTTATATTATCACTATATCATACTGATGTAAAGTCTCACAAAATGCTAAATAACGAATTAAATAATTAGGTGCACCAAATTATTCTCATTGGGATTCACTATATTAAAATCACATGTGGAGGTGTGTGGGGGTTATTTACTCGTTATTTTGAAAATTACTGTAATATATTCCCTTTTGAAGCAACTCATTACAAAAGTTGAACATTGGTCAGATATTACGACAATCAAAGTAACTCAAGTCAAGATGCTGGTAAACGTAAAGTAAGTGCAAAGACTGATTTGAGGAATTACAGATGATTATTATAATTAATACGGAGCGATTCTCATGAAAATTCAAGAATTTAATTTAGATGTTATTCATGTATCTATGTTTATGCCGGGTACTAATAATACACATTACAGTAACTTATACCCTACACTGATACTGGTTAATAGTCATGTTTACTTTGCACTAGCACTTAAAGTTTCCCCTTATATAGTCGACAACACATAAAATATTTACAAACATACAACAACAAGCTGCTATAATGCTTGGTGATGAGATTTTCTTTTTTTTAATCAGAAAAGGCTACAAGTTACTACAATGTACAGTTCATAAAAATAAACAAAACATTCGAACATGATCCCTGTTTTTTATTAATATTACTAATTAATAATAATAAGGATGATAATAATCAGAAACGGTCAAGGTCAAGTTATTTCTTATATAGCACATTTTTACAAAACGGGTCAAACACTTGTCTCCATAAACCGCATAAACAGTAATAATGACAGCTTTTTGTCCAACCCCATTTGAGTGACATCAGTGGAATTTGGTTTTGGTTGCTCTTATTGGCTAAACCATTCTTGGCAAGTGTCAGAAGGAATGCATGGGGACTCCAAGCGGTCAGGACAAATTAAACCTCCAACCTGCTATTTTACTGTTCAGCTCTGATGATGCTATAAAGTGGGGGAAAATAGAGAGGGTTGATTTTATGTGATTTTCCCCTGGCTCCATATCTAAGCCTTTTTGGCACAGTATGTTATGCCTTGTTCAAGCATAAGATCTGTAAATGCCCCTATAAATTTCTTTAGCACGTTATATGGTTCCATGCCCTAGGCCAAGAGCATTCAAAGTATGTCACAGGGGACCAGCAGGGAGCTAAAGAAGCCCACAGGCAACAAAAAAAGTGTAATAGATTTAATTAACAAGCATGGGTTCTCACACTCATGCAAACCATTAAAACACTGACATAACACCAATTGTGACTCTGCCATTACAGCAAACACACAAACCTCCACACATCTCCGGGTTTAGAGCCACGGTGGGAAATATGTGCGTGTCAATGAGATGCGGGAGTGGGCCAGAGATGGAGAAAGGATGTGGCGTTGAATTGCTTAAGTAAACTTTGAAGGAAGACAGAATTTGGGGTTTGAACTTTATGCATGTTTAGGATACATTACAGAGTTGACTTGAATCTGAAAGCGTAGTACATTTATTCTGTTTAAGCCAAAAGGTTCAGACGGTATGGAGCTCGTCTCTGTGTATGTTATTGCAATGCCTGGAATGTTCCACGGTTTTGCGGTCAACTTTCTTGCATTTATTCAGGTACGTGGGTGTATATCTTGCTACAGAAAATAGCTTGGATTGCCTCTGCATAGATCTTAATAGATGTATTTGAAGCTTGTGTTCATGCAGAGGCAACCCCGCATGAAACAATACTGGCAACATAACAATCTCTACAAAGAGGAAGCAGTAACATTTTCACTGGAAATTAAATTCAACAAAATTAGAGTATTGTTGAAAAGTTCATATATTTCTCTTATTCAACTTATAATGTGCGACCAATATTTAATAGACTCATTACGTGCAGTTCTATCTGTGGTTCTTTACACTAAGAAGATATTTTGACAAAGGGATCACTTTTACTTTATGGCTTTATGACTTTATTATCATTTAATCATTTATAATTACGTGCCTGTTATTTCAGAATAAATTACCTAATATTGTTCTTGGTTCTTGATAAAGAACCATCAACGCTGCAAGTTGATTATATAATGAAAATTATTTCAGGAACCAAAAAAATAAATGGACTGGCAGGGCTCGTAAGTGCATTTCCAAAATATTCAACATTTTTGGAGATGTTTCATTGGGGTTTTTTTTTCAAGCAGTGAGCCAATTGTCAACATGAAGTCATAGGTTGAATTACAGAAGTAATTGTTTTCAGAGTTTTACCTGTACAGTACAATATAGAATATGTTTACACTGATATGATGTATATTAGTTGAAGAAGAGTAAAAATCCTCGTCAGTCCACATTTGACTTCCAACACTGCATAAACAGTGGATGCCTGATGAGAGATTTAGATCACACATTAAACACATACACAACGGCAGAATTACTGCAACAACATGCGGTAAACATCTGGAGATGGGTCCCCAGGCGCTGGTGGGAAGGACGGGTCAAAACAAATGCATGGGACAAATTTCCCTTCAGGGAAAATATTAAAATCACGTCGTTACAAATGCCCAATGCAACAGCCCAAATTTTTTAAAGACACAACAAAGTAAAAAATAAGTGAAAGAATAAGGGTGAATACAGTATTTAATTTTGAAGATATATTATATAACATTTCACTATTAAAAATTGATTTGAGTTAAACCATTGCACATAATAAATTGTTGCAGCTTCAACTACATACATGCAATTAGTTAGAAATGTATGGGTCCTCATTTTTTAGCAATATATATATATATATTTTCACAGGCAAAGCGTACCATTTGTACAAAAAGGATAGCAAAAAGTATCCACTGTTAATTATGTAATTTACTACAAGAAAAAAAAAAGATTAACATGAAAAAAATATTTGTCTAAACTCTATAATGTTAATGCACTTCTTCAATGAATTAGCAGACAAAAGATTTACAACTGTGAGTTTATGAAGTACATTCATCTTGTAACATGACAGCGCATTTGCTGTGTGCGCGCCGCTGTTTTAAAACCTCCCCCCAGTTAAGATCTGAAACTTTCTTTTCGTCAATGGCCTGGTTTCAATACATTCTACAAATGACAAACAGGAAACATATTTGCTCTGCTTTGACTACATGGGTGAAATGTGCTCATGCTGTAAAAAGGCCCAGTCCAGGGGTAACATTCCCTTAGATCACACCTAGTTGTCCGGTTATACAAATTGCTGTATGCCAAGTCACCTAAAACCCCTAATACAAGCAAACACACACGCTGTATAATCCCAGCTCCAAACATTATGAATAATCTCAGGGACATTCATAGTCCTGTCCTCTTCACCGGCTTTTATCCTCACTTGTCCTGGTCCATGGGGTACTGAAGAGCTTGGGTATTATGGGCCTCCTTCGGGGCACTGAACACTGGTTTCCATGGAGACTGGAGGCTGGTCCTCTTGACCTGGTTCAGGGCAGACAGCAGTACGCTCTGGTCCCGGCTCTGGTCCACAGTTTGCTGTTCGGTGTAGTACATCTCCAGAGCGGCCGGGCTGCAGTGTTTTCCCTGAAGAGAAAGACGGTTAGAGGCAATTAGGTTGTGGTCATGTTGTAGAGACCTCTTTCAGTTGGAGGGAAAGTACCAATAACAAACAGATCAGGTCTAGATTTTATTATTTGTCTGAAAGTCTTTTGTATGGGCCAACATCATGCCTATGAAGACGAGGATGTAGAACTTTATTTGACAAGTAGTGTGGCCCGACTGGTAAAAGACTTTAATCGGACTTTTGACAGCTACCATTGTTACCAGGAAAGATATTCCAGTTGCCCTCAGCAATAATGTTAAACTATGGGCTCTTTGGAATGTTGTGATGTCACACAAACGCAACCTATGGGACAAATGCGATCCTGGCCCAATCGCAGAAAATCAGATGTACAAACAATTTCCTATTTAGCACTCATTTAAGGAGGATAACCTGTATTAAAGCTGGAGTAGCTAACTTTAAAACCACAAAAAATGAAGCATGTCTATAAAAGCCTTGCTCTCACATCCCGAGATCAGGGTTTTCAGTGAGAAAAAGAGTACCAGCTCTCATTCAACCAATAAGCTTTCAGTTTGTAATATATCACGTGTTTTGTATCGAGACAAAAACATGTCGTGATTTTTTTCAAATTTTATGAAAACAAACTAGTCAGTAGGTATTCCAGCTTTAACGCAATCACTACATGTAAAATAGGTAAGCAAATATTATAATTGGTTAACAGTTTGAATTTTTACACAGTAAAGAATAAGATATTATAAATAGCTACAATATCAATGTCAACACAGAATATACGAGTAACAATAGTGCATCAGGAGGCATAGGATTCATTATTTTTGTTTACTAAAATGGTAATTTTGTTTACACATTGTAGTCGTACCTACAGTGTCCAAATAATTTCCATTGTGGATTAATAAAGTTTGTGCAAGTATTTTTTTGCAATAAGAGATCCTGGTTATCTAAAGGTAATTACATGAAGGCATATACTAAATAACTAAATCTCTAAACTTGTAAAAAGAGCAGTTCTAAGCAGCCAAACTTCAAACATCTCATCGGAAGAGCCCCCTCTACACCCAGTCGCTCCCCCTCTCCGTTAAGCCTTTAATCACAGTTTAGTCACGCTCAGCCTAATTAAAGAGCCCTTGAATTCACAGGCTGGTATGCTAGTCTCTCCCTGCGCAGAAAGCGGGCTGAGATGCTCCTCACTCCTCCTCCCTGCAATTTTAAACTGCGAGACTCTTAAACTAACATGCGTACAATATGCCCTAAAGGTGAGTTTAAGATAATGAGATTTGGTTTCCAGGCTTTCCAGCTTGAAGAATGCTATTCAAATGGCATATGAGCGAGTGTGCTGGGAAACAAATAGGTATGAGGGAAAGCAGTGAGAGGGAACTAATACTAGGATCATACACAAAAGATAGTCCCGCTGTGAAATAAGCCGCGACTTATTCACACAAAAATCAAAGTTAATCTTGCAACAATTTGTCTGTGTTATATGACATCAGCTTTAGACCCATACAAGACTTAATAGAGATACTAGAAGTACTCTGACAACTATGTACTAACAAAAAATATATTCCTTTTTGTTTATAAGCAACATACAGAGAACTTGCATGAAATAAAAAATAAATGTCTCAAGGAGGGAACTCGAGGAGGTAGATCATTGATTAAAGTCACATAATTGATCATTCTAAAAGTAAATAAAAACTTTTTTAGGGGTTTTATGGGGCTTTCATATTGCATTAGCTTTACTATATGATTATTTGTTCTTTTAGAGTGCCAGTTTGAACTCCAAGGCAAATTTGGCTCTGCAGTCCCTGGGAAAGGTGTGAAGATGCCATTAAATTAGATAAAAATTAGTAAATAAAATATATTATAAATGTGTACTGTGATTCGCAAAGTGGGGTTCTGGGCTACCTGGGGCTTCAGAAGCACTGCAGAGGGGTCCTAAAAAGGTTGTCCACACAACCAGTTGTAAGGATTTTAAGTAAATCTACAATTATTATTATTACAGTACAATTACTGCCCTTAGATAAAATCGTGTATCTTAATTAACTATTTGGATGTTTTTTGAAAGAAAACCATTATATATTGTTCAGTATAAAGTGTGACTCAAATGATAGAATTTAGGAACTTCTGACTGACTCAATATATTAAAATATCTAAAGGCAAGGTGACTCCAAACAGGTAGTCACTAGAGGGAAAGGACTATGGAACAATGGCCATTGGACATACAAGATAATTTTGGTTTTGTGTTAGGTTTCAATAATCGGTAAACTGCAACGTAGATTTAAGTACTTCAATAATAGATATGCATCAACAATATGAATGGTTCAATGTAAAATGTAATGTTTCTTCTCATGGGAGAAATCCATAATAGCCTAATAACCTCAGTGTGAAGACCTACCTTGAGGATGAATCCCTCGGGGCATGTGAGCTGGTCGTACCACATCTCCTTGTACATGAGCAGCAGCAGCAGACTGGTCAGAAAGCCCAACGTCAACAGAATCAGCCCTGTGATCTGCAAAACACACGCATGTCAAAACTCTATCGGAACAGTGAGTCTTGATGAACCATACCTTTGCTTTCTCTGAGACATCTCTGTAAAAATTAATATTAAGCTTCTTAAGATTGGGCATAAACAGTTGCCGTTTCTTCTGCTGCAGTTGGAACTGTGTCGATGTCTTCACAATGACCTACAGCAAAAGGTAGAAATATCATCAATATCTGTTTAAGGGTCAAGTTAAAGTGAACCAGTCCAACAAGTGTGAACAGGCACTTAATGTATTCTTCAAGTATGTAGTATAATATTTGAACTGCTATCTTAGATTTTCGTTGTAATCCATTATAATATAATGTAATAAGAAAACATTATACAATATACCTTGTCGGTGAATGTTTCCTGTAGCTGGTTTACTTCCAGAGGAGTGATGAGGGGAATATTATCAAATCCATCATCCACTGAGGACTGCTTGTCCAGTTTATCCGATAGATTTGCTCCGAGCTTCACCATAGCTGCTTCAAATATGTCCGATTCTAAAAGGAAAAGGGTGTTTTGTGCAGGTTATAGTGGCTGTTGTCAAATCCTTGTGTAGCACTTATTTTAAAATCAAACAAGCAGGTGGAATCATGTTAGCTCACTAAAAAATGAATCCCAAACATGTAAAGCTTAAGCTGAAAAACACATCAATATAAACGCTAAGTCAATACCAGCCACAAGGCTCCACTCCACGGTCCCAGACAGGGAGATACATAATTTGTCATAACTTACATTTGCTTTCTTTCTTCTGATGCAGCCTTATCCTTCAATCACGGCTCAACATGTGAAAAATAGCCCTCCTCATAATACATTGCACACATACTAATGACGAATATAAGTGTTGAGGTGTGTGGGTGGTCGCCACTGCTGACCATACTGAGAGCAAAGTGTGCAAGCAGTGAATCATCAAGACATTGTGTAACCAGCACTGGTGATACTGATCCCACACAGAACAATCCCAATGTAAAATCTAACAAATACATTCATGATTACAATACAGCAGGGTTACTTTTCTATATAAAGCTTATTCTATTTTCACTTTGCGGTTTGTAGTTTGGTGTTAAGGCACGACTGAACTTGGTGCAGTAACAACAGACACATAAGGCTCATGGCGCTGGAATAATGTACGCCGAGCTTTGTAAGGCACATTCATGTTTATTGGTCGAATCAATTTAATTAAGTATCACCGCGGCGACGCTTGCCTGTGATACAGTGGTCACGTCTATAGTGTCTCGTCAAACGTTACGCATGGCCTTTACTCAGCCCAACTGGTTTCCTTTAGAAATAGTGCGCCTTCTCCAAAAGAAGACATCAATAACTCGTGCTTTAATAAATGGAGAGGACTTACGTGTTGGTCTCGCTGCTCCTGGTGGCGGTGGATGCTGAGGCTGGCCGTGAACGCACCGGTTGCCGTGGTGATGATGTGATTCACAGCGGCACTGCGCATCAGTGCAGCACGCGCTCCGCAGTGAGGTCACGAGGACCTGCGAGTGGATGACGTGGCGAGACTATATACATACTGTCGATATGGTGTCTATGGTGTATATATAAATGCAGTCCCAGATATGCTGTTTATATATCTGTGTGTATAATATCTACCCTGTAAATCAGTGTTGGGTGTAAATAATTAGTTCCTGTAATTAAATTAATTTTTTTGAGTCACCAAATGTGACGCATTATTTGAAAATACTTATGAGTATCTACTATAGTATTATAGTACTAGTATAGTAATAATACACTATGATTAAAGATTATTATAAAAATCCAAATGTATTAGTTACTCGCAGAACTATCTCTATAAACTATATAAATAAATACAAAGTAATGTAACTTGTTGCATTCTTGAGAGCGTAACTAAGCTAAAAAGTAAAGTAATAAGTAAAGTTACTTACCAAACACTGCAGTCAATAAAACTAAATGTACTATGGGTTGTACCAGGATGTATTATCCTTTGACCTCGATAGCACTCGTTTTTCTTCTTTTACTTACATGTCAATGGTAAAATACACATGTTAATACCAGACCATAGCTGGAAATGTAACTCAAAGTTAAATGTGATGTTGAGTTTATTTTAAAGAGTAAGTAAACTAGCTCATTTGTCTAAACCTTCAAAGCGGTTTAACTAGGACTACAGAGACATCTAGTGCTCATTTGTAAACGTTGCAGGTTTTTATGGAGACTTGAAAGGATAGGCCTATTTCAGCAGTGATCTAAAAACACACTCACAAATATACCAACAGACGGGAATGCTTTGGAATAAATCTATTTATTTTTGAAAAAAATTCACATCGGACATATAAAGAAAACACAATATATAAATAAAAAAACACAACTAAATTTAAATTATTATCTTCGAGAGATGGATCTTGGTACTTCTAAATAGAACAAATGATACATGGAATTAGTTGTTTATTTGATCGTATTATAAATTGAAAAAGTGGAATATAAAAATGAAATACCAGGGATTTCGTGAGGCCAAAACTCATCACAAGCTGGACAGCGAGGCTCAACTCTGCCCTTGAAGTACCTGGCAACGCAGGGATTGTGTATTTTTATCCCACATGTGGGACTGTCGCAGATCTGGCTCTATATAAAAATACAGATATCAAAAGGTCAGATCCTAATGATTGAGAATATAACATGTTAGAAAACAGACTCACCTGAAAAGCAATGTTGTGACATATGTGACACAATTTGACTTGGTCTTCATACATTCTTCTGATGTATGGCTCCATCTCAATGATACATTTGGTAGACAAGGAAAATTCTCCTCTTTTCTGAAAACCAAACACAAAGAAATTCAAATACTGTCCTGTGATGCACAATGTAATCCACATGTACCTCATTGAGCCACTTATCCTGCACAAGCCGGTTCAAAACCTGCTCTGCTTCACTTTTCTTGAGTCTTTTGGTCATCAGAGAGTCAGCGATGTTCAGGGCATCGGTGGAAGAAATTTTCCCATTTTCAGAGCTCACAATGAGATCCATCTGCGTACAAACCAGCAGAATGACCATGTGACAAAAAGAGATCGCTATTTACCAAAAAAAAAAAAAACTTGCTACCATGAAGGAGACTAAACATTAGCAAAGTGTTGGGACCACTTACCGTTTTTCTAAATAGTTCCAGTTCATTGTCTGCATAATCAGAGGACATTCTAGTGATATCAGTCTCAGCCATGTTCACCTGCAAACAATGAACAGCAAGTACAGTGGGGCAAAAAAGTATTTAGTCAACCACCGATTGTGCAAGTTTTACCACTTAAAATAATGACAGAGGTCTGTAATTTTCATCATAGGTACACTTCAACTGTGAGAGACAGAATGTGAAAAAATAATCCAGGAATTCACATTGTAGGATTTTTAAAGAATTTATTTGTAAATTATGGTGGAAAATAAGTATTTGGTCACTTCAAACAAGGAATATCTCTGGCTCTCACAGACCTGTAACTTCTTCTTTAAGAAGCTCTTCTGTCCTCCACTCGTTACCTGTATTAATGGCACCTGTTTGAACTTGTTATCTGTATAAAAGACACCTGTCCACAGCCTCAAACAGTCGGACTCCAAACTCCACTATGGCCAAGACCAAAGAGCTGTCGAAGGACACCAGGAAAATAATTGTAGACCTGCACCAGACTGGGAAGAGTGAATCTACAATAGGCAAGCAGCTTGGTGTGAACAAATCAACTGTGGGAGCAATTATCAGAAAATGGAAGACATACAAGACCACAGATAATCTCCCTCGATCTGGGACTCCACGCAAGATCTCATCCCGTGGGGTCAAAATGATCATGAGAACGGTGATCAAAAATCCCAGAACCACACGGGGGGACCTGGTGAATGACCTGCAGAGAGCTGGGACCAAAGTAACAAAGGTTACCATCAGTAACACACTACGTCGACAGGGAATCTAATCCTGCAGTGCCAGACGTGTCCCCCTGCTGAAGCCAGTGCATGTCCAGGCCCGTCTGAAGTTTGCCAGAGAGCACATGGATGATACAACAGAGGATTGGGAGAATGTCATGTGGTCAGATGAAGCCAAAGTAGAACTGTTTGGTATAAACTCAACTCGTTGTGTTTGGAGGAAGAAGAAGACTGAGTTGCATCCCAAGAACACCATACCTACTGTGAAGCATGGGGGTGGAAACATCATGCTTTGGGGCTGTTTTTCTGTTAAGGGGACAGGACGACTGATCCGTGTTAAGGAAAGAATGAAAGGGGCCATGTCTTGTGAGATTTTGAGCCAAAACCTCCTTCCATCAGTGAGAGCTTTGAAGATGAAACGTGGCTGGGTCTTCCAGCATGACAATGATCCCAAACACACCGCCCGGGCAACGAAGGAGTGGCTCCGTAAGAAGCATTTGAAAGTCCTGGAGTGGCCTTGCCAGTCTCCAGAACTCAACCCCATTGAAAATCTGTGGAGGGAGTTGAAAGTCCGTGTTCACCGCTCTCGAGAAGATCTGCATGGAGGAATGGACCAAAATACCAACTACTGTGTGTGCAAACCTGGTAAAGACCTATGGTAATTGTTTGACCTCTGTTATTGCCAACAAAGGTTATATTACAAAGTATTGAGTTGAATTTTTGTTATTGACCAAATACTTATTTTCCACCATAATTTTCAAATAAATTCTTTAAAAATCCTACAATGTGAATTCCTGGATATTTTTTTCACACTCTGTCTCTCACACTTGAAGTGTACCTATGATGAAAATTACAGACCTCTGTCTTTATTTTAAGATGGAGAACTTGCACAATCGGTGGCTGACTAAATACTTTTTTGCCCCACTGTATTTGTCCTCAATCTGCCTTGAACATTATAATGCCAAACATGAAAAACACATAATATATTTATTGCACATAAATTTACATCTGGATTTTGGTCAACTTGGTGTAATAAAAAGTATTCAAAATCAATAGCGAGTGACCCAGCAGCAACTATATACCGGTAATGATGGCTGAAATGGTACAAACTTACTAAGGCGTAATACTGCCGTCCATTAACCTCAGACATTCCTTTTCTTATCTGCATAAACATGAGCTGGAGTTTAGCGTTGATCGTATCAATAAAATCATCTAACTTGTCAGGAACACACGGAACTGTAAAACAGAACAAAAGCAACACATTGCAGAGTAATTCACAAAGGTATGCAGTGGGGCTTGGGCCTCCAAGATCAAATGATCTATTAATGTAAGTTGGGATATTCATTCTTCCCTACAAGGACCCCTTTGAGGAGCTAAAACAGATAAAGACCAGGTAATGGAAATATCAAAGCTATATTAAAAAAAAAACATTGTTGCAAAGAACCATGAAACTAAAACTGAAAATGATTAATGGACACCAAGCAAGAGAAGATATATTTTTTACATTGAAATCCATGTTTGTAATGGATGCCAATGCAATGGCAGTTAACAGGAATAACAGAGGTTCAAGCAGGACAGAGAAGACCAAGAGAAATACCAGAAATAAAAGGTTTGGATACTCGGATTGCAAAAAAGAGGATTTAGAAGCCTGGATGACTGCATACTCCTTCCAAATGAAATTAACTTTTATAACAGATAGAAGACTACTATAATATGAAGTATGAAAAGTATGGAGTTGAGAGATCTAAGGATTAATACAGCTTCACTGTTCACATTAACAGAAGATAAATGGTAGCAGATTTCAGTGAAATGAAGAAAGCCAATAATAGGTTGATCACCTTTATGGATGTCACAACAATGTTTGTAGAGTGTGCTCGCCTCTCGTTCATCAACAAGGCTGTTGGACATCATGGACTGGAGAAACCTCCTGTGACTGTCTCCAAGCTGCCGAGCCATGATCCAATAACACAGATACCCGCCAGAACACAGTGGTGTTGTTTATGGTGTCAGACGTCTGAAACTGTGGCTGAAATCGGAGCAATGTTGTTGAACTAACCTGGTTAATTAACTGTATATTTAATTACTTTAATATTTGTACATTTTAAATGTGTGCATTTGTGTCCTAAAAGCCTTCTATGGACAAGTGTTGAAAAATAGTCTTGCTATGCCACTAAAGGCAGTGCATCTGGTCTGTCCAATGCAACTGTTGTGTCCATATCAAAAAAAGCGAGTAATCTATGGAAATAACGCCATCATTTCAGTTAGGAGACGAGTCAAAGAAACGTCCAGTTTTAAGCTAGGCTAACGCTGATACAACTCTGATGGATTAACGTTATAACTTAAGTGGACAGTAGCTTCACAAGGTCACAATCATATCTTATAATTGTTAACTGCAGCATAAGCATTAAAGTAGAGCTATGTTTACCCATAGACTGTTTACTTCACAGATGTGAGTTTACGCCACTCTCCGAACATCGCGCTCTTCCGAGTCCAGTCTACTTCCTTCTGTGTGCAATGACAGGAGCGCCCTCTGCTGGATGAAGGCCATATTTTTGTTCAGAACAAGACCGGTGGCAAATGTGGAGACCACTCTTGTAAAAGTATTTCAATCATTCCCTTACTTAAGTACAAGTATAAACGCAAAACCTTTTGAAAGTATATAAAATATATTATATGTTGCCATTTTAATATGAATAACCCATGTTGAACCGAAATGGTTATCTAAACCTAGAAGCACAGCTAACCACAATTAGTTCATTTAAAAGCCTTGCCAACCACTTCAAACCTGTTTTCATGTCTTGATATAATCCGTATTTTCAAAACACAAAGAGTAGAAAGTATACATTTGGGTTCAAATTAAGAGTAAAAGTCAAACGTCAGAAAAATAAGTAGAAACGTACCGATACCAATAACAATCAAACGCACATTTTTCTTTTTAATCAGAATTCTTTATTACTCTACCAAATAAAATATGGTACATGGTGATGAAGTGTTTGATAACGATAACGCTCATTGATAACATTGTATTTAAATACAGTTTCTGATGTTGAACACATTTACTGCTGAACTATTCCAGAAACATTGAGCTCAGAAGGTGCATTAAAAGGTCACATCAGCCATGTTCACACCCACACTGCCTTTTGGAGCCAAAGTCACTAAAGCAATACCTTGAAGGACATTCACTTTCAGAATAAATACATACATCTCACATATTCAGAAATTATACTCAACACACCAAATAACCATTTTATCTTAACGGTTTATAACTGAAAATTGCACATAGTTGTCTGGGTTATTTTGATAAGGAATTATAGTAGGCATAGATGTAAACATACATACATCCTACTTTGATTAAAATACACCCTAAATATAACACACTTTTCTTACATTCTTGGTAAAAGTACTCCATGTATAATAGTTGCTTGGCATTCTGTGGAATCAGCCCTATTTTTCCATCACTTCTTTATAATATCATGTTCAAATAAGAACAATGGCCAAAACTCCCAACACAAAATGTGACACAAAGTGAGGGGAAATGCCTCAAACCATGAGATACACTGTGGACAAATCAAATCTGGTGCACAATTCTATAGTGTCTTCATTATTAAAAAAATTCTACTTGCTCTCAAATGTGTTTCTGTCAAAATAGCCCCTTGCGTCCTCCAGGGTTTGATGGCAGCTGTTGGCTAAGAAAATATCTAATATCAAAAAAGGGTGAATAAAGAACAAAACGTTTCATGCAATCATTTAAAAAAACATAAATATTACCTTGTTTTCAGTGACCAGAGGGAAACTGCCCAAGTGAATTAATGGATTGTTGTAACTTCTCTTCTTTTGCCCTCCTGCTGTGGCAAATCTGTAAATATAACAGAAGAAAATAACTCACATATGTAGCTTCATGCAACATGTCTAGCCATTGGTTTGATTTCTTACAGTTCTTTTTTCCATAAAGCTGGTGAGGAATTCATCAATATCTGTACGTCCTTCTAAGAAGTTCTCTGCCGTCTCCTCTGACTCTTCCTCAGCCTGGTGAGCTGCAACTTTTAACCGTGCTTGAAGGGTGCTTAAACTGCAACTCTGAGCAAAGCCAAAAATAATATCTTAAATAACGGATACCCAGTGATTATTAACCACTACATGTGTATTGTATTGTTTTCTCACCTCACTTAGTTCATGCTGTCTCTGCATCTTTGATTCAAAGGCCGACTTCATCTGAGTGAGCTGTTCATACTGACAAAAGAACATAGAAAGCTCGTATGAATGGGAGTCAGAGCACAAAAGCCAAAACTAAACAGGGGCACATACTTTACAAAGCATTTCTTGTCTTTTGTCCTCCAACTGGGGCTCAATTTGAAGGTTTTTCTCTGAAAAAGAGGGCAGCCCTGTGAATTACTCGCAGCTTGAGCAAGGTGAATTGCCACTGCTATTGAAATATGATAGGCAACACTTACTGGCCATGCTTACAATACTTGTCACAAGATCTTCTTTATCACTGGCAACTTGTTTGAGTTGTGGCAAAGACACAAAGAACTCGAGAAGCACATCTTCGTTTTCTGACATCTCTGACAGCTGGGTGAGGCTAATGTAAAATAATACGCAATTAAGGCATGTAAATAATAATAATAATTTCAATATATTTTTAAAAACATACTTTTTTTCACAGAGTTCAGGAAAAGCCTCAGGAATATCTGGCATTTTATACAGGTACCCATTTAGGCCAACCTAAAAATGTATGGAGAAGTTAATTTCCTTTACATACATACATACATACATTATATAAAAGATCTGAAAATTAAACAAATAATTAAACAAATAATAATAATAATCATAATAAATGTGAGATATATCCTTGCTGTGTGCGTTTATACACAAGGCACCTGTATGTCTGCTGTGGGAACAGGCATAGGAAGGTCAGGGATGAATCCACTGTGAGGTGGAGCTCGCGGAGGTCCATGTACAGATTCAGAGCCGTGGTAAGACATGGGGGCAGGTGAAGGAGCTCCAGGAGGAGGCTGGCCTGGACCAATGTGGCGAGGCCCATAGTGAAAGCCCTGAGCTGGGTACGGTGCTATGCCTGATGATTTGTACATACTGCTGCTATTGAAAAAAGCAAGTAAAACAGGATCAAAAAAAGGATTGGAATACTGTTATCTAGATGTAATTTACAGACATATAATTGTTACACTTACAATGGAAAGCCACTGGAGCCTGAAGATATAAAGGCAGGGGGACTCTTCCAAAGTTCATCCAACAAACTTTGTATAACCTTACCCAGATCTGAATGCATTCCAAACTGAAACACAGTTAGAACATTGTTTACACCTTTGTATTGGTTGAAAAATAAAATTACCAAACAAAGAGGCTCTACAGTGTTCCATTCCACTAAATAAACCTGATGAGAAGTTGTGTTTGGAAAATTACTTACATTTGTAATTAATGAGCTTGTGACCACAGTTCCATTATTGCTGTCAACTAAATGATGCCCAATCGGAGGGTAGACGCTAACCATTGGCTTTTCTTGAGGGAACTGGGGAGGCAGCAAACTACAACACAAACAAAAACAGAACACACAGAGAATTGACTCTTTACATCTTAATTTGCCTCCTGTTGTTGTGAGGATGACATGTTTCCATCATATCAAAGCATAACTGAGAATGTGAACTCACATGTTAATATTAATGGTAGAGTTGTTGACTGTAAATGGTATTCGGTATTCCACATCCTTCTGTATTTCGGCCAGGCTGGTAACAAAAAAACAAAACAAAAACAGAAATATATATATTGTACATATAACTGTGGCTGCTTGACATCAACAATAGGATCGTTAACAGAGCAATAATACAGGCTGAGTGCCACAAGCCTCATAGAATCATAAACAATAACAGGTGTACAGCACAGCCTTGATGAACATATCCTGATAATACTTTAATCTCTGTATCAAATTAGCCGTCCACCAAGACACCAGTCACATGTGTATGGAGACACGCGATCACAGGACAACCGAGGAAGTCCGATTTTTAAGTTTTAATTTAGGTCAACAGAATGAACCTATGCAATGAAATATGTGGAAAGCAGTTTGGTACACTGACGACTATTTAAACGCGCTACTTTGAGAAGATCTATAACACTATCTACCAGATATGCTAATAAACGAAACGATATAAAACACGAACCTGGGGTGTGCGGCTTTCAGTGACTCTATCTGCCGCTGTCTTTGTTGCTGTAAGCTGTTTATAGGAGGCAGCGGTCCAGATCCTTTTGACAGGGGGAACAGCCAGTTCATCCTCCCTGGGAGAGACCAGCAGCTGTGATCCCTTCAACCAAAGTCGAAAACTGAGTACGAGACAGTCGCCTGCTGTACAGAGTGAGCTTTGCGATGCTAACTTTTGTTAGCCACTCGGAGCGTGTTGGTATCAAATTCTGCTGGTGTTATCGGCAGTTTCTCGGTACAAATTCGCATGTTACAATCCAGAGAAACACTAAGCCTCTTTTAGAAAGAAGCGCTGTCGTGGGAGTAAAGTTTAATCCGAAAATATATCGTCGTATTCCAAACCCAGCGATAAAAACAACCCTGTAAGTGCAGGAGGCTGACCAACTTAGTTACGCATTACGGAAGCCGAGACGTCACTTCCGGACTCATGTTGTTGCATGTTGTCGTCTGACTACGCAAATATCAGGTATATGATTGTTGACACCTATTCCATAAAGAATTGAGCTACTGGACTGGTCAAATCAGAATGAAGTTTCCCCACGATGAAATCAAATGTCAATTTTTATCACTATCTAAATGATTACGTGACATTTTAAAAAGTTATGGCCGACTGTCATATGCCATACTGTCCCAAAACTTTAATGAAGTACACATACCAACATGCACATACCAACAGAGTAGATATATCCAACCAGTCCCAGCCTCACTGGCACTTAAGAGATCTATGGTTTAAATATTGAAAGGGAAGTATTTTAAAAAGCTGATGCATTTAGGTGCACGCATTGAAAGAGAAACTAGTGACAGAACCAAAGCTGCGGTGCACTGAAATCAAGCAACTAGTAAAGCTCGTCGTTATGTACTGTTTTCTTTAACAACTTCCGGTAGCCACTCTGATCATGCCCTCCCCCTCAAAGCTCCACGAGGGAACAGTGAACGTTCATCAATGACAGAGAACATATGAAGTGAATCATTATTCTGTGCCTGCTTCACGCTCAGAGGAGGACATCACGTCTCTTCATCGTGGTTAGCGAGACCGATCACTTTAGAAACACATTTCTCAAGTCAAGAACTATAGAAATGATCCCTGAAAGTATAGTCTTAACGTTAACACGGCACCCGAAGAGACCCACTCCGCAGACACGCACAAGTCATTCATGGTTTGGCAAATACGCATCAAAGTTTCAACATCTGTGCAATAACGTCAGGGTGTGCAATACAGACCCACAAGTGTCCACTCTCACATTACTTGCTACATTTTGCTCAGAGCCTCATGCTGCAAACATGCAGTGAACATGCAGTGAAAATGCAGTGAACATTTGCATACACAGAGCCAACTACTTTAAACCCAATTATTTGTCCCACAGTGGGGAAATTTCAGTGTTGCATCACAAGTTATAGAACAGAAAGATAGAGCACACAGCACAAGATTAGGGAACAAAAAAAAAAAAATTCAAAGCGAAGTTATAATATGCTTAGTTTCTGGATATGTGATAGAAAACTAACAAGCCTTAAAGTTCATTATTGTATACTATTCTTGTACCAATACCATTTTTTGGAATCCAATCCGATTGTAGCACCCTCAGGAAATAGCATACACCAGGGTTTATTCTTGTCGTTGGAACCTTTGGAACCCTTGTTTCCCGTGAGAACTGCTCACAAAGAGAATCACAAACAAAAAACATATTCAAATATATTTGTGTGTTGATGAAAATAAAAGTATACCCAAAAAAAGACGAGGGGCTAATTGCTCAACTTGGCCGCAAAACACACTGCTTTTGTCTGTGTCTACTTAGATACAGAATACCTTATATCTTATTACTCGACATATTATTTTACAATTATTAACAATTTATGAATTTTACCTGAGACCGGGAGTCGGCGCTGAATTGGCCGAGAGCGCACTGCTTGGGGTCGGGTCAAAACTTAATTAGCATAAGAGTTCCATTTCACGTTTCACCAATAGATGGCGGTATTATCGAGGCAAAATATTAACTATCAGAGACATTTACACCGATACTTGGCCCTAATACCGACCCCGATTTTACATATTGTATCATAAAGCTCAAGTAGACAAAAGTAAAATTTGAAATTCATTATGAAAGGAACGTCAGGATACAATAAAACAAACATTGAAAATGATCTTGTTGCACTTAGATCCATTTTTGACCCGTGCCTTTCTGTGATGTTGAGTTGGCATGTTTTGCTCCATGTCTGGGACAGTCTATGGTCTGGGTGGGTTTCCTTCGGGCGCTCCAGCATGCAGAGAGTGAATGATGGCGGTTCATGCTGCTAAAATCTGGAACAATCTTCCTGAAAATGTGAGACAGGTCTCTTCTCTGACAATGTTTAAAACCAGGAAGAAAAACAGTTCTGTTTAGCTGTGCACACAACTGAGGGATTTTATATTTTCTTATCTTTCTTTTTAATGCACTGTGATTATTTATGATTTTAATACTACCTTGTTTTGTTTAGTACTTTGAGTTGCCTTGTGTATGAATTGTGCTATACAAATATACTTGCCTTACCTATATACTTATAATAGATATGCAATGACTCAGATTGTATTCATTAATGATTATTTGTTAAAATTCTAAATCTTTCAGCGAGCTACTTCAAAGTTTTGGGGGAGCTACTGGTGACTCCTATATATGGAGTCCCCACAATTTTTGCGATATTTTCTTAAACAACTTCCGGTAGCCACTCTGATCATGCCCTCCCCCTCAAAGCTCCACGAGGGAACAGTGAACGTTCATCAATGACAGAACATATGAAGTGAATCATTATTCTGTGCCTGCTTCACGCTCAGAGGAGGACATCACGTCTCTTCATCGTGGTTAGCGAGACCGATCACTTTAGAAACACATTTCTCAAGTCAAGAACTATAGAAATGATCCCTGAAAGTATAGTCTTAACGTTAACACGGCACCCGAAGAGACCCACTCCGCAGACACGCACAAGTCATTCATGGTGTGTCATTTAAGCATCAAATCTCCCACACACAAAAAATATCAAAAGACTGAAGAATGAACGTAGCACATTTCGACAACCAAACGAATATACTAGAGCGTAAACACTGGTATACGTTAACAAAAACATGTTTTCATTTCCCAGCATGCACCGGCAAGAATAACACAACAGAAAAAGACATTTGTGTTTGTTTTACGACCGTGAAGAAATCGCATTTTCAAGAACACGGGTCGGTCTGAAAATATATACACAGTTACACTACATGAATTGAAGATTAGTTAATAGCATGGAGGATAAAAACAAGCAAAACATGACAGTGCCTTCTTTTAAAGCGACCGTGTGGATTTGGTGACGTAGGTAATATCGTTCCGCTTGCAAGATATTTCCACAAAACTAAAGACAAACAACTTTATTCGGACCTATATCTAAGTGCTGCACAAACTTAGAGGTTATGTATTATGTTTTATTTTCTTGCTGAAAGTATAATTATAATACAATTCAATGTCAAATATGACGCATGTGATTTATGTCACAAGGTGGCAGCATTTGACCATTGAATTATTGCAGGACCCGCCACATATGATTAAAAGTAGACGAAAATGCCCTAAATTAAGGTCTAAATGAGCCAGGCATGGTGAAGTCAGGAACATTCGTAAAAAATAAGCTCAGAAAACACATATTGAGGCTATTTTTTAATCACTGCGTGGCCGGTCAATTAAGTGCTTTTCCCGTTTCAATTTACTTACCTGAGAAAGCTTGTTTCTCGAAACCGCGGTGGTTACAGGACGTAAGGTTTAGTTACAGTACTCTGTAAATGAACTAATAAAACCAAATACTGTGCACAAACGTCAACTGTCTCAGTTTACTCAAGACTTTTTGCAAAAAAAGTATGACGAGTAAAATCATTCGACAAATTGTTTAATTCCTCTTGCTTCCGTAAATCAAAAACTCGCGCATGCTCATAAGTTTCAATTGCAAATGCATTTGGCTGCATGCAATACAATATTTACAGTATGGGCAATACAAAACATGTTATCATGGATGTGACACAGAGTGTTTACAAAAGTTTATAATTCACTGGGTGAATAGGACATATTCATTAGGCTTCTTTCTTACAAGTCAAGGGATTGTATTAATTAGTCACATGCGTCTAACATATGATTTTAAAATTGACATTGTAATATTTAAAAAAAAAAGTCAAATGGAATGCATTGAACTGATGTTATTGTTTTATTCTATTGTGCTCTGTGTTAGGCCAGGGCCTATTCTATATTTTGTTCAGCCCCAAGTACCTACAATATATGTAAGAGGTGCATTTAAATGTAAAATATTCTTTTAATAAAGTTATGTATATTTGTGAATGCCCTAATCATGAAGGCAGTACAAATAAATAAACAGAGAATCCATTCTCATGATTATTAACAAATGATTTTAACAAACTCTTAAGTTTGTTGATCAAAGATTCAGTTCATCATAAGATAATAATTGATGTAGTATTATATAAACCTATGAACAAAAGTATATCCACATTTACATACCACATAATAATAAAATAATGTTACATCTTTGCTCATTTTTCCACTTTAAAATTCATATTCCTGGAGTAAGGCGTGTTGCCCTCTTCGTGGATGCAAAACTTTTACCTTGTGCAGAAAGAAAAGGAAAAAAGTGAAAGTTATATGGAAGCTGAGATTTTTGTTTTGAGTGTTGGGATATTACCTGTTCGCCAACTCTTTCTTGAGACATGAACGAAATGAGGTGGCGCGTTCTGCAGATTTGTATCCCTAATAAGAAAACGAATGATCAGAAGGGCTCAAAATGTAAAAGCACCAAAAAAAAGTGCACATATGAACTAAAGAAAATTGTCTTACTCGTGCGCCTCTGTGTAGTCGGTCCTTCATGATGCCGATAAATTCTTTGTGTGACAACTGGTCATCATGATCAACGTCAAAGATCTTAAAAATGGTGTGGACCAGATGACGTGTAAGCTTCAGACCTGTGGCAACATACACCGCTCTTGCAAACTCATCTGTAGAAAGGAAAAAATGTCAATGCATTATGGGAAAATCACCCTCACGTCTTTTCTGTTGAATATTTTATACCTTGTCCAATAGAGCGTGCTGCAAAAGTGTACATCTGCATGGTTATAGCAAAGTCTTCAAGGTTGTTAAGAAATTGGAAGAATGATCTGAATTCATCAAATGTGATTCCCTGAAATGCAAAAATAATAAACACTTCCTCTTAATAAATAGTGTCAGAAAAAACAAGTGAGAAGCAGTTTAATCCGTCACATCACATTCTTTTGAAATGCAAACTATAAAACAACCAGAGTTGCCCAGCGCTTCACAAGTTTGAAAGTACAAAAATCACAAAATCAATAAAAGTATGAGAATTTAAACAGCCGTAATGGTACGCAAACTTAAATACAATACGTTTTTCTGGGTGCACTGTTACTGCAAAATACTGTAGATGTTGTTTACAGTCCAAATAATAGTCAAACACTTTTGTGCCCTGTTAAAGTCACATAAAAAATACTGAAATCACCACGATGCTTGTTTCATTGGCCAAACGTGTGTAAAAACAAAGCAAAAACCGCTTGAGAAAAACAAATGAACTGAGCAGTGACTGTATCGACAGGCGGTGCATTACGAGACAAAGACAAACCTGCTACTTCCACAGCACGGGGGGGAAATACAGAGGGACACAAAGACACATTGGATTGTATGAAGACAATTCGGGGATTACACAGACAGAAATAATGAAACTAGATTATACATAACAAAACTTGGTTGAATATTTGCTGGACAGTTTGATTGGATGGAAGAGTAGTGTTCATGTTAAAAACGCAGGGACACCAATAGAGAGAGCGGCAGTTTTGGACCGTTTTGTGAACCTTATTACCTTTTCATCTGGGATAGATTGTCGGACGTTCTCCAGATAGGCGTTGATATTTTCAACATTGGTGAAGCGCAGCAAAATCTTGGCAAAGTCCTCCTCGCTGATGGTGGTCATTCCTTTAGAGTATGTGAGAAACTCGATCTCCAGCACCTCTGTTTGGAGGTTGTCCATAAACCTGTAGAAGACACACAATCACGACAAATGCACAACATCAAAAAGTTGTGGGTGATGTGATGTGGGTGTGAATTTTCCTGCTATCAAAGGTCCCTCTCCATGGGACCATTGACCATGTATGGTTTATTTTACTTTTTTATTTTTTTATTTAATCTTTGTTTAACCAGGAAAGTCCCAGAGATTAAGAACTTGTTTTTCAATGGAGTTCTGGACAAGAGGCTGCAAAAGTCACACACAGTTACATACAGTTAAAGATCATAAAAACAGTTACATTTCTATGAGGATGTCCCAAGTGTTCTCATGCTTGACTTAAAAGCATTCAATGAAATAACTTCAGTTTTGAAATGCATGTTGTTTCTGTATGCATCTTGGAACTAGGTTTTGTGTTATTAAATGTCCTTTTTTATATTAAAATCATTCAATTTATTCTTGTATAGCCCTAAATCACAACAGCAGTCATCCCAGAGGCCTTAACAAAGTAATCGTTTCCCCAACAACATATCAGAGGATCAATCACAGAAAAGGGAACACATTGGTCCATATACGTAGCGAGGGGGATGAAATATTAGTATCTCTATTTGGTTTATGTCTAATATTGCATCACAACTAAATAGTGGATCAGATATTTGCTCAACAAAAGTATTATTCATCATATCGAGGAGATGCTGCAGTATGTTATTTAGACCCCAGTTATTCAAAATTCAGAATTTGTTCAATATTCCACGATAATAACTTCCATTGGTGTAAGAAATAGTATCACTCCATATAAAGGTTTACTACACAGCCGTCATGAAAAAGGGTCAGTTTTATGCTTGGGTCCATCTAAATGTAGTTCTGCCTGGATGGTTACGCATATTGTGAAGGTTTTTGAACAGTAAAAACAATGGAAAAGTTTGTGTCATACATTCCAAGCAAAGAAATAACACATCAACATGGCAACAAGCTTGTAGTAGATCTCATCCGAAAAGTTGCGCAATAGACTTTGAATATGTACCTGTAGAAATCATCGAAGGTCAGCTCCGCCTTCCCCTTTTTCCCAAAGAAATGGACCAGTAGTGTTGTGTCAATTGTCATGTTGTCATCTGCACGCTGTGGATCACCAGAGATGAAAACAAATGAGTATAAACATGGACAAGCAGTGTTCTTTCATCACAAAATAAGAAACCAAACAAAATAACAGGTCGGTCAGGCCAGTCTGGGCTGCAGGCATTTGTTGTATGAGTCAAATATAGGGTTAGGGTTGATAAGATTTTGAGCAGCAGCCTAGACTGGCATTATAGACTGCAACACGAAGCAAAGCGGAACACGACTTACAATTTTACAAAAGCACAATGTCAACAGTGAGCTGCAGTCAGAAAGGAGAAACATTGTGAATTAAACTACTAAAAAAGAAGTGTCAGACATGAAGACAATGGCATGCGTGTCTTTTAGATATGTTTGTTCATATAGAAACGAACAAATGTGATCTACCGAGACGACAACATGAGCATTCAAAAGCTACATGCAAGGACAGGGTAACTTTATATATGAGCTAAGGCATTTTGAACGTAGGCAATGCAGACAGTAGAAGCAAATGCAGCGACTTCACCCTTTTCTGTCACATAAATACGTACAATTGGACAGTTCAATGTTGCTTTACTTTACATTAGCTTATTGTTGTATACTGACAGAGAAGGTGCTTTGTTAGAATAAGCCATCAGAAGTGGAAAAAGAAACGTCTCTTTCTTGCCGCCAGTCACAGCCCGTGTTATCAGCCATGCCCAAAAACAAAACAAACAAACAAACAAAAAAAAGTTGTAGGTATACAGGGCTTTCTATGAAGTACAATTGCAGTTATGCCATTTCATTATTCAGATTGCTTCAAGTGTCATTATCACCACGATGCCATTCGTGGTTCTACCTCAAGGACAAAATCCTACAGTCCAATGTGGAACAAGAAGAAAACGTCAAACAAGATGTCAGCATATTGTGTATAGTCACTGAGCCCACCGAAGACACAAACCTTTGTATCACTTATGGATGCTGATGCTGCATTGTTTGCGGACCACAATGCACCACGGATGACTAGATGTATGTGAGGTTTGTATATTCCCAAAGAAGAAATATACATGAGCATTGCCAGTGAAGATCTTACACAATGCTTGTCTTTTGAAAAAAATAGATGTAAGTATGAATTGACATTTCTATTGACGCAGCTCGGCAAATTTTCTACAGATGCACCAACAAGGCTTAAAACCCCGTTCTTATCTAAGTGACACATGAGCGGATCATACAAAGTTAGACAGCATCCAGATGTCGTTATTCCCCCCTCCTTCCTTTTACAGCTTCAGATCCTATGCGTGAAGTCTATTGCCCCTAATGACTTTTATCGTTCCTGGAAGTGTGGCACTGTTTGCGTGACCTCACCTCACAACCACTAAAGTCTACGTAATGTTTCTCACGCCCACGAGGCACGAGCCGACACCTGGTCTGGGCCTGTGTCCGTCCATGCAACTTTGATCACGACGGAAAAACAGCAATTATCTACGCGAGCGCTAAATGGTCTTTGCCTTTGAGTAACAGGTCACATTGTCAGTCACAGCTTCAAGGGATTAAAAACAACTTTTTGCTTCCCATGACCTGCGCTATTCTTTTTGTCTACCCCCCTATCAACCAACTATTTCTCTTTGCTTTTATCACTTCTTCCATTGGTTTTCTTTGCGGGCCAGTTCATGTTACGCAGAGTTCTTTTCTGCTTTGTGGCGCTGTCGTCTTGAGCCGTCAGCGCGTCCTTAGCCGACACACACACAGGTGAGTTGCTGTCACTCAGGCCCTCCTCCTGCAGACAAAAGCTCAGAGGAATGGAGGTAATGGTGACTAATCTGTTGAGTAAACACTTTGTCCTCCAAATGTGCTGCTGCTGTGAGCTTCCGCTAAATGTAGAAACCCGCGTGCATTTTGTTCAAATAACTACAGAATGTGAATGATTTTACTTGACAGCATTGCATCATGTCTGTGGTGTACTGTATATAGTTAATGGAATGGTTCGATATGAGAATAAGATCATATAATATAATGTAATTCCTTTTATAACTCATTCAGGGTCAATATATGTGATAATTATACACTTTTAAGACCATATAGGGCTGATTGAAGTTATATGCAAATTGTACATACAGTGCCTTGCGAAAGTATTCGGCCCCCTTGAACCTTTCAAAATTTCGCCACATTTCAGGCTTTGCCATGAATCAACAACAAGTGGGACACAATCGTGAAGTGGAACAAAATTTATTGGATAATTTAAACTTTTTTAACAAATAAAAAACTGAAAAGTGGGGCGTGCAATATTATTCGGCCCCTTTACTTTCAGTGCAGCAAACTCACTCCAGAAGTTCAGTGAGGATCTTTGAATGATCCAATGTTGTCCTAAATGACTGATGATGATAAATAGAATGCATCTGTGTGTAATCAAGTCTCCGTATAAATGCACCTGCTCTTTGATAGTCTCAGGGTTCTGTTTAAAGCGCAGAGAGAACCATGAAGACAAAGGAACACACCAGGCAGGTCCGAGATACTGTTGTGGAGAAGTTTAAAGCCGGATTTGGATACAAAAAGATTTCCCAAGCTTTAAACATCTCAAGGAGCACTGTGCAAGCAATTATATTGAAATGGAAGGAGTATCAGACCACTGCAAATCTACCAAGACCCGGCCGTCCCTCCAAACTTTCATCTCAAACAAGGAGAAGACTGATCAAAGATGCAGCCAAGAGGCCCATGATCACTCTGGATGAACTGCAGATAACTACAGCTGAGGTGGGAGAGTCTGTCCATAGGACAACAATCAGTCGTGCACTGCACAAATCTGGCCTTTATGGAAGAGTGGCAAGAAGAAAGCCATTTCTCAAAGATATCCATAAAAAGTCTTGTTTAAAGTTTGCCACAAGCCACCTGGGAGACACACCAAACATGTGGAAGAAGGTGCTCTGGTCAGATGAAACCAAAATCGAACTTTTTGGCCACAATGCAAAACGATATGTTTGGCGTAAAAGCAACACAGCTCATCACCCTGAACACACCATCCCCACTGTCAAACATGGTGGTGGCAGCATCATGGTTTGGGCCTGCTTTTCTTCAGCAGGGACAGGGAAGATGGCTAAAATTGATGGGAAGATGGATGGAGCCAAATACAGGACCATTCTGGAAGAAAACCTGTTGGAGTCTGCAAAAGACCTGAGACTGGGACGGAGATTTATCTTCCAACAGGACAATGATCCAAAACATAAAGCCAAATCTACAATGGAATGGTTCACAAATAGACGTATCCAGGTGTTAGAATGGCCAAGTCAAAGTCCAGACCTGAATCCAATCGAGAATCTGTGGAAAGAGCTGAAGACTGCTGTTCACAAACGCTCTCCATCCAACCTCACTGAGCTCGAGCTGTTTTGCAAGGAAGAATGGGAAAGAATTCCTGTCTCTCGATGTGTAAAACTGATAGAGACATACCCCAAGCGACTTGCAGCTGTAATTGCAGCAAAAGGTGGCGCTACAAAGTATTAGCGCAAGGGGGCCGAATAATATTGCATGCCCCACTTTTCTGTTTTTTATTTGTTAAAAAAGTTAAAATTATCCAATAAATTTCGTTCCACATCACGATTGTGTCCCACTTGTTGTTGATTCTTGACAAAAAATTTAATTTTTATATCTTTATGTTTGAAGCCTGAAATGTGGCAAAATGTTGAAAGGTTCAAGGGGGCCGAATACTTTCGCACTGTATATAAGGATTATGATTAAAAAAAACAGGCTGGTTCTGGTTATAAAGAGTATCTCCAACATGGTTCTGTATGAAAAACTTACAAAATTAAATCCAATATTAAATGAAATGAATGAAATTAAATGAAATGAACAAAGCCAGCAGTATGTATGTACTGTGTATTTTTGTCACTCATTGTCACTGTGTGTTCACTAAATTTTGTGTTACAGTAAAGTTCATACATATTGAGACACAATTAACCCAATTTTGGCTCCATTCTCTACCACTCCATTTTAACTGCAGCGTCCACTTTCATTTGAGGATTGATCCATAAATTGAGAGAATGGTATGCGTCAAGATTGTCAAACTCAGGTTATTTATTTACAATTGTATAACATAGGTCTCCAATTGAATAGCATTCAAATAGTGTGTTTGCCATAGAACCGAATGGAGACTCCCTGCTTCCTTGTCTGACCGGAAACAGATTATAAATTGGAGCATGCTTATTTGGGCATTCCACAACTGTCCCATTTATAAATACAAAGGTATAGGTTTCATTGGCAGCACACAAGCCACTAACACCATGTTCCACTTCTGAGTTTATGCTTTGGATGGTGAGCAGTTCCTTTCCCTTCTCCATACTCTCTGTCCATAGGATGTTGTTCCAGACACTGTGGACTTTTTAGATGGTGTTTGGCAAGCACTATCCTGGTTATACAGCTCACCAGTAGTTTACATGTTGTGCTGAAGCGTCTGTATTTACTCTGGTGAAGTCTGTCCTTGTTCGTTGACACAGACATACAGCTTCTCCAGTAGAGTGTTTTTTAACTGTTTAACTGCTGGGAACGTTTTTTTCAGCCTCCGCAGATGTGGTCTTCAATATCATTTGGTGTTGTTCCATCCAATCAAAACAAATATCTAGCCACACCTAATGTTTATGCTTTCTCGCTGGTGGGTTTGATATCATTTAGTATCCTTGATTGCTTGCCTCACTGGTGACAGCTCTCTGGATCTAATATTATTAACAGTTTAAGGGCCCCAAATGCAAGAACCACAATTTTTTTTTAATCTTGACCATTTATCTGCTCTTTCAACATCAGATAATGGAGGAATAACACAAAACTGGCCATGGAAGACCTCAACAGCCAATTGTTTAAATGATGGTGGTCTCGTAGAAACGGTGGTAAATCCTTACTTTTAAAATGTGGTGAATAGAGCCAAAAGCATTCTTTCACATTTTTTTTCTACATTTTGCAGACGCCCCAATAGTTATGAACCTCAATGTAGGTTATATTTTTTCCGAAAGTCCCACACTCACAAACCAGTAGTGAAAAAGGCCTAGTAACTTTCTAGGCCAAAAACAAGTGTGAAATAATTGAACTACTGGAAAATTTAATAAGATAAGATGAACTTTATTGATCTCACAATGGAGAAATGTACAATTGTATGACAAAGCACTATTCCGTATCTCTTGTTCCAACAGTTCAAAGTGGGGATATTCATTTTCACGCAATTTTTATAATCGATACCTTCCAAAATGAATCCCTATCGCTGTATCGGACTTTTGTGGTGAAGAGAGGGAGCTGAGTCAAAAGGTAAAGCTCTGGAATTTACCTGTCGATCTATGTTCCCACCCTCACCTATGAACATGAGCTTTGGGTAACAACCAAAAGCACAAGATTAAAAGGGCTTGATTAATCTTTCCTTGCTTTTCTAAAAATGTGTGTTTGGTCTTGCAGGTCTTTTTGTATTTTTCCACATGTGTATATCCTTGAGACATATCCTCCAACCACTTACAGAGATTTTGAGACAGATAATGAGGGCATGAGTGATAAAGCTCTTAGAAAACTATCCCTCAATTTCATTCAAACTTTGCATCCCTCTCCCTCGTCTAATTCGCCTCTTGTCCGTCTCCGACACATGAAAGGCCGCAGAGAGTAAATACAAGGTCAGCCTCATTACACTTCACTGTCATTACCTCCACCTATGTTTCCGCTAACGCTTAAAGCACAAGGCCTATCATTACACAGCCAACATACAGGCCAACATGCTAGATCTCTGTTATCCATCATTAATCATTACAGGCCTCTTTTGAACTTCCACTGAACCAGCCTGGACAAATAGCCACTGCATAGAAAATGGCCGATGCTCAGTCTTAAGTAAAACCAATGTAGTTTGCCGTATATTTCTAAAAACATGAATTTGTCCAGGATATTGTTGCAAAAACACAAGTACACAAGACAGCCACACTTAGCTTTACACAGGGTCCAAAACACAGCACAGTTTCACAACAACAAGATTGAGCAGACAAAATGATATACGCTGAAGAAAATGACAGGAACAGACTTTATGAATATATTATGCATATAAAATGTGTTTCAAATTGGATGAATAAAGGGTGAAACTCAGTATAAGACAGGATAATTCATAGGTTCATTTATTTCCAAAAATGGGGAAACAAATAATAATATAGACTTGTTACATTCATAGTGACAAATGCCAAGACTTCATAATAATAATAATTTTTATGTTTTTTATATAGGTTTTTTAAACAAGCTGTGAGCCATGGTTATCAATGTTATGATAAGTGAAGGCTTGATATTTTTAACTTTGCGTGTAATGAGTTTAACATTTTAAGTTACATTTCAGAAGTAAATGGACAATATTTTTACTTTATGAGTTTCACCTTCAGAAGACTCCTTTTCAAATTCTTGTTCATCCAAATAGTTGAAGGGTGTTCAGGATTATGATGGAAAAATTGTTGAATAATAAAATAAAAATGTTACCAACCCCAACCACAAGAATTACTACTGATCACGATAGCCTGGCCTGATGTTACTAATGATGCAGGAATGGTTTCAGGTAAAATGTAAACATATGTTGGATGAAACAATATGGAATGAGCACAAGGGACAGAGGACATGGGTCTGTGTACCTCCGCCAGGTCAGAAAACAGGACTTGACTGGCCCCTCGCCTCAGAACGTCCCAGTAACTCCGCGACACAAACTCCTGACCCTCTTTTTTAAGCACCTGTGAGGCAAGCAGGGCCAATGTCAGTGCACCTCCCACCAAACCAGGAAGCAGGGGTAATTATTACTACTACTACTACTACTACTACTGCAACTGCTGCTATACTACTACTACTTGAGTGAGTGAGTGGTGCCCATGTTTATAACTGTAGAATTAAACAACATAATACAAATAGAGGCAGTAAACTTTTAACAGTTAAAATCTGGATTCAAACCAGATTTACCAACAGGACCAACACTTTTTTTGTCAAGTGAAAATGTGCTTGTTGCCTAATAAATATGAATTTCATGTCCCATTGGCTTATCATGTTTAAGACCGACAACATGTACTCAAAAAACAAGAGAATTTTGGCCTAATTCAAGCCACTTTTGACTTATTTTCTGTAATTTTTCTATAACAAAGTAGCTGAATATGAACAATTACTTGACATGATTATTTTGATAAATGAATCTTGTCTGGGCTGTGATTCTCAAAGAGCGTACCATCAAAATCTATTCTTCCATGGTGCAAACAAAGGCTCACACGTATCTGATCAAAACCACAATTTGTTAATGAAACACTAAACATAAATCTGCATTACATAGTCATTAAATGCAGCAAAAAATGAAGCATATTGTGACGTTTTGATATTGTCTGGTGTATTGTGCCTCTGTTGGAGTTGAGGCCCTGACCACCCACTTTGAGTCTCTCCAGGGAAAAGACGGTGGCGGCCATTTTATCATGACCCCGACCTCCGCGCTTAACTTCAGCGTAACAATGCAGCTATCCATCATCGGCACGACAGCACAACGCATGTGTCTGTGCCAGAAAATACATGTATAAAGGCCCATGGTAGAAATATGATTGTAGTCCTCAGTATTTGTGATCAATGCAGGGAATTAGAAGGCTATTTCTTATAAGGGTGGAGATTGCTGAATTCATATACATGTGTCAGTAGAAAGGTGAAATATATTGAAGTGGGAATATAAACTAGAATTGAATATAGGAGGAAGAGTAACCCAAGGAGGAAGAGTAGCCCATACTATGTTGTTTGTTTACTCAATATTCTAATGCATGGTAATATTTATTGGAACCATGATAAATACTTCTAAAAAAATACCTACAATGGTTCTGACTTAAGTATATGCCATAAAGTTTTAATGCAAACAAATGCACCCTTACAAGCTTTCCACAGTCAATGCAAAACAACTGCATTCAAATGAGGGACTTTGTATACTTAATTTGACTTGATTCAATATTCAATTCTTGTATCCATGCTGCCTTTTCCCTTCTGCAATGGCAGATGGACAGAGGTTCCTGAATTTATTTTTCCGTTCATTTATTCTTTTGTTCCTCGTCATTCAGCCCAGCATTGCCGACAAATGATTTTGTGGTGGAGGTCAGGGTTAAGCTTGATTCAAAGACTGACATTGAATGTATAAATGGCTTTAGAATGTAAAAGAAAGAACGTTATGCTTCAGGTAGGACAGACAAGGGACAAGGTTAAAAGCCCAGATGATTCGATATAACTGGCTCAAATGTGCCGGATCAATTCCATGTAATTTACTAATTTGTCATTATAGGGCACCATGGACAGAACAGGCGTAGCAGCAGAAAATATAATGGAACATATTATCGCTGTAACATAAGGGTTTTTAATACAGGTTTTTATTCAAACCGAAAGCAAAGGCAATATTGTTATAAACCACATACCACTGGCCTCGTTTAAATATCCTTTATTTTATTTTTAACAGAGAAAACAGATTTTATTGAATTTATTTTGTTCTGTAGTAAACATCCAAGTTGAAGTTGAAAAAAAAGGTAATTCTGAAGTAATTTTTGTTTTAAATCACCACAAAAACATTTTAAAGGTGAGGTCAGTAACTTATTCATGACCACCTGCCATTATGTCGTAAAGTTAAGAACAATAATTAATTTAATACAATCCGTGAGCAGGGGAGTGAGCATGTCCCCAAGAAAGAAACATGTTTTCTCTCTCAACATTTAAAAAATAACAATTTAAAAAGGGATTTAACTTTAAAGGGGACATATCCTCAAGATCAACTTTTGGTTGAGCATGTTGGCGGTTTTCTCTTGTCGTTAACACACTCAAAAGTATTGTAGAGGAATTCATGCATGTTTGAGTTGTTCATACTCTTGTATACCCAAGAAGCCATTGTGCAAGTCTCTTTTATTTATTGTGATGTTGTTTTATAGAATTCTTATAAACTATATAAGCGATGAGCCTCAGAGATTATTAAAAAGTGTATAGCAGAAATTAAGTGTTTTATCGTCCTTTTAGAAACAAGATTCTGCCCATTTCTGTGGATTTACTTGATATCAAGATTGAAAAATAGCAAAAATATATCAAAATATCTATTTATGTCTAGGGCTGTAGTTATTGATTATTTTAGCGATCAAAATAGTCTATTTTCTACAAAACATCCTGAAAATGTTATGGTATGTAAAATATTATTCATATTTTTAGAACAAATTACAAAATAGCGTTTGAATGTTAACAGCAAAATTAGTATCATGCTCCAAGAGAAACGATTTCTGCATTTCAGAACATGATTTAGGTTTTTTTATTTTTGCATGATATTATGGACAAAAACACCCATAGTCAAAAAAAAAAAAATAAAAAAAAAAATAATGAAAAAAAAAAATAAAATGAAAAAAAAATAATATAATAAGAAATAAAAAAAAGGTACAACCACTCCTATACTGACCGGTTTCCATGTCACCAGCCCACATTTTGCACACATATACAGAGCGCAGCACGTGTCTGGTTGATGTAAATTCCCATATATCACACCCCTATATCTGCAATACAGCGGCAGATCATGGAGGAACAAAAGGACACTTGGTTTGGGATACATACGCTGTTGGCGGGGGCAATCTGATATCCGTACAGCTGCATAGTCTAACACACAGAGAGGCGGTCGCACAGAGGGACAGAGAGCAGGAGAGAAGGAACACGTTAGTACATGCGAGGAGAGTCTGTGGATGCACTCTGATGTGTCACTCCAAACACATCTGGGACACACACAACACACAGTTAAAGCTGGGACACCTAACTTTGAAACCATAATAATTAACTGTGTAAACAAATCCATGAATCCAGTTGCTCATTTTTAAGGCTGTTAGCTTCTATCTCTTCTGTGCTGCTATGTTTCATTGATGCTTCCAAAGCATTTGACCGGGTTAATCACCCAAAGCTATTTACTAAAATGCGTCAGCGAGGAGTACCTGAGTACATACTGAGAATCCTAGTCTACTGGTATGCTCACCAGATAATGCAGGTGAGGTGGGGTAGTAGTGTCTCAGCCCCCTTTGGCGTTACCAATGGAGTAAGGCAAGGTGGAATTCTTTCTCCAGTGTTGTTTAGTTTGTATATGGATGAGTTGTCACAATGGTTGAATGCATGTAGGACTGGCTGTATGATTGGTTCAACTCTTGTAAATCACTTAATGTACGCTGATGATGTTGTTGTATTGAGTCCAAGCAGTGCTGGCCTCCAAGAACTTCTTCATGTTTGCTCCAAGTATGGTCTGGAATATGACATCAAATATAATGCCAGCAAGAGTGTCATAATGATTTGCCGGACAAGAGATGACAAAATCTTGAAGTTTCCTCAATTTGAATTGTGTGGAAATAATCTGATATTGAGTAGCAAATATAAGTACTTTGGACATTTTATTACTGAAAACCTGTCTGACGATGATGATGTGTTACGGCAGTGCCGCATGATGTATGCACAGGCCAATAGGCTTGTGCGCAGGTTTGGTGCATGCACAGATGAAGTGAAAAAGACACTTTTTAAAGCTTATTGTACACCGTTATATACGGCACATCTGTGGTCAAACTATAGACAATCCAGCATGCGGAAGCTAAATGTGGCATACAATGACTGCCTAAGAATCCTGTTGAAAAGGCCTCGGTGGGAGAGTGCCAGCCTGTTATTTGTTTCTTCTGGGATTCGAACTTTTCGTGCTGTACTAAGAAACCTGATGTACAGATTTATTTGTCGACTGAACCAAAGTCAGAATGTGATCATAATGAGCCTGACCAACATCAGAATCAGTGCCACACGCTATCAGTCTGAACTGTGGCGTCACTGGTACAGTAGTCTGCTGTAATCATGTATTTTTTATGATTATTGTTGTTTTTGTTTTTGTGTAATGTCTTTCTTATCTGGACTTCGTGTCTGTAATAAAAGTTTAATATATATTTAATATATATCACATCATATTTTAAGATCCGCTCTCAGTATTTTTTGTACAGTGATTTCACCTTTGTCTTATAATAATAATAATAATAATAAATCTTTATTCCAGAGTCAAGGTGAACCTAAAAGTATAATTATCCGTTCAATCAGATTGCTTCTACGTTAAGGGGTGATAATTACTTTTGCATAGACGGAACCCAAGAATTTAATGCAGATTTTTATTCTCTACTTTAACTTGTTCACAGCGAGAGCCAAAGGAAGGTGCTAGTTTGTGACTTCTTGTTCCTCAAATGCCAATTAAATAATTCTGATTTGGATTCTAAATGTCAGACAAAAGACAAAATATAGTCAGAATCATTAGTGGGATACAAATAAGAAAAAGAGGGAAAAAAGAGACATATTCATATTTGTCAATGGCCCAATGATTACAAATAGGCATTAATCTAAAATTGTATTCCAATGTGGTTTTTAACTGCAAATGATGAATACAAATCAAAAAGTATATTGTATGAGGAGTAACAGTTTTTTCGCTGTGATGGTCAACAATAAAATGAAATATGCATAAATACTTCATAACCTATTCCCCAGATTTTCATGACTTAAACTAATTATTATTCATTAATACCTGAGCTAATACATGTTTATAGTGTGGTCCCTTGTAGTGCATCCGATACACACGTCACAGTGGATACAAACATAGTAAGGAGAAGAGCAGCATGCGTTTGGGACAGAAGTTACACAAATGAGTTTATTCTAATTAGGGAGATGTACCCTTTTACATCCACATTAAAGTCTAAGAAAATTAAAATAAAATATGTATGTGATATAATGTGCATGTATAAAAATTCTATCTCTTGCAATATTGTGACCAATTCTTTCTTACCAACTGCGCTGATTTTTCTGCATCACCTTTTCTTCCTCTCTTCTCATTCTTTTTCCGAAATATTTCTTGCAACTGGAGGAAGATGGAGAAAAACAATAAGACAGTGAAATACATTGAATATTAAACCCAATATAAGTTTATTTCAGGCATCATACTGGATAAACAACATTATTTACAGCAGCTGTCAGGTCCTCACCACTAAGAACTCCCTCTTGTCCACCATCTGGTTCCCGTCTGCATCAAACATATTGAAGGCAATCTTGAAGCCAGCGTGGGGTTCTGGACACGAGGAACAAGGTGAACATGAGATAATCCTTTTTTTTAAAAACACAAATATAACACTGCACTAAATATGCTCTACATATACTGTAAACTCTTTTCACTCTGGGACCAATAGCTTAAGCCATATGCAAACTTCATCCCCACAAGCTCCAGTTATTCATCAGTGTGTTTATCTATTTTGATCATTGTGATTTTTGTAGGTCCATGCAAATAATCCTATAACTTACAAAAATATGAGTATAAATCATATGAAAGGGGAAATACTTGTTTCTGTGGATTTTATGTTAGATGAGAGAAGATGTGTTGTGCTTTTTTCCATGTCATAATCTGAGACAGCCATGTTTTGAATAGTTCAAATCTCAACATTACAGTTAATAGTTTGATTTAATGCATAACTTAATGTGAAGAGGAAACAATTATTACCACTTGAGCAATATAGGTCACAATATAAACGATTGAATTGTGTTTCTACTAAGATTATGTTATCAATATATTTTAAATGTTCAATTTAAAAAGATATCTAATAGACAAATAATGTGTTGTCCTGTTTACTGTAGATATTTGAGAGCCCTTTATTTCAAACAACAATACATGGTGCCATAGGTCCTGGCTTAAAAACACTTGTTGTCACTCTCATTTTTGGCCTCTGTCATGTCTTTAGAAAAGCTTTATTATAAGACTCTTTCTGTTGGGACAAACCTCTTTTATTCTTAAGCCAAACAAGTTGGTTACCCCAGCTTTAAATAAAATATTGGGATGGACTCACTTGTGAGGATACAGAGCAGGAAAAGGTACTCGGTGTAGGAGATGATACCTGGGGACAACAGAGACAGAGTTAAAGCAGAGGTCGCCCACAGCTCATACACAATGTTTACAGATGTTCAAAGGCCGCTGATCTCCTAAGACATACACATAATCCTTCCTTTCATGGAGATAGCATCTTAAAATGTGTCTTCTCAAGCCGCCAACAGCCATTTGACCACACACCGCTTCTTTTTCTACACCCCAAGTGTCCAAAGTAAAGAGAGAGATTGGTTTGGGACTGTGTGTGTTTGGATAAGCAAGTGAAAAATGTTTTAGGAGGTGATCCTTTCTTGCCTCAGGCCCATTTAGGAATCTTTGTAGCTCCATCTCATCTCTCTTGGCCTTCTTGTTTCGCTTTCTGTCTGATGGTGCAGATAGTTCAGGGTGAGTGGCTTGAGTGTTACGGGAGACTGCTTTCCCATGTGCGACAATGTGAGTGTAGGTGAACATGACACCAGTAAAAACCAGTGTACGCCTTGTGGGTTCCTGATGCTTGACCGCTTTGTGCCAAGGAGCTGGTCTGGAACCAAACCACCTTTTCCCTGTGAAGCCCGAGCCCACTGAAGCCCTGGGTTACACACTCACTGATGACTCAGGTTTCTGAAATATGCAAAACATGTTTGTACTAACTCTCCTTCAATGGATTAAGTTAATAACGTGCCATCTGGGCAGCAGGTATTGATGTGTTTTTCACCTGCTATTCAATATTGGCCAGTTTGTTTCAGTGAAATAAAGCTGAGTTATTAGTGTAGACGAGTGGTTTTCAACTGGAACAATGTCGAGATCCACCATCAACATATAACTCCATGACACAGTTTGACCAAATAAAAGAATAATTAAATATATAAACAATGTGAAATACTGCCAAATTTCACTTTCACTTATCCATGAACATTGATCTAAAATTATGGTCTGAAATCCTGAAGTAAATTTGTCAATTTGCCATTTTTATTTTGTATATCTGATTTTCAATGGATTTTTTCGTCCTTATTTATTATATTCAAAACAGATCTAATTTTTTATTAGTTTACTTGAATAGGGACAGCACACACATTAATCAACACTGGTGTAAATATGACAGTATTAGCCATACAGCTAGTTTCCCACTGTAGTCCCTCAGCAATGTGCAAAAAGCCATCAAAACACAATACAGTAATCATAGATAGTAACTTTAAGACCAAGCCCATAAACTTAAACACAGATTATATGCACTTATCATGACAAACTATGAGAATTTAACTATTTTTGTATCTAAAATAACAAATGCAATGTTATTGATTTCTCAATACATTTCCAACCTCCAGTGAAGGTTGGGAAAAACATGATTCAGCTAAAAGTGCCAGGACAGCACTCACAAACACTGCATTCCTTCGCCACTTTGCCAATTTCAGAAATGTAAGGCATTTTCAGGGATGTTTACTGCCCTCCTGCTCCAAGGTCCGAGACAGACAGCCCAGACACAAACACAAGATGCACCAAGAAAAGGATTTACAGGTGAGAACAACCTTCTGTGAGGGAAAGAATCAAATCGAGTATTAGAGGATTTGTTGATGTGAGAGTCAGTTCTGCGTGTGGTCCTGGCCTGACGCCACAAACAGCTGAACCAAACAATGTCCCAGTCTTTGATAAAGAAATGGGATAGTCTTTCTCTTTCCTTTGTTCGGATCTCTCCCATTCGCCATTACTCCAATTCTATAATACTTCTGATTCTCTTCTCTTTGCTTTGTGGCTGTCCCGAGTCGATACCAGCAGATATTGGTCCTGGGGCGTTCAAAGATATTCAGGGCGAGATCTTCAAATATTCAACTTTTTGGTATGGTACGTTTGTAACCTTGTAATGCAAGGCTGGTTTTGTTAGTTTTGTGAGAGTTTGAAAATCTCTATGGTTGATGATGCTTTAGTAGGTCCTATATGATTGGACCTGTGAGCAAAGGGGCATTCAGAGGTGGTACTTAATCCATTTAAGTAGAAGAAAGTTATATTTACAAAAACTTTTTACTATGTTTCTACTCGATTCTCTGTCGAATCAAAGTCACAATAGACCAGTTTATTACTCAGTTTTAGTATCTGTTGCCCTCTTGTTGTTTTACAGTGTTATTGTAAATATATATGACACATATATTCCAATCAGTGACTGTATGTTGCACATAAGTGTGTCCTTGGCTCATTATCACTGCAGGGAGCCCGTGCTCCACAGTCTCCTGCCTCCGTTCTGATGTATTTCTGTCCTCACTAAAAAGAGGAAAGGAGAGAAGGTTTATTTTTAGTCCTTTCAGCAGGTAGTTTGGCTCAAAACAGGGACAGCATGGCTCCAAACCCGGATTAAAGACACCTACAGGGACCTGCACACACAGACATACAATATGCACTGGGCACAAACCCCTCCATTGTCGTATACTCTGAATAACAAGTTTAAAGGCTCCTGCAAGAACATGTAACAGCACTGCCTTGGGATATCTACAAAACAACAAGTTTGTTATTATTGTTGTAACTTATTCAAGCCAAAGCCTATTACAGCCTTAAGCATGGTGGAACAAGGGATAAATGCAATATCAGTCATAAAATTACATTGAGATAGTAGCCTTACAATATGCCTTTTTTCACAGTTACTCAAACATGAGACATGAGCAAGAAACAGGCAGATTCATATTAATATTTATCACGCAGAAAACAGACTAATCAGCTTCAGTTTGCTATTCAGTCTATGGTGGAGACAGACCAACAGAGCATTTATCCTGAATAATAAACGTTGTGAATCACACATTATTCTGATCATTAAAGAAACAAATAGCCTGATGTTTTGAATTTGAGGAAGCTAACAGCCAGTCATCAAACAGGTTTACTCAGTTAAAAGTTGCAGACTGGAGGATATTTTGTTTGGATTGTCAATCTCTTCGACCAGATATCTCCTTTTTCATCATCACACTGTGGATTCCTGCTCTCACCTCGGTCTCTGAGATTACGAAATATTTTGGACGAGCCTTTCCAGACTGGTGGAGTGTCCGTGAGAATCTTTTCCAGTTCCTATAAAAAATAAAAATAAATCACAATTTACCACAACAGCACATGTACAGTGTTGAATGTTGCTGCTGAGAAGATGTCAAACAAGGCCTGACACAATTACTAATGTTTATAGATGTTTTGTTTCAGAAAACTATAGCGATAAACAATAATATACAAACAACTTAATGCCTTTTCCCAATAATGCAGGATAACCCCAGTAATGTATTTATTTATTGTGTAAATTTTCCGTAAAAAAGCATAAAAATAAACAGCAGAATTGTATTGGACCCCCTAATGCTAAAGCCCTCATAATCGTTCATAGATAATCATCTCTTCAATGTGTAAATGTTAAATATTGAGGACCAAACAATATTGTTTTATTATTTATTGAACATTGAGTCATAACATTGTGTCAGGGACTCTGGGGAGAACAGGGATTAGACTCAATCTGGGACTCTGAGGATCCCCGGGACTAAACATGGAGAGGCAGTATTTCAGACTCATTCAGCTAAATTCTGAAGCAGTCTCCCTGAAAATGTGAGACAAACATCTTCTCTGACAATGTTCAAATTAGAGGAGGATAGCATCTCTTTTTAATGTACTACAATTATTTATGATTTTTTGTCTTATCTTGTTTTGTTAATCACATTGAGTTTCCTTGTGTATAAACTGTGCCTTACAAATAAACTAGCCTTGCCTTTGTCCTTTGGAAAGACATAGCATGGCAAAAGATTCCTAACGCAAGGAAGAATATAACATTTGAGTTTCCCACCTGTTTGCTCAGGGACTTCCAGGGCCTCTTGTCTGTGAAAGAGAAAGAGGAGAAGAGCGTTTGGGTGGGCTTGCTCCGATAGCATCTGTATGATCTAGAAATGGGTTTTAATGCGCTGCGTACAGTCACAACAGACGTGCACACACAGAGCTGCTCAGTATACACTTGTCATCATTACGAACCCATTTGTAGTGTCTAAAGTGCCCCGTGCTTGGCTTTGTAGTGTGTGGAATGTCCCAGTAAAATGGCATACGACTTTTGTTCTGTTTTATACAACAAGGTTCATCTAATTCAACTTCAAAGGGCGCATTAGAGGATGTAGGCTGCAGAGGGCTTTGTGAGGCCGTATCATATGTCAGGGAGTAGGGGCAGACGTAAACACACGCAGACAGGTGCACTGTTTGCACGCAATACAATTATACACACCAGACAGGACAGAACCGTCAGATAATGTTCAGCTATTTAATAAAGGAAATGACAAAACTGAAGTTACAATGTGGCTGTTTTATGCCAAAGAAAGACCGGCAAGTATAATCAGCAAAAGAGATGAAGGAAGCACGTCTGAGTGGGCTGTTTTAGAGTTGAACTCAGACTAAACAATAGCTGCAAGACATCTGCCCTAAGGCTGGCTGCAAAGCTAATATTTTAAACAAAGAAATGTACTTCACCCAAGATTCCAAACAGATAAACAATGTGTGTGATTTATGGTTTCAAGAATGATGTGGGGCTGATCTTCCTAGCCCAATGCACATACAGTAGTTAGGAAATAATGATGACAGTCAGTGCAAACTTGTAGAAGGCCAGGTTTACAACAGGGTGTACAGGTAGGTGTTATTTTTGCCCGATCCCCATAAAGAGGTAAGGGCTTTTTGTAAATGTAGTGAAAGTTTAGGTTAGCCCTAATTCAAATAAAGGCTTACTGTTCAAAATATGTGTGTTTGGTTGCAATGTGCATTATCAGAAGTCAGTGAAGATCCCCAAACATAACACAAACTCGAGTGCAGACATATGTGACATGCTCAACTGCCTGGTGTGACCTATATGCGGGAAGATGTTGTGATTATAGAATGTCCTTTATGGTTTTCTAGAGATCTTAGGACACTGTAGTAAAGTAATGTTACTCACTTCTGGGTTCGCTCATGGTCACAGACTCAATGAAGTTTTGTGGTGTCATGTAGAGTTGTCCGTCATATTCAACGGAACTGAACATCCGGAATCTGTATTCGTGAGATGACATACGCACATCCCCGGTCTCAAAGTCAAACACCTGAGTCTGCAGACATTAAATCAAACATAATTAATTGTGTTTGCACATCCTAAATCCCCACCACAGTTGTCCTGAAGGACATAACAATAATGTTGGTCTGAAAATAGCAGAATAGAAAAGCAAACAATCAAAATTATTACACAACAGACATATGAACCAGGGTTCAAAGTGAAGGAGAGACACACTCTCATGGACAGACAAGTGATATTTTACAAAAGGTTTTAGGATGCAAGAAGATGCATAGCTTATAAGATAATAAAATTGCACACAAGAAAATACTTTCTACTTGATTAGCATCTTTCTGTCTGTGGGGGGAGGAGGTTTCAACCTGATTAGCCACAGCAGAAGAGGACAGATTGTGCAGCATGACGTGCTGTAATTAAGAGAGAGGTTTTTTCCAAGGGCACTGCGTTTCCTGCAGATGATCGTTCATTCATAAGGCTTTGATGCGCCTCACCGTGGGGGCGTTTCAGGGCACAGAGCTCCATAGACTGTGAGGAGTAAAAACTTGATTCAACTGTGTAAGTCAAAGTCAAACCTATGACAACTTACTACCACTAAGGTAATTATTACACAACCATTGTGACATGAGGGATATTAGAAAATATATTGTTTTGTAGCAGTACTGAATAATAGTGCATTCACTTTCATGGAGTAAATGTTTAAAGGCACACCGCGGACTTTGTGACCTAAAGAGTTGACACATATGAGTTATTTTATATGAATACTTGGGCCAATATACAGCGCTTGACACTTGCAATGCTCCGAGCGGGGCTGCCCTCTTGAAATACCGCCCATGTAAGTTTTGAGCAGACGGACCGTCTGCCACCAGGTCACGTGACTTGGAAGAAAGACTTGCTTTACGGCTACAGGCGCTGATATACTCATGGAGCTAAGGCTTTTGCTACTCATTTTTCACCTGCTCGACTCCTGGTCATGGCTGAGGCAAGGAAAAATTTTAAACCTTCGGAGGAGGCTAAAAAGAGGAAACGCGAAAGGGATCGTGCTGTAAGCTGCATGTCTGTATGAGCGCTGCTCTTCACCTGGTTCCTGGATGTCATCGACTGCAAAGATGTCATTCCACGCAGCACGAGCTAGACGCAGAACTCCCTCATCCAGGATATAGAAGTCCATGTGTGGTAGATTACTAATGCAGCGGTCTGGAGGCTGACCACAGCAGAGTCTCTCAATATCTGTAGGCATGTCTCTACAGTTTGAACACACACACCAGTGCATGCTGTCTGAATACACACTCAAAAGACACCGGCTGACTGTTTGTTTACTTTTGCGACAGTGCTGAGTTGCTTGTGGCCACTAGGGGCGCTAAACGTGAAAGTTGCAGGTCTAGCGCCCCTAGTGGCCAAGAGTTACACGGTGTGCCTTTAAAGGTGTAGCCATGCATATACAGTGGGGCAAGAAACTATTTAGTCAGCCACCAATTGTGCAAGTTTTCCCACTTAAAGCTGCATTACCTCACTTTATTTTTGTATTCATTAGTTAAATTTAATCCATATCCATGCAGTGCATTGGGATATACGTCCTTTTGAAGAATAAGTAGCGCAGATTTGTGCTGGCGTGTCATTTGTTTTTAGATCGAGTTTTTGTGCAACAAGGAAGAGAATTTGTTTCAGGACCAGATTGTGACCAATCACAGCGGACCACTGGCCCCCACTTTCTTGAGAAAAGCTACAGGTCTCTCGTTAGCACAGACAGCTGAGGTAAACAATCGGCGGAGGCTAACCTGAAACTTCCCGTGTCTTTGTTACCGGTTACTAGGGGTGGGAACCTAAGGGTACCTCACGATACGATACGATACACGATACAAAGCTCACGATAACGATAATATCACGATAACGATTTTATCACGATATGACGATATATTGGTTAGAAATATACAATATGCCAATATATGGCATAAATAAAAGAAAAAATACTCTTTCTTTCATGATAAATAGAATGGAGATGCGTAATGTAGCCATATATTAAATATTGATACCAATTTTTTTTTTTTAATGTAAAAAAAAAAAGTAAAAATAATAAAAATATATCAATTTTTTTTTTTTTTTTTCAAAATTGATAATTGATACTTGGCAAATGCATATCGATAATCGAATCGCGGGAGAAAGTATCGCGATATATTGAAAAGTCGATATATCGTCACACCCCTACCGGTTACACAGCGAAACATCCATCCAAGTCTTGTTTCTCTGCGCTTCCCGGTTCTATCATTCTATGGTCCGCCATCCACGTGAAATGTGCGATCCATATTGTGAGACATGAGCTCCGTAAACACATAAGCACATGCTGAGTGGGAGGGGGTAGAGGGGGCAATAGCTTCGTGGGTGCGGGGAGGCCGAGAAGAAAGAGCGAGGCCAGTGCTCACATTCCAAAATTTCACAAAGTGAGTTAGTGCAGCTTTAAAAGAGGAGGGAGGCCTGTAATTTTCATCATAGGTATACCTCAACTCTGAGAGACAGAATGAGAAAAAATAATCTAGACAATCACATATCTGATATTTAAATTTACAAATTCATCTGTCCATCCATACATTTTCTTCCCTTTCATACATTTCTGAGGGATGGCAGTCAGAGCTGCACCCAGTACACAGAGCACCAGCCCTCACTGATCCTCCTGCAGGTGGTGAGTCCACAGGAGCTGAGATCTTTCAGTGGGGGCTTCAGGCAAAGTGGGGTTAAGTGTCTTGCCCAAGGACACAATGACAGCAGTCATCAAAGGGAGTTGTGAAGTAGGTCTCATGGTGGGCTCGAACCCACAACCTTCAGGCCCAACTGAGTCACTGTCGCCTAAAATTGCAAATTATGGTGTAAAATAAGTATTTGGTCACCTACAAACAAGCAAGATTTCTGGCTCTTACAAATCTGTAACACAACCTCAAACAGTCACACTCCAAACTCCAAAGAGACCAAAGTGCTGCCAAATGACAACAGAAACAAAATTGTTGACCCTGAGTGCAGCAGGCTGAGAAGACTGAATCTGCAATAGGCAAGCAGCTTGGTGTGAAGATATCAACTATGGAAGCAATTATTAGAAAATGGAAGGCATACAAGACCACTGATAATCTCCCTCGATCTGGGGCTCCACGCAAGATCTAACCCTGTGGGGTCAAAATGATCCCAAGAACGGTGAGCAAAAATCCCAGAACCACACGAGGAACCAAGTGAATGACCTGCTGAGAGCTGGGACCAAAGTAACAAAGGTTACCATCAATAACACACTACGCCACCAGGGACTCAATTCCTGCAGTGTCCCCTGCTTAACCCAGTACATGTGCAGGCCCGTCTGAAGTTTGCCAGAGAACATTTGGATGATCCAGAAGCGAATTAGAACACCATACCTACTGTGAAGCATGGGGGTGGAAGCATCATGCTTTGGGGCTGTTTTTCTGCAAAGGGACCGAATTATGAGATTGTGAAATTTTGAATTAAAACCTCCTACCATCAGCTAGGGCATTGAAGATGAAACGTGGTTCAGCATGACAATGATCCCAAAAACACTACCCGGGCAATGAAGGAGTGGCGACAGCCCCAAAACATCACTGCTCTAGAGTAGATTTACATGGAGGATTGGGCCAAAATAACAACAACAGTGTGGGAAAACCTTGTGAAGACTTACAGAAAACGTTTGAGCTCTGTTATTGCCAGCAAAGAGCATATAACAAAGTATTGAGATGAACCTTTGTTATTGACCAAATACTTATTTTCCACCATAATTTGCAAATACATTCTTAAACAATTTTTTAATTATTTCTTTTCTCATTCTGATTTTCACACACACATTAAAATAGATATACTCACTATGTGAGGTGGGTCCTATCAGTGTTAAGGATTAATGTGGTCTTCATAAAGCACAATGTAAAAATAATAAATGTTCCTGAGTTCAACACTTTTTATATTTTGTATTTAGAAAATTATATTTGTTGAAGTTCACCTAGTACCTACAAATATTTAGAAGAAACATATTGGAACTTTGAGGTTCTCCTGGAGTTTAGGAACTGGGGTCTTTGCCCAGGGGCCGTCCGGTCCTTTTATGACCAGAGCCAGAGCTGTGTTCACTTTACCAGCATTTTGGCCTCCGGTTCTGTTCACTGTTTTTATGGACAGACTTTCTCAGTGCAGTCAGGGGTCGGAAGGGGTCTGGTTCTTTTCTTAAACAAACATCATGACAATTTGCATTGCCACAACCCATTACAATGATTTTCTATAGATGAAAAGAAAATTGGGTCCCATTTATCAATCCAAGTTTTGAACTACGAGAGCAAAGTCAAATGTGAATCAGTTTGCTCCCATTATGAAGGGTGCTAATCACAAATGCAAACGAAAAAACTAGGGCCAGGACTTTAACGCGTTAATTAAGATTAGTTAACGGCACAAAAATTAGCGCTTTAAAAAAATTGACGCATTTTAATTGTGTGTGTTTTTGCACCGCGGAACGTTCCTTACTGGATGAGTTTCAGACGGACCGATTGTACTGGAGCACCAACTCGAACTCCGTGACTTTTTTTGTTCAAAAGCACGTTATTACAAGCATAGACCAACTTTAGCGGTGTGTAAATCCCAGGGAAAGAGCGCTGTGTATGGTGCTAGGGAGTCGGTGTGAGGAGGAGGAGCAGCGAGCGACTCCTGTGTGTGAGCCGGTGTGAGCGGAGGAGGAGGAGGCGGAGGAGGAGGGAGCGAGACAGATGTGTAAGCTGCTATTGCTGATGTTTAGTCCAAATACACACATCAAAAACGTATTATAAAAGCTTTAGCAAACAGCGCATGCCCAGATTTAGTGCTCACTGCGAGTGCAGAGGATTTTGGGCATAAAAAGCGTACGTTGTGGACAGAGTGTGTGGAGGCGATGACAGAAACATTATTTAATGGGAAAGAAGTCTGTCTGATCCCCTTATCATCCACAATGAACATGTAAGCTTATGTATTCAGTCATTATTCAATGTGAAAAAAATAACTTCTCACTGTTCTCAGGTCAGATATTTATATGCGATTAAATTGCGATTAATTGATTACAAAGCCTCTAATTAATTAGATTATTTTTTTTGAGTCCCGGTGCTAGAAAAGACGAAAGTATTCTACATAATATTTGTGTTTTATTCACTCTTATTCTCAGCTCAACATGTCAGCTGTAGCTTGGCTTTAAAACTGATTGTGTAATATGAGCTTGTTCCTCTGTGTATGTTTTACTGATTTCATTGTTCTCTGCCTTGCACTTGAATGTAATGTTGATGTTGTGATCTTTGATGGTGCCACTTGGCCAGGTCAAGCTCCTAAAGACATTTTTAATCTAAACTCAAGTTATAACTTGGTTAAACAAGGTCGTGGTTTCCGTGGAATTTAGAATATCTTTAAAAAGTGATTACTAAACCTGTGAGCCCAAAGATCTGGTGGTGTTAGCAGAATGCCGCCTTCACCCACCCTCGATGTGCGCTTCAGCACCAGCGCGAGTGGAGAGCGCCAGTTTAGCAACTGCGCAGTCCGCAGCCAAACTGTGAGAAACTCTTTCCACTGGGCGTGCAGCGGGAATGAATGACACTATTAATCTGGCCCGCGACAGAAAAAAAAACACCCTAACCAGTCACCACACCTTCAGAACAAGACTTGCAAATACTCTGGCTGCGGCTAAATTTAGAGTGGACGTAAGATAGGCAACCAACAATTGAATTATAACATCTGCCCAAGAAACAACATTGGTTTCACATTGGCCGTCTACACTATACAAATATAACAAAGCCTAAATGAATAATACCTTATCTTTGGCTGCCACGGTCGGGATGTAGGGCAACAAACCCTGGCCATTGATGCCAGGTCTCTCCATCCTCTTCCCGGGTCTGTCACTTGTCCAATCATTGTAGAAATAATAAGCTACGACCCCTCCAGTTGCCAGACACACGCCAGCTGGGAGAGACCCTCTGCCTCCTCTCTTGTGTCCGCTCGAGAAGTGCTGTTTTCCCGCAGACCACAGGGTTGTGTTACGGGCCAGGACTGCCAGTCTGCGAAAGGCGGCCATGCTGCAGCTGCGCCTCTGCTGCTGGTGCAAACCTAGGCTGTGAACTACAGGGAACTATCGCGGTGGTTGCGGCTGTCATCGCGAGAACTGGAGGAGTCCCAATGCTGAAGTTGTCCCTGCATCGGTAAAACTAGACACGAGAGTTTTATACTGTTCTGTTACTCATAAAGGACAATTTACTTTACCAAATCAACCTTTAATAACTTACTGAAACCAATAAACTATTTTCACTCTTAGTCTGATTGTCTTAGAAATTGGACACTTTGAGTATTATTGTTACTGTAACCCTCTTTTATTCTGTATTTTTTTCCCATAGTTTGTTTTCTTGTTGCATTTTGTCAGCTATTGGATCCATACTTGTTTGTCGTCATTTTTTTTTTTTTCAATCTTTTACTCTACTCTCAACACACACAATTTTATTGAAATATCAATTTCTCCATAAATGTGCTTTTGCAGACACTCAAAGAGGCTTCATATGAGAATACTTACGTTGGTGATACTTCTGCTGTACCCACAGCTCACCTGAGGCATACTGACAGAAGTGAGGTAACCCGTGTGCCATTGAACATCCGAACATTTGAAGTGTCTTCACTCAGGACACAACAACAGGTTGGCACTGTCCTGTCACAGCCACCGCACTGTGGCACCTGCACTGTGTTCCCAGAGGTCTCCCATCACAGTAACCTAGCTCTGCTTCTCTTCAGAGGTCTCTCAAGATCTGGCTTACACATGCAGGTCTTGCTCAGTCAGGTAAAAACAAATTTAAGAAAAGAGATTTAAGAAAAAAAACAAGTGTACCAAATCATATGAAATCTAATCAGAGATTTCATTTTTGTACAAAACCAATCAGTTATAGTTCATGTTCAGTTACTGCATAACAATGGATACATTTTTCATGATCCCCATGCTTCTTATGGCAACAACAACAACAACAACATAACAACAACAACTTATTCTTGTATAGCCCTAAATCACAACAGAAGTCATCTCAGAGGACTCAACAATACCATTGAAATCACCAACACAGATCAGAGAATACACATATGATTTTTTCCATATAGGAGAGACCAATGTCCATGAATGTTGATAAATGTCCATACATGTTGTAGAATGTTAAAGTGTGCTGGATCATCACCACAGTCTTTTTTGTTGGACACTAACTGCCCAACAGACCCTCTTGCATCGGCAAGGAAAAACTCACAAAAACCCATGGCATCATGCATTCACTCCATACACGGTGGAGGTAAACTATACTGAAGCCAGCGCTGCCCTGAGGCAGAACCATACTAAGCAATGTGGGTGAAGTGACTTGCCTATAGGGACACAACAACAGCCGCAGCTGCCCCAGTCCCATCACAGCATTAACAAGGCCCTGCCCTGGTTCCCTTCTCAGATCTTATAGGATCAGGATTGTACGTGCAGGTGACGCACTACTTTAGAAATTTAGAATTTCCTATTTTTAATGTTTCTCTACTAATGAATTAATAAGGGTTTTATTATGGAACTGATGAAATTACCGTTCTTGCACAACCAGTCAACTGATTACATTAAATCAAAGTGATCAATCTGTATAATGAGGTTTTTCTTTATTCAAGATGAAAGTCAAGAAACAGTTGTCAAACAACCATCAAAGGTGGGTGATTAGTCTCGATAGCTTTGAAGTTGAGAGAATAAAGGGGAAGGTCTAGTGTTAAGACATTAGACTAATCTAATCCATTTAAACTGCAAACGAGTCAAACAATGTCATAAAGAAATTCAATTCTGCTCTGTTCAGAAAGAGTCTAGGATAAACGAACACACTTTCTGCTGGTATCAGGCAGTGAGAAAGTAACTGGTGACTTCTGTGCTATTAATGGTTTGTTTCTATGAGCATGCCTTAAAATTGAGCGAACAGATTGAGCACAAGCTCAATCCGATGAGACTGTATAAAAAGAATTCACCTGCTTCTTTACTTTGCACTCAGTTTAGCACCAATATTTATACATTTACATTGATAGTTACATAAACTAAAATATTCTAATGCAGCTTAAAAAAGGAAAAATATTGTTTTTCTCACACAAGATAATGTTAAATAATGTTCTTGTTTGTCCTGTTTTTCAAATTCATTGTACTCAAGTACTTTATCAATTCAATTCAAAACAATCTGAATGCCCAATTTTATTCTCCATTTTGTGTGCTCCTTTTCATGAAATATTGTTTAGAAGACAGATAAGATGGAGCAACATTTTTATTATCTAACTAACATTTCCACAATAAAATTAGTCAAAAGTAAAAATAAAAAGAACTGATTTAAATGCTTCGACAGTTCCAGTATAGTTAAAGACCACGTACCCCACGTTTGAAGACACTTGCATTAATAACCGTAGGCTACATATTCAGTTATTCCATTACAGGCTTTCGATTAGGTTGTAATTTCTTTGTGGCGCGTGTGGGTGTGTGGTAGGGGGTGATGGGTATAACCCTGGGGCCTCATCACCCCCTCCTCCTTCTTCATGAATTCTATAGGCCTGTGGTTCCTTCATGCTTGACCTTCCTCTGTTTTTCACGTCAAAATCAGAGCTGTCTTAAGTTTGGGAATTATTTTTCAATGAAAGTCACGTGACAAACCCGTAAGTGCGAGTGGAAATGTGGCATTGTAACTGACATCTTCATTGTGGTTGGATCGATATCCAATACATCAGGAGCTGATCAGCCTGGAGGCGATTCCAATCGATTCTGTCTCCTTTAGAAAGTTATTCTTCGAGGGTCATTAATATTCATGAAGTGCTGGACAGCTGAGGAGAGCCACCCACACCCGCACAGCATTCAGGACAGCTCCAAGCCCGCAGAAAACGCCAGCATTACGCACATGTGGAGGTGAAGAAACAATCTGTACGAATCAATGTAGCACAGGCTCACAGAGAGGCTCGCAACCACGTCTCACACCTCTGCACCTTCAGTCATTTATCAAGGCGGGTCCCAGGGGAGGGGGCAGCTGTGAGCGCGTGCCGACCTCTTCAACATAAGCGCGTGTCAGTAGTGGCCAAAATCAATGTCATCTGTGGCAGGGCCTCAACAACTGCCAGCACAAAAAACTCAAAAGCTCTGATCAATTCACCAGACTTCCACCAATGTATAAGACCGAATTACGGACGCTATACCCTCGGGATACATGTTGACTAAATAGCCCAAGTGTGTTTGACAAAGTTAGGTCGGGTTCCTCATTCCACAGTTTCTTGTATTTTTCCCCGATTATGCTGCATGTAGAGAGCGTTCAAATAAGGTAAGGTAAGAAAGTTTGCATTCAAATACTTCCAATCTTGGTCTTGTTGATTAGGAGTTCAGCTGCATAAGTTAACAGTTCAGCTGCCACACGTGAGTGTTTGTATTAGTTATGGTAAGTTTCACATGTTAGGGTATTTTTGGAGCTCGGCAGTTCAAACAGTTATTATTCCCCTCTTGAGGTTGTTATTGCCTGATCCCCTTACAAGATCTTTCCACTTTGATGTGTCTGTCTCTTTGATTTGTCTTTAAAGACCACAATTAAGGATCTATGGTTCTTATACAGTTCAAAGGATGGTAAAAAGATCAATGCTGGGATTGACAGTCAAGTGATGTAGTTTACACAGGTGTGTGTGCCTCTGAGAGAATGTGTAGTCTTCCTATGTGTCTATGCGGGCGCTGTTAAAGTGAGACTGCGGGGATACATAAAAAGGGGCAATAAATCAAGCAAGTGCGAAAATTACGCAAATGGGGGCTTTCCTTTTCTGCCTCCGACCTGCACCTGAGTCATTGGAAATATATGCGTGAGGCTATAAAGAAGAGCCATGTGTCCGACTGACACCATAGACATAATGTCTTTACTTAAGTTGATTCGTAAACCTTCACATGCGTAATTTAGTATTGGAGAAACTAACTCACTTCCATCTTCAAGGTAAGGGCCTATTATCAACAGTATAGCATTAACAGGGTTTAATGCACTCTCAGCTCTAGCTCTGGACATCAGAGGTGATGCAGAGCAAGGATGAAGGGGATCTCTTTCAATCAGCATTAAGCTATAAAGGAAAAAGATGTTGGCTCATTTGCATGATGGGCAGGTCGGGGGGAATCTGTATTGCGTAAAATACTCGGTCTGATTCTGTCCTCAGTGTGCAGCTGACTGCTGCTGAGAGGAGCTGGTGCAGGAAGGAAAGGCATCAGTGAATGAAGGAGAGAAAGAGAGAGAGGAAAGCCTGTGTGCAGTGGAGCAAAGGGGAGTATCCCGAACAGCAGAGGGGAAAGAGGAGAGGACACAAGGATAAATAGCTCAAGACGAGAAGAGGAGGCTACAGCAGCGAGCCGGGCTGCTCTGGGAGATAGGGCGGGAGTCTATCTTAATTAGATGGCAGCCTAATTAACAGTGCTGACTGCGCCAAAACGCGCTCTGACTGAGGGATTTGCCTTGACCCGCAACTTTTCTCTCTCCATCGCTTCCTTTGGGATAACGCGTCAAAAACCACCGGGTGGCTTTATCTGTGATGGGGGCAGCAGCGGAGGTTGGGAGCTTCGCCAACGTATTCCTGGACAGCTTTACTGGCTCCATTGGCGCTGCTTCGGCTCCTGTTGGCTCTCATTTGCTGCTCACCCCAGCCGGGGCCGTGGACTACAACTCGGTTACAGGACTCATAATGATGGGGGGACACGGGGCAGGAGCACACGACCACCTGGCGTCCGCAGAGAGGCTGTCCCGCAGCCTGACGGACCTCAGTCATCTAAAGGGGATTTTGAGGCGGAGGCAACTGTACTGCAGGACGGGCTTTCACCTGGAAATTCACCCTGACGGCACCGTGCAGGGGACAAGAAAGGACCACAGCAGATTCGGTGAGTAGATCAACTATATCCATAGCTTTTCTACTATGCGCAGTTGACGTAGTGACTGTAGTACACGGCCAGTAGTGAATGGGTATGCAGCTGAGTGCTTTTAAAATGTGATTGGATAAGGGGAAATACCCTATAGCTCTATGAGATCCACCTTTTTTGCACTTTATGTAACAATACAACACCATTGCATCTGATTAGCACTTGTCAGTTTGATAATAAGTCAGTGTACACAGGCTCCTTGCTATCTATAAAGTATGTGATATTGAGTTGTATCATAACTGTCTGTAACAGTGCATATATGTGCAGGTATTCTGGAGTTCATCAGTCTGGCTGTGGGGCTGGTCAGTATCAGAGGAGTGGACAGTGGCCTCTACTTGGGCATGAACAGCAAAGGGGAACTGTATGGCTCGGTGAGTAACACATCTCAACAGGATACTAGCTCATATAAAACAGGGGATGTAGTCAGATGATTTTCATTCCTTTTATTTGGTTTTCTTTTACAGGAAAAGCTTTCGGCAGAGTGTGTTTTTCGAGAGCAGTTTGAGGAGAACTGGTACAACACTTACTCCTCAAACATATACCGGCATGGAGAGAGGGGAGCTTTTTACTTTGTGGCTCTAAATAAAGATGGGACTTCACGAGATGGAACGAGATCCAGGCGACACCAAAGGTTTACACACTTCTTACCCAGACCGGTGGATCCAGACAGGGTACCGGAACTGTACAGGGACATACTGGGACAGAGCTGAAACTGTGGAGAAAACTGCTTCAAATGAAAAACAGAAGTGCATCTAAAATACAGTGGCCCTCCAGGATTGTATGAAGAGCACTGATCCACACTGCTGACATGATGGAAGGAACCAGAGCCTCTCCAGGGAGCGTACTGGAGAAAGGCAGAGAGGCAGCACCATTGTCCCGCTCATTGGCCTATGCTGGGGCCTTGGTGACCACGCAGTCAATGCTATGGAGTCTCCATTAATAAAATCCAAAACTGCATGTTCAAGGGGACAAAAAGCTTTGGACCTGATACCAGCTGCTTGCTCTATACCGTGGCTGTTTTGTCAGTTCCACACTGATATTGCTTTATACAAATGTGGCTGCTATATTTTATCAAAATGCATTATTAACCACAATTTTGTGTGGCTCGTTTACACTGTAATGTCATGCACTGGAAAATCATGTTTGTTCGGGGAAACAGATCTTGTAAGAAAAACTGTGGAAAGGTTCTTTCCTCTCAAGCAAGCACTGTTCTGAGAATGTGATGCTAAAATAATGCCATGAGGAGGAATTGTGAATCAAGATAGTGGAATAATGTTGAAGGACTGAGTGGCTTTCCCTTGGACTGTGTGGGAGCATGGGACAGACAAAGAGAAAATTATATTCTTATTTATGAGCTTCTGTTTCCTAGAACATACAGTATATTTATTTCATATATTATTTATTTTGAGAATATATTTTTACAGTTGAGACAATAAAAAATATTCAGAACATATACAAGGAGATTGTTGTTATTTGCTGCTCTTTTGTTTTTAAAAAACCATAATGGCAATTATTGTTATATACATATAGTCTTCCTTCTTACATCATTTAACTGGTCCTATACAACAGACAGTATAATATACGTGAAGGAAGTACATGGTCCAATACACACAAATGGCATGTTGAGCAGCCTGTAAGTTAAATACTATGTATACTTTGTGTAATACTGAAAGACAAATAGTGGATACATATACGAGTCTGCTCTTTTCAAGTTGTTCCTTGTTTGCCATCATGATAGGTCCCATTAAAGAAGTGCCTTTGAGGACATCGCAGATTTGTGCCATTGTCTTGTCAGTTTTGCCCGTAACATCTCCAGCTGCATCTGACTTCAAGGAGATTGTGTGATGTGTACGCTGTTGCCGCAGCATACAGGCTCATTGAGTGCGACTTGTGTCAGATAAGATTACAGAGCTGTGCCGCTTCATCTGCCCAGATGAGCAGACGAGAGCCACAGTGCACCAGGAGGCGCAGCAGGGTAATCCTGTGATAGGGGTAAACAAGGGAAGACCTCAGACAGCAGAGTACCAGCATACGACTGTCATAGAGGAGGAGGCTGAACTTTAGGAAACAGGTGGCTTCCATAGTAGATAGAAAAAAAGGTATTAAAGTTACCAGGCTGTCATATCCCTCTCCTTCTTTGAAGTTTGTGGGTGTGAGTGCTGAGGGGAGGCCTGTTTGTGTGAGTCAAAGTCACTGCATGCATTCGTGTCAGCACAACTTCCCAGAGTGTATGAAGGTGAGCCAGGGGTTCTCCAGACTAGAGGGCTGTTTGTCTGATGTGTGAAGGACCTCCACCCCCAGTGTGCGCCTTCTGTGGGGGTTTCCACTGCACTGCACTTTTGCATTTGATATTAGGAAGAAGTTGTGCACCATCATGGGGACTACACAGTTTTTAATAATTGCATTGTTCCAACCAACAGCAAAGCATTTATATTCACATCAAAGGCACAGAAGGAATAAAAGCGATGAGTCAATAGTAAAAGTATGACACTTTCTGCACTGAGCATATAAGAAAATGACATAAACAAGATACTTTTATCAAAAACACTCTGAAGTTGGTCTGTACGTGGCAGGTGTACGTTGTGCTGCACTGATGTGGGACACTTGCAGGTGTTGCAGCCACACGTCCTGTCAACACGCCTCTGAGGCTCGTGTGGGAGTGACTCAGCTGTTGTGATTGCAGAAACAAAAAGAGAAGGCCTGAATTCTTAGACGTATTAGGCATCAATGACGTTTTCTTTTCAGACTACAGCACATTTGGCGCTGTGTTACATGCATGATATATTATGATAAACATCTGATAGTTGGTGGGAGTTTTCAGGCCATTTTGTTGTAAAACATTTCATGTTGTTGAAAAAATGAAAACTTGAACATTAAAACAAATTAATTATTTTGCCAACTGCACTTATATTATGGATATAATACAGTATATTATGACTGAAATAACTGAACATACAAGTTAATGTATCTTTCACAATAAAACTTATGTGTTCATCCTGTTTTAGTGTCTTCAAATGAAAGGCTGTTAGTGACATATTGCAGATGAAAGATCCTGGCTGTGTGCATATTTTCAACCCTGTTATCATCGACAGTTGCGGAGCGGCTGTACAACATGTTTTTGGTCGGAAGGCAAATACCCTTCTAACCACTGTCTTTAGCTCATATCCACAATCTGGAAACCACAAATTACATGCAACATGTGTCCAACATGAAGATGGACAAAGAATGAAGCCAGGTTTGGTGGATCTCCACAGCTTTGTCGCCCTAAAAGCAGAGATCATTTCAAAACTGCTAAAACCATTGTAGCGATGTTTATTAGAGCAATTCAATGCATTATTTGGCTCATTTTCTCTTAAAATATCGTGCTTTAAAAATAATAATAAAATAAATCCAGTTGTAATATTAACTCTATTCACTGTACAAACAGCAATTTCTGGAAAAAATCAACCATAGAAGTATAGCATTTGCTTCTTCCCTCTACGTATTGATGGCCAAGTAATCGAAAGCGAGATTTGGCAGAAGAATAATGGGGCCATATGGGGAGAGGGCAGTGGTGAATAGATATAAATTAAACCTATAAATCAATTTAAAAGAGAAAGCTATATTTGTCAATCCAGGTGTTAAACTGTGCGTGTGAAGTAAATTAGCACGTTCAATTTTCGTGGTATCCATTTGCACAAGCATAAATCAGTTTGCTCCAAATGTTAAGAGATCATAATTATATCTCATAAGGTTCATAATCCACTCACTCTCACTTCTCTTCAAGACCATGTTGTTAAAATGTATACACACTCAAAGTATTGGTAATTGAACTTAGGAGGCCTCCCACATCCCTTTTTAGTCAGAAAACACAAAATACATAATATGGCGGGGTGGTGGAACATTTATTGGAATAACGCAGCAGAAGGAACACATTGGAATTATGGACACAAATAAGAAATCAGTTGAACCTGTAGCAAACTATTCCTTTGACACCTGCAGGAAACTTTCTTTGAGAGAAACTGAAGCTGAATATCGTCCTCGGCTGACCATGCACAGCCCTGAGACGCCAAGGGAGTTCACTTCATTTCCCCGTTTGACCAGCGGGTGTGAAATGTCCCCACTTCTATTCCCTCAGCCCAGGAAGCCGCATCAAGGAGTCACTGATCCACACATCGCATCCATCAAGGTAATGAGGTTTTAGGCCCACAGGTGCACGTTCAGACATTATTCTCACCCCTCCAAATTACAGCAGATGGCTCTCTCCCTGGCCTCAGCACTGCACAGCCACTGTCGTCAACTTCTTAAAAACTTTTTGAAATTCAATTTTTTCGCCATAACGAAAAATACTCGCTTGCACCAGGGTTATTATTGTTTCATTATAAAAAGGGCTCTATATAACTTTCCTGTGGAGGTGATTGATTGTTTTTCCTTCGTTATGGCATGCACTTATCTTACCTTAATCAAATTAAAAGATTTGCAGCTTAAGTGGAAGTTCAAACTGGTAGACTATGCATGCACTTCATTGCATGTCGCTGGCCCCTCCTCTTCCATCACATCAGCTTCGTCAACTACCGGGCCAGCCATGCCAATCAAGCCGGCTCTTAAAAGCAGGACACAGCACACCAAACATACTTTCAAGCTACAGCCACCTCCTCCCCACCTCCGCCTCAGGATTTCATCGCATTCTAGAATCCACCTTGCGACATCCACCAGTTTCTAGGCCCCTAGGTTCATCATCTGCACTCAAGCATCAATCCTCAGAGTAAGGCCACAGCCGGGGCCTGTAACTAACCAAACTAATAAACAACAAACAAACTTGCAATCAATAAATCTTGTAATACATCTTGTCTCTTGTGGTCTCTCCAGATTTAATTATTTCGCACATTTTATACAAGTGATCTCAAAATACACTATTTTACAGTAGAGACAGATCAAAATGTCTGCTGGACAGAAAGTTTCGAATAAAAGAAACCATGATTAGGGCAAACCATGAGTAGGGCATTACAATATCTGATCTACTAGTTACAAATGCATGTATTTCAGCATATTAGGAAGGAATCCACAAATTTTTGAATATTGTATGTGTGTTGTAAGTGTTTTTATTAAAGTATGTGTTACTTTTTCCGTAGGGAATTTTCTCCTCTACATTTGATCCATTTTTCAATGCTTTTCATTTTTCAGGAGCAGTTGTTGCTACATTGCTGAATCTGGGGACCCATCTTCAGATATTGATGCACAGTTTTGTATATACACAGTATGAATAATTCCTAATACATGTAATTGTTGGTATTGTGGAAGTAATAAACCAGTAGTTCAGAAGATGAGTGTTGTGTTCCAGAGACTAAACTATTTTAGCCCAAAGCAGAGGGGAAAAAACCCACGACCATAAGACCATGTGAGGATGTTGGCTCAAGGTAATGAACATGTCCTTATTCGCAGTAAAACAAGTAATGTACAAACATGGGCTGAACGCCAGCTCTGAAAGGAAGAAGCCATAACTCCAAAAGAAACATAAACGGGCCAGATTACTATTTGTAAACACATACAGGGACATTGCAGGTTTTTGGAGACTTGCGGTCTTTGAGAATCTGTTTGGCCATGATGAAAATGTGGAGGAGAAAAGGGAAGGCAGAAAGCACAACCCTTACTCTGAAGCATGGGAGCCTCGTGGTGTGGGTCTCTATTGTTGCAGTAGGAACTGGTGGACTACATAAAATAGATGGCATCAAGCAGAAGGAATAGTATGAGGAAATATTGGAGAAATATTGAAAACATCAGTACAAGAATTAAAGCCTTGGCGGAAAACATGATTCAGTTACACCTGTGCACACCCCTATGCTTTGTTTAGTTACCCCAGGAAAAAAACGTCAAAAATAATTAAGTTAGAATGGGCTATATGCATGGGGAGGCGTGACGTCATTATGCCTATGCTATCCTATGGCATTTAGGTGGGTTTTAGTGACGTTTTTTAGTAATTAGATCAATACATTCAGCTGAGAGACGGACCCAAAAGTGTCGCTGTTCTTTCTCTCTGAGGTAGAGCTTTGACTGTGGCCACTCAGAGAGATTTTTAAACTTTATAAAAACACAATGACAGCACAATCAAAGAGCACTGCTGTGTCCCAAAAATGCCCAGTATCCTCACAGTTTAATTCCCGTTTGAGCATTATTTGGGAAACTCGTGTAAACCACTGCTGAAATCCAGTGAAACTCAAGCCGTTTCCCGCGAACAGGAAGTGAAGTGGCGTTGTAGCTAAAACGCGGAAGTGGTGCGTGCATAGAGCCCATAAACAATGAATCTGGTGACAACTCATGACAACTCATCTATTTTCTTCGGTTACATACTTAGAGAACATTGTTTCTTTAAATCAATACTTGAGCTGTTTTATATTTGGACATTGTTGAGGTCTTCCGGGGAAATTGTTATGTTATTTTCAAACATAAGAAACATCAAGACATCATTGTAAACACATAGGATCCTCCTGGTATCTCCTCCATCGGCTATCACATAACTTGAATCAGTCATTGTTCCAACACCACGCAGGCTCTGAGCATAGCTGGAAGTAATTAAAGCAAGTGCGGCTAAATTGAAGTATATTGAACTCATCTCTCACACGCTGCTGCTCTGTCGATAGATCACTTTCCGAGCTTTATTGATCTCCTGCAAAGACTCCCCGCTGCAAAACACTTATATCTGCGGCTGCCTGGACACAGTCAGACGCAAGGAAACAAACATGAACAGGACACCCTGCTACCAAAATACTTTTATGCTCCATTTAAGGATTTTAGTATATTATTGTGTGTTCTATGGGGAGGCTGCCTTTCAGATTCATGCAGCTAAAATCTGAAACAATCTTCCTGAAAATGTGAGATAGGCCTCTTCTCTGCCATTTTTCAAATCCACGTTTAAAACATTTCTTTTTAGATCTTTTTAATTGGCCTTATATCTGTAGCTCATTATCACATTCTTGAATCTGAAAACTCATAGTTTTTCCTCATGGCCCTGATATTGTGATAGAGCAGAAGTCTCCAACCTGTGGCTTGGGAGTTTCCCGCTACCAGCTCGCCACCCCCTTTCAGGTAGCTCCCCAAAGGATTCAAGTATTTAACACATGATCCTGAATGATTCACTTTGGAGTCAAGACGTATCTATTTGAACTACAAATGTTTTGATTAATGCGGGGATACCTTGTGTATATTATGAATGTGTGTCCTTCATAGTTATTATAGTCTACAATTGTATTCTGTTTAATAAAAGCAGCTCTCCAATCAAAAAAGGTTGGAGACCCCTGTTTTACGGAGTGTACAGAGTCATTTCAAGACCATAACTTGATATAGCTCCATGGTATTTTTTGTTGTTGTTGTGTAGAAGCTATGAATTCGTATTGAATGTGGGACTAAAGATGACAAAGGTGCAGTCGATGAAGGAAGAAGGGAAAATCATTACGACATGTTGAAATACCTATTCGATTTGAGTTAAATTGATTGGTTGTGATTTCAGATCAATGCTAAGTGTGTTAGCATCCACAGACTGTCCTCACACTGTGGCCGAGCCTACGAGCACAGATCCTCCACACTCTCTGTTTCTTCAAACCACTAAACATCCCACTATTTCAAATGTGTTGTATGTGGTTTGAGATGACTCACACTGTGGTATTATATGGAGGTGGATACATACATACATTATAGTTTCAATATAAAAGCAGCAAGTTAGTGATATGAACTTTCCCTTTAGACACAGGAGATAATTATCATATGTCTGCCACTTCAATTGCATTTATTTTTAATTTAATATGTATTTTGGCCATATGACCTTGTGTCATTTAAATTAATTAATTATTAGTATTTTATGGCATAACTAATGTGTCCCTCTCTTGGCCTAACCAGTAATGGAGAGCAGCTTCAGTGACAGACAGATTCATCCTCGCTGTGTGAAGGAGAGGTTTTGCAGGTCCTTCCTCCCTGCTGCTGTCAGGCTGTACAACGAGAATGTGTAACAAGAACTGCTGAGTCTGTACAAGTGTCTCTGATAATAATTCACCAGTAACTTTGTCACTAGTCACTTTACCTGTTATTAGTATTACTGCGTTATCCATCCATTTCATAGTTCTGTCATTCACTAGTCCCTTTACCTGTTGATATTATTACTATTGTTTATTCTGCTCATATTCCCCGCTGCTAAAGTTTAACATACACATCTATAAATACTTTCAAACCATTTATAGCTCGAGAGTTTTTTTTAAATTCTATTTTACCGTCTTATTATCTTATTTTAATTATATTGTTTATTATATTAATTAATAGACTCTATTTGATGTGTGCAATCTGAGTGCTCTTATTTCCTTCTTTCTCTGCTGTAATGTGCGCAATGATGACACTGAAATGTCTCCACTGTGAGATGAATAAAGGAATATCCATCTAATATTTGCTGGCGGAGCCTCAGCTGTTTATTAAGGATTAAAATTCACTGCGGTTAATCAGGAAGCTGTGGGGACAGATCTAATTGAAAAGTTTTAACCTTCACTTTAATTAGCATGTTGATTTTTGGCACACACTGCAGACCCGGTATTTAACCACGGTGTTAGCATTGTGAAAGCTCAGCAAGGGTCAAACCAAACTTCAGATTTATAAGAATTCAAAAATCACCTAGTGAGCACCCAGGATCAGAGGGAACTGCATCTTAATCGACTATGCCTAGTTCATCATGCACAAGGAGCAATAGACACTTTGGAGAGACAACTTTACAAAGGAAAGAGCAGCACCTGCAAACTGCCCAAATGTGACAGGGCTCACTACGTTGTCATGCGTTGTCCTTCGTATGAGTTGTGTGTACTTTTTTAACCTTCTCCACTCAAGTAAACAACGGGCTATGACACAGTATGGGTTTTTTGCTATCTAAATTCTCACTTTTGTTAGTCTGCGTGTTCACATTGGGTACGCTCCGATAAGTCTGGGATAAGGAGGGTTCATAGTTGCTCATTGGTTGAAACCACCATCATTTCGATTTTTTTATTGCCTTAAATTAGAGCATATTTTTCTTAGTTTACATCATTCCTCCGCCAAGGACATATTACTCGGCACTGCAGGCACGGTAGCCCTGGGACAAGTTGTATGGACTGTCATTGTGTACGTAACCACCAGCTGCACTAATATGTTCCACTTAACTGCAAGATCAGTGAAGTGTTTTTACATTGAGCACTATTTGAGCTAAATAAGTCTTTTTTTACTTGAACAAAGCCTGAATGTTGGAAGCTAAAGTTAGTGTTCTGTTATATGGTAAAAGTCACCAATAACATGTCTGTGCATGCTGGGTGTAGATTTGAGCTTGATGATGCGTCTCCACTATCAAAACCTGTGACAGCTCCTGAGCCCCGCACATGAAAGACTCGCAGGAAAGTTTTATGACACTTTTGCTCCTAGTGTGTGTTAAGGCCGTTTTTGCAAAGTGTGGGCTCTGAAAGGTGCAGAGTGGTCTGCTCAACCCTCAGACGTCTCATCATTTCAGAAAACAACAGGATTTCAATGACACTGTGTTTCCAAAGCTTTGATGGCTCAATACAACTTATAATCAGGTGGATTAATCCATCCACAGATTTGGGCTGGGATCACCTGGCAAGGATCTTCAAATATGTCTGAATAAAAGCAGTGGCTTCAGTTTTGGAAGTTCTATCAACAGCCGTAAAGCTAAAAAAACATTGTTTCAATGTGGTGGTTATGTCATTTGTTAAAAATGACAGTACAGTGTGTTGAGTACAAGACAAAAGATGAGTACAAGACAAAAGATGACATCCGTGAACACTATCATAGCTTCAGGATTTCAGAATGATCACATTACTCAGCTATCTACCACAGTAGTGTGTGGTTGGGCATGGCACTTGTGCCTCACAGGAAGAGCTTGTAGGTCAAATCCCTGTGTCATTCTTTGTGGAGTGTGCGTGTTTCACCATAGTGAAGGTCGACCTGTAGAGCAGCTTCAACATCTGGAGATGAATACTCACAGTTTAAAAGCAGGGGACACATTCAAGGTAACTTCATTTTCAATCAATTTTTTTGAAACATGAAGCACCCATTTAAAAATGAAACTGGAAGGCAGGGGCTGAAGAGTGAAGGAGGCCATTAGAATGAATAATCAAATTCAGATTAATTTGAATAACCATGCCAAGCCCTTCCAATGGTTAGAGGGAATGAGTAATGTACATGCCCCTGGCTTTCTTCAGCCTGGTCCTCATCATATGTAGGCCGCCCGCTACCAGCTGTGGTGTGCGGAGAAGGACTTGTCCCGACATGAAACGTATGTGTGCAGAGGCAGTGCAGAGTTCAGTGGCTCTGTCTACGAGTGTACGTCGTGTTTGTGTGTCCTGCAGTGATGGCTGAAGCTGGCACATCCCGCTGCTCTTTGAAGGTGTGTTTTCATACACACTCGCACCGACCAGCTGTTCCTCTCTCCTGTCTCTTTGATGTCTCCACTTTTTCCATCCTAGCCACTACTTGCATCCAGTGCGCAGAAACACACACATGCTGTAAATAATTCCCCAGCTTACGGCCTTCAAATATTATGACTGCTGTTAGTTGATAATTTAATATTTTTGAAATAACCATACTTAGTCTTTTAAATGATAGAGAAATTCATTGTAAAATATAGCAAGGAATCTCTCTTCAAAGAGAGGTTCATTTTACATGTTCTACAAAACCAGACTGAAGTTTAGGCTCATGCGTTCACACACCTTGTTGAAATGTCTGGCACAACTGTGTTTGTCGGTGAAGCATAGTATTTACACTGTGCTGTAAATTTTATTATTTTATCACCTACAATCTGAATAATACAGCTATTCAAAGCATATGATGATGACTGAAATACTTTAGTCATTATCACTAGTACATTGTGTGCACATTTTACTTCATTGGATCTATAATGTAAATTCATTTGAGCTATTGTCAAAAATGAGACAAGAAGCTGATCTTCAGTTGGGTCAAGCACAACTGAAGACCTTTTATTGTGGAATAATGTCACATGCAACAGATATTTTCTGTGTGATAACCAAAACGTAAAGTGGAAATTCACTTGATTACACTGGGTAACAAAAAAATATTTTTTGAAAATAGTCCAGGGTTTTCCAGCTGAATTAGACTAATTTTGATGCTCTGAGTCCGAAAATGACCTTGGTTTTGCTCAATCAGGTCAGGATTTTTTGCTACAGAAATATTTTTTTAAATCGATTTTGCATAAAAAAACAAATTTCTGCGGATCATCAGCTGAGAAACCCTGGACGTTTTTTCCGTTTTCCTCAAGAAATAAAAGTCAACGTATCCAAAGTCATTCAGTTTTTATTTACTCCATCAAATTTGATAAGCAGGATTCATAATAACGTAGACGTAAGTAATACGTAACACTATGGCTATATCTCAAAAAGACCAAAATTAGTCTAAATCAGTTGAGAAACCCCTGACCATTTTTTGGCTGTCAACTTGTGTTATGATTATGGCCTGTTCAGCTTTATCCACATCACTTGCTTAAGAAATGTTATGAGAGAGCTAGAAGACAATACAATTGATTTACTATTGTTGATTTATAATTGTTTTAGCATATTTGTGAATTTGTGTGCCATGTGAAAATCAAGTGGTCTTTATCCCGATTTTTTCCCATGTTGTAATCTTTGTGTGACCGGCCCCTTCATCTTGGTGCCATTAAGTCCTTCTAAAGTTACATGTTCTAAAGTTCTAAAGTGCTCTTTGTCCAGCGGCGGGCATCAGGTGAACCAGACTGCCCACATAAGGGGCCCCTACACCTGATACACAGACCGCCATGACCCCACAGCACCCAACATGCTGCTGTTAAGGTTGTTATTCACTAAAAATAGGCCCACTAAAACAATCACCTATGACTTGTGTCTCAAATTTGTTGCACTGAAGCTGAATACATCCAAATCAAGTAGATGGTGGAATGACAACGGTTTCTGCCTGTGTCTTTAAAAAGTATTGGGACATGTTAACAAAACTGCTGCAAATTTGAAAAAATACTGGTTGTCTGGGTAACGTTGTTGAGTTCCTACAGAGGGTGAAGGAAATGTTACCTACCTGTGTTTGGAAAGACAAAAATACTAAAACATTTCAAGATCTAGTGTTTTCAAAAGATACAGAACACATGAGAAAAGGGTTCATATTTGAAAAACATTTGTCACTTGACTGATTGAATGAGTCTTTGAAGAGATACTTGGTTGTTAGTATGTATATGTCAAATAGAATATTATAAAAGTAGCATACGATAATGAGATTATATCAAATCACCAAAATGTCTTCGTTACACTTCCTCTGGAATGGACCGTTTCACCGTACTGCCAGAGAACATGACTCTATCTTCTAAATGTCTGGGCGGTACGGTGGCTGAGGGGATAGCACTCTTGTATCTCAGCAGGAAAGTCCTTGGTTCGAATCCTGGTCGGAACAGGGCCTTTCTGAGTGGAGTTTGCATGTTCTCCCCTTGTCTGAGCAGGGTTCCTCTACCACTAAAAACTTGTACAATAGGTCTGGCATGCGCGCCCTGTACTGGCGACCCCGCTCTCTGTGTGAAGTGGGAGACAAATGCTGACAATTGTAAACCGCTTTGTGACTCTGGTCTGTGAAATGTGCTATATGAATAAAGATTACTTACTTACTTAAATTAAATGAGTAGTGGATGTCGACTTTGCTTTATTTCATAATTACCATTTGACCATTATAGCTTTCCGTGGTCTAGAGCAACAAGTGAAAAATGATCTGAGAAAGGTGTCAATGGCGTAATTGCATAATTATGAAATGTTTTTTTGAACATCTGCTACTTGATTGTATGGTGCTGTTTTTTTTTTTCAGTCCTTAGCATTTGCACCTCAACAAGAATATTTTGATGTGCATTACTACCCTTTTGAAAAGCCTTGAGCTCAATATCTCACTGCAGAACTGAAATAAACTCAACAAAGGAGGAGTTCAGGTTTTCCCTCAACTATAGAGCTATTTACTGCATGTCACCAAAGTGCTGCATGTTTTGAAAGATCTGCTATTGAGGAAATTACTGAAGGACTTACACATAGATGTTAATTAGTGTTTAACTGGGCAATGGTTTGGACAAGAGTACAATATCTTTTTTACTGCTTCTTACCAGAGTTGTAACCATCAAACGATTTTATGTTTGCGAAGACTAAACTGTCACTTATATTTGAACAAATTCTGAGCAAAACAATATTTTATGTCTGGTCAATCTTTGTTCTATTATTATCCCTATGTTCATACAGAAATGATTTATGGCCCATTTTTATCTTCAAACGCTTAACCTCTACATCTCAGAATTACGGAGTCTACCGCTCAGAGCTTTGTCAGCAAAATTCCTAACACAGGGGCCAATTTTTCAGCCGAGTCAGAGGTGAAGTTGATGGATTGGACCAGCGGTGGCTTCTGCCTGTGCTATTGATGGGCAGCTATTGCACCAGCTGCATAAAATATACATGACAGTCTGACACCCATCTGAAATGAATGGTAAAGGGTAAAACTAAAAGCATGATAATCTGCTTCATATTTATGACAAGTGAACCTTCTTTTCACAGAAGTCTGCCCTCTGAAACACTTTAAAATGTACATGCTTTAGGGAAATAAAACACAGCTGCAACCAGAGCATGTAGCACGAGCACTGAAACAACCCTGCAGTACAATCTATCCTGTAATGATTTCCAATAGACACCTCAAACCGATCTGGAAATTAGAGAGAATGAGACTAAAAATTCAGGGTTAGGTTTAAGATATATATCCAAATATCTCAGCAAGTAATCATCTTATGTCAATCAATGATGGGCAAGTTACTCCAAAATGGTGTTATATAAGACTAGTGGATTCACAGATGGCGACAGAATAGGGTGACAAGTTTAAGCCCGAAAAAAATACTAATTATCTCGCATTTGTATTGATTGGTGATATCAAGGACCTCAACACTGAACTGAAAATAAACAGAAATCTCTAGCCTCAAGATGCAAAGGCTGGTCTTGTATCGAGGCAAAGGGGGATCTGTTAAACTCTTGCTCCATCCTTCCCTCTCTTGTGATCTCCACTTGAGGAAAACCCTCTCACCCACATCAAGAGGGCATGGCACCTTTTTCCAGTCGAGCACCATGGCCTTGAATTTGGTGCAGATTCTCTCCAGTGAATCTCCACTCTCTTACTTCAACGTTCCCAGGACAAGTATCATGATACCTTAAGGTGAGAGAGAAGTGGAAGGTCCAACTATTCTCAAGCAATTTGTGTTGTGTGAGGCTCACTACTGGGACTGCAGATGAAAATTAGCTGTCTGACTATAATCTGTCTTTAAACTCAATGTCTCTGTGCTAAACCAGTCCTTGATGCACCAAACCCTCATGAAATCTTCTTTGGGTGCTGATACGAAACCTAACCCCAGACCTGTCAGTGCCAGGACCCCACCCTGATCCTTGACTTGTTATCTATAACTCGTTTGTCATAGAGGACATACCAGGCATACAGGCATCCTTCCTTCAAGGGCCATTCAGTCATGCAAACTCCCCGCCACAGTAGTCAACTTATCAAAGTGCCCTGTGCAACCTTTCTGATGGGGTACCCTCCTGCATGTTGCCATGGAGATGCTTCAGGTAGACTCATTCAACTTTTGATACTCATCATGTTTGCACTGTTCAAAAACGTGACATGTCACAGTGACTGGACCCTATATATCTATACATATATATGCACACACACACACACACACACACACACACACACACACACACACACATATACATGTATATATACATATTGTATGTGAATGTGAAGTGCGTGCGTGTGTGTATGTGTTCATATGTGGGTGTGTGTAAATACATATTTTTATCTATATTTCATTAACATTATAAAATAAAATAAAAGAAGATGAAGAAAGTGCCTTCAGCATTGCCTGAATTCGGTAATGCTGCCATCTACTGCCCTACACCTATAACACAGTTCGGGGTCACATAACACATAACACATCAACAAAAAAATCTTGCTTAGAAAGCAAAATCAACAGCTCAACCAAGCCGAACTTTGACTAGACTCATGGCAGCCTGTTCTCATCCATAACTAACCCTGAAGTATATAATTATAAGTATATAATTTAATGATTAACAAAAAGGACGGCTGTAATGTTGTTGAAAAACAGAGGGGGCGCTGCTGAGTCAATTCAAAGTAACGAGCTGCACGTGTGCGCGCCGTGTCTTTAAAGCCTCCTGCTGTGGTGGTGTCACATACTTCATGTGTCCAGAATCAGCGGTGAGTCTTATAGCCATCATGCCCACCACTAATGTCTCCGAGCCGCACTTTTCCAAGTTCAAAAACAAAGGCAAAGATCCCACAGTAAGTCCACGTACTTTACAACCTATATTTCCAGGTTAAATCTAACATCTTCCATCTCAGAAACTGCGCGAGAAGAGGATCGCTGTCAACGTGAAGTTGCGTAAAGCTCACAAAAATGAAAGTTTCATGAAAAGGCGTCACATTACCCTCTCGTCGCTCCCTGACGATGAGGCGCTGTCTCCAGAATATGTGACTGATGACAAGGTTAATACACCTGACAATTGATCCTGTTATACAATTTTATCCTTGATTGTGCTCCTATTACAATTTTGTGCTTCATATGAAGGTATTTTCTTACTCTATTGAAGATATAGTCAAAGATGTGAATAACAGCAGCAGAGAGCTCCAAACTCGGGGATGCCAGGCTGCCAGGTGAGCTGAAGTAACATAACCAGTTGGTTTGGCCTTATCTGCCATTTGCTTTAATCTCAACAGAAAACTGCTTTCTCAAGAGCTAAACCCTCCCCTCAAAGAGATCATCAATTCTGGACTGCTGTCTCAGTTTGTGTCGTTCCTGAGTATGGATGATGAGCCTGCTCTTCAGTTCGAGGCTGCATGGGCGCTCACCAACATCGCCTCAGGGACCTCATGGCACACCCAGCAGGTACACTGGCCCTGATGAACACACCCAGCAGGTACACTGGCCCTGATCGAGATTATGTCCCATTTAATCTGTGTAGGTGGTGGAACACGGGGCTGTGCCGGCTTTCATTGCCCTGTTGGCCTCTCCTCTCTTGCACATCAGTGAACAGGCAGTCTGGGCGCTTGGCAATATTGCAGGTATTAACTGATTTGCATTTGACTTTTCTACAGATGTAGGTAAACTGACTGTTATTGGCAGGTGATGGTCCATGTTATCGAGATGTTCTCATTGATTGTAATGTTGTACCTGCGCTGCTTTCCCGCATCTCTCCTGACACCCCAGTAAGTATGTATTTTTTTTTCTTAAAGTAAATTGTTTTTAAATTCATTTTTTTCCCACCATAGATTGGTTATCTGCGCAACTTAACCTGGACTCTTTCAAACTTGTGTCGAAATAAAAACCCCTCTCCACCCATGTCTGCTGTTCAGCAGGTGTGTAGAGTTTTGTACAATAAAAGTGGCAGAATGCTAAAATATCTTGTTACAATTTTAGGTTTTGATGTAGGTGAGACTGGAATTATTTGTTCAGTCTTGTTTTTATAGTAAATGTGTAATTAAAAGGCTTTCTTTATTCCACCAGATGCTTCCGTCAATGATCCAGTTGCTTCATCACAGTGATAAGGACATCTTGTCCGACGCTTGTTGGTCCATGTCATACTTGTCGGACGGCAACAATGACCGTATAGATTTAGTTGTGAAAACTGGAATAGTGCCTCGACTGGTTCAGCTTCTGGGCCACAGCGAGCTTAGTGTTATGGTAACTTTAAAATATTGTCTAGACCTGCATTTTATTTGTAAAGAGTGTATACATTTGCAGTACTTCTACCACTTCAGACCCCATCTCTACGTGCCATTGGGAACATTGTGAGTGGTTCTGACACTCACACTCAGGCTGTCCTAGATGCTGGTGTGTTGAGCATACTGCCCCAGCTCATGAGACACCCAAAGCCCAGCATGCAGAAGGAGGCGGCATGGGCCTTGTCAAACATCGCTGCTGGCCCGTCCAACCAAATCCAGCAGCTCATTACTTGTGGCCTCCTCCCCCCTCTGGTTGAACTACTAAAAAATGTAAGTTTAGCATTTCAATAAATACAATGTTTTCCTAAAGTACAGCATTTTGGTAAAGCTTTCAATAATTTAGGGAGACTTCAAGACCCAGAGGGAGGCGGTGTGGGCAGTCACAAACTTCACCAGTGGAGGCGTTGTGGAGCAGGTGGTGCAGCTTGTGCAGTGTGGGGCCCTGGAAGCCATAATAAACCTCCTACAGGTCAAAGATGCAAAAGTCCTCCTGGTCATTCTCGATGCCATCAACAACATATTCCTTGTACGTTTCATAAAGATCTTGTTTTTGTTTTTTTTTCTCCTCTCACCTCTCAATCACAACTTTCTTAATTCCCTTTTCAGGCAGCAGAGAAGCTTGGTGAGACTGAAAAGTTGTGCTTGCTTTTTGAGGAGCTTGGAGGATTGGATCGTGTAGAAACATTACAGAATCATGATAATGAAACTGTGTACCAAGCTGCTCACAACCTCATAGAGAAATACTTTTCAGATGTAAGTAGTGGCATTTTTAAAGCTACAATAGACTGTTAATGTCTTCAATTTCATTGCAGGAGGATATTGAGACAGTTGCTGTCGGACACACAAGGGATTCGTTTGTATTTCAAAGCCCTGATGTCCATAAAACCTTTAATTTTTAAAATGTGTCAAATAAATATTCATAATTTACTTCTGGATTTGTAATCTTCAATTTTCCTGAATTTATGTAATTATGTCCAGTTGAGAATTTGTGTATAGCCCTAAATCATAAGTGATTTTCTTTGAGGACTTGACCAAACCATTACATTTGCTAACAAAGATCAGAATCAAATTCAGTTTGAGGAACACTGGACTTTTGTGCTAAATTTTAGCACAAGTTTGTTCTGCCCAGACTATCGTTCTGCCACTAATTTAAATGACAAAGATTTAAGTTCCTGGGTTTAATTCCACTAAGGTTTGCATATTCGATGTCTAGGTTTTCCCTAAACATGTACTGTAGAGTATAAATCAGGTTACTGGCATGTGACTGCGCTTAGGCAAGTTGATTAAAAATTCTTCCAAATGTCACTTTATTACAAAAACATCAAATGCAACATTTTCAGTTAATCCATTCAAAAAGACTGCTCCACGTGCCAATTTAACTAATTCTTAATACCTAAACCAGAGTACTGTGTGCTACTGCAGCTCTGCATTTGAATTCATTTGCTAAATGAAAGTCATTGGCAGCCCATTTGGTTGTGATAGCAGTCCCCTTAAAAAAAACATGTTCAAAATGCTCTAAAACTACTTGTATAGTTTACATGTGCAATACAAAATCTGTCATTGAAATATCCAGTAGTTGCTTCACTCCTACATCTTCTCGTATGTGAGTTCATGTCCACAGGTGGTGCAGGTTTTCTTGAACAGGTCTTCCTCTGGGTCCACCTCTTCCTCTGGTCCATACTCGTGTCGATGAGCACTGGTGTCTTTGGTCCACACGCTGCTCCTCACCGCCCTGCGCAGTTCTACAACCAACATGTACCATTTCAGGATTTATGATCAACTATTACAAAATAAATCTGAATGTAACAAACCTTTAACTTTTTTGTTGAACCGTTTCTGCTTTTTTACTTCTTTGTTCTCCTCCCTGGTCTCTTTGGCCTCCTCGAGGGCTTCCTCAGACCCCCAGACCTCCAGACTCCTCTTTTCAACCTGTTGAATAGCAGTATATATATATATTGGTGTGATGAAAGATAAAAACAAGTAGCAGAATTGTATACTATTATACAGTGTTAATATATTTATTCAACAAATACTCAAGAACAGTGCCACATATGTGTATGAAAGGCGCTCTACAAATAAACTTTGATTGATTGATTGATTGATCTCTACCTCCTCATCCTCTTAAAACGCTGAAGGCATATTTTCTAAGCTTTTCCATTTGTCTCAAACCCCACTCTCCCACCAATGTGACATGATCCTTGCACATGAAATGTATGTTGGTCAGTCGTGGGCAAGTGTTACCTGCACTTTCAAATATAGTTTCATATCGCCCCAGCGAGGGTTGTGTGGGTTTTTCTTCAGTATGAATCGAAGAATTGGCTCTCGTTTATCCAAGTCACAGTCTTTCAACAAGTAATGCTGTTTGGCCTCAGTCCGAGAGATGAGTTTGTGCTTTTCCTCATTATCCCTGCAGAGGAACAGACATGGACATTATCATAATACTGTATTTGCCCCTTGCCCACATTCATGCTACAATCACCACCAACCAGGCGGCTTCTGTAAACTCTATTATATTTGTTTGTTTTGTTTTCTTGTTGCCAAATTTAAAACCTATATGACATTAGCACAAAACCATTCGCGATATCCATGAACATGTATTTATGTTGTTGAAAATTATTTTTATTTTCAGGGAAGAAAACATTTGTGTACGTATGTGTGTATTATGTTAGCCTCATCATCACATGCTAAATGATTCAGACTTTTACATTGGAACCTGATTTCAGACGGGAGGAAATTCTTTAAGTTCAGTGGAATCGGTTTTGAGTTGTGGATACTTGGTTTCCCGTTGGTAAATAAAAAAATAGATTGAAAGAAAATCAATTTATTATATTATTTTAGATTTATTTTTATTATAGTCATGAAAAACTTTATTTGTCCCACAACGAGATTTCCCAGAGAGGCTTCTAAATTGTATTGCTGTACATGTGTTTCAACTTATTTTTAAATGCAAAATATTGTGGACTTGTTTCCCTGTTTAACAATACTACAGCCGAATGTTACTGTAAATAGAGAAGGGATAGACTTCACAGAGTTAAGTTAACAGAATGTTTTGGCAGCAGGTTCAGTTCGAGATGGTCACCGCAGAAGCCCACCTGCACTTGTCGCACACAGACAGGTCAAAGCTGTTGCTGAGATACGAATCCATGAAGGGTTTTTCACAGTCATCACACACTAAATAGTCTGGCTCAATCACAGGCGCTGCAAAAATCAAAGAACAATATATTTAAGCAAACAATAAAAGATATTTGAGTAACTACAGTGCCATTTCTATTCTTAAGAAAGATTGTGGGATGTTTCAACCTTAAGTCTATAAAACACAGATTGTCAGTCGAGCTGCATAGGGAGTCAGTTTGCCGGGAGAAGTATGGAAACCTGAGCACTATCCTCTCCACCTTCCAACTTTATCCATCTGCATTATGACTTTAACTGTAGTCTGTTCATTGCTATTCACCCGCTGTCCATTTGCCTGTTTCATGGCGTGATGATGGGACCCCTGAACCCAGCCTCTTCCATCTGCACCTGAGGACTGCCCTGTCCTGCCTGAATCGTGGGCTGGACCCCCTCCCCGCCTCAGTCCTTTTTCTGTAGCCTGAGTCATGGATCTATAGCCCATCTGTCTGTGAGAGCGGAGGTTTCTAACCTTTTCCCCACTGGGTTTTAGAGTTTTTCCCTTGCCAGTGAAGGAGGGTCTAACAAAAAGTAGTGATGATCCTGGACACTCGAAATTCAACAACATTTATGGACATTTATCAATTCAACATCTATGGAGATTGGCCATCTGCTGGTTATGGACTCGATTTTGTGATGGCAAATTCTACGTGTTTTGTTAAGTCCTCAGAGATAACTACAATTGTGATTTAGGGTTATGCAAGAATGAATTTATTGTAGTGTCTGAAGTATATTTACTTTTAACTGTACTTGTTTTCTATGTTTTACAATTGGAGATATTCTTTTTTTGTTCTACATTTATTTTATTTTCCTTCATTTTCAGAAAAAAACAGTTTTTCAGTTTTCTTCTTTTTTAATGATGACAAAGTCTTTCAAGTAGAGTTAATATGGAGAGATCGGTAGATACTTTATTGATCCCTAGTTGGAGAAAATCAGGTGTCCAGTAGCAAAAACCCACCCATCCTTACAAAGATTAATATATATATAATTAGCCAATTAGAATTGCAATAATCTGTAAAACTAATTTTCATGTATTTCAATAGGCACACATTAATGAATAATCACATACAAACTGTAAAATATATATATATATATATATATATATATATATATATATATATAAATGTGCCAGATTGTAGATAAACTGCTTATTCCAGATTTTTTGAAGATCTATTTTCTGAAGTTGTTTAGAATTGAGTGGCTCCACAAAACTGATTTTGATACAACTACCTTTGTAAAAATGTACAATTGTAAAAATATTTTGCATCTACTTGTCTTTTAGTGAAATAATGCTGGTTTAATCTGTTCATGTAAAGCACTTTGAATTACGGTCAGTACAAATTTTGCTCAGAAAATATATTTGGATTGGATTACAGGTTGTAGTATCGTCTGGATGAAATATCCAAGATGGTGTGTGCACTCAACTCCAACTGCACATCGATGATCCACCGGTGATGTTTATTATAAATACAATAACATTTATGCGCATTTTGTTTTCCATTTCTGTTATAAGTTGATGGTTTCATGTAACTTTTTATACATTTTGAATCTTCAGGATTTGCATGAAAATCATAAACACTGACTGTAACTTATAATAAAGAATAACATTTGCGCAGTTTGTCCATTATCTGGGGACACAAATAAAATAAGCTGATGTTATTTTTGAATTAAAATATTACAGATTCTGTAATAAATATGTATATACATACTGTCCCGATGTACTGATCAGCAACACGCTACCTAAACATAGGGATCACGTGGGACGCACCAGGCTGCTGCACCACCTTCCTGCTGCTCTGCTCTTCCTCCACATGCCCCTCTTCCTCGATGAAGAAGCCAGCCCCGGAGTCTATAATCTTGGACACTTTAGCGGAGGTCGCGCCTTCCACTGCAGACAGGGGACGGTTCGCCAGTCGGGCTTGTCTCAGCATCAGAGCCTGCTGTCGGTTTCGTTCAATCTTAGCCCGCATGGCCGCAGACAGAACGACAGGAGCAGCTTCCTTTGGCGGCTCCATTACGACCAGATTCAACAATGTTAATTCATAAAGAGAACCATCGCCTTTTTATAAGTCAAAGCTGCAGCAGGAGCCTGATCATAGACAACCTGATAGAAAACATGTTTACATCCTGTCTCCAGTCTTTATTTTTTGAATCCTCACTACTGCCCCCACTGGTTTGGAGTATACATGCAAGTCAACGTGGACAAATGAACAACCCTACTACAGTACGCCCACCGTTTCCTCTAAAACACCTCCAAAATTATGTTCAATTTCAAACTAAATTCTTTACTGAAACTGAGGCCCTGTTGTTTTGGCCTCTGACTACTTAATGCAATTATATTGATAGATAATATGAAAATTAGCAATAGAACTGTTTTAAGAGTGAAATTATGAGTTTTTTATATTATGAGTATTTAATTAGACTGATCCATCTAAAGTTAGGTTCCCCTGCTTAAGTTGAACCCACAAGATCTGAGTGACCTGCAGCTGCCTGGATAAAATGTTCCAGGTGAGTGTGTCCTACAGTTGCATCACAGTGAGGGCATGAGGCTCGCTGCAGTAAGAGGCTTGTGTTCGTCTTAAGAAGATCACTGACAGATGACAGTGCAGCCTGTGACCTGGTGGATCAAATATACAATCATTGAGTGTGAATAGTCAGATATTTCTTGCATTGCTTGGGGAAAACTCCAGAACAAATGTATATCATGAGAATTCTTTTTATTTAGGTGTATTTCAATATGTCCAAGGACATAGTGCAGAGTATAAACAGGTTTAAAAACAACAAAACGAGAAAGACAATTATGTGACTGACAGTATTGTCTGTACAGGTGGATTTGGAGAGTGCATTTGGGAGTAATAAATGTTGGAGGGAAGGAGGAGTTTTGCTATTCAACGTTTCTAACCTGATATATGGAGGGATGTGCTGTTAATTTCAATGACAAATTTCAAGTCATTAAAACAGGAAAATACCAAACAAAAAGGATTCACCAAGTGCCAATGTTTACAACACACCGGGCTCATGGTCACAATCTGAACATTTGAATATCTGTTTAGGCAATACTGCATGTATTATTACTATATACAGGAGTTTTTAGCATTAATATGTGTCCCAATATCTGGTATCTCTAAAAAACGTTTTCAAAATTGACTGGGTTATGAATACAGTAGTCATTTTGAATATTTTACATTGTTGTCATTTTGGCATTGAGTTGCAGACAGTATTAAAAAACATACTCCAATGAGGTTTACTTCAGTTTTACGTCAGTGTGGTTTGCGTAGCAGTCAAAATAGTCAGATGCAAAAAAATAAAATAAAATAATACATTACCTTTACTCTCTGAAAACATTTTTGTCAAGGCTTCACAAAAACAATGTGGCTCTATGGAGTGAGAATATACAGGTGCAACTATTGTTGTTCAAAATTGAAATTATTTCTGTAATTTAAATAAAATCTGAATTTAACATACAATGTAGACTCATTACACACAAAGTGACAAATGCCGAGTGTTTGGTTGCTATAATTCTGATGATAATGGTTTACAGGGTTAGGGTTATTTTGTATTTGGGGTTTTTACAAGCCTTGGGCTAATCATCAACATTACAACACATAGAGGCTTGATAGATGTCAATGTGCTTGTAATAAGTCATATATTAGTTTTTCATAGTAAATTAAATTACAGAAGTAAATGGTATTCATATTTAGCCTGTAAATCCAATCCTGCGCTTCAAAAGTCAATATCCACAGTCCACAAAGACACCCCATCATTTTACTTCCTAAAATAGTTTGGATAGCTAATCTAGAGCCAGCCATAATGTGTTCCTGAGATTTCTGTAAAAGTAGCTATAGTAATCTCTGAAGTGGTTCTTGCAGAAGGCAAACCAAGCAGCTCACAACATGAGAAACATTCATGTCTGTAACAACAAAAACGATGGTTGCTATAAGAAGTTTTTTTGGTTACATCATGCGACATCACCTGGCCCTCATTATTATTTGGTCACAAAAAACAACATCCTTTGTAGCCACTTTCTGCTAAAGAAAAGAAGCAGATCGATATTCCCTCTGTGATCGCTTCACTGTCATTGAGCCATACGACAGAGCTGGGGGGCGGTAGTTGTAGAGAATAATATTGTGTGGAAGAGAATCTTAATATGATGATTGATATGTTGGTATGTAATCTGCTTATTTAATCCTACGCATGAGTCTTGGAGCATAGTCAACATTGTAATTAATGTCCATACACATTTTTCAGAGCCACAAAAGGCCAAAGATCGTCCGATGCATCCGCAGCTTTTTTAGTCCCAAGTCACAAACAGACAAAGCTCTTTTCTGTCACCACTTTGGTGAGGAGCAGTTCATTTGACCTCTGGTTCATGCTAATGTAATTAATGGATAATGTATTGATGCAGTTTTGTGCAAACTTGTTTCTCCACCTCCGTGGTGTGTTGGTACAATTAAAGTGTCTTATGTCTTCGTCTCTTTCAAACGCTGATTGGACATGTGATCATTTTGTCCTCCAGCATCACACTGACGACCAGGAACACAAAGTACAGCATAAACATCAACAATCCCAGGAACTTGCTCATTCTCCACTTGCATGCAGCGATGGAGATGATGACAAAGAGCAGCATGAGGAAGAGGAGCACGATGGCACAGAACAGCCCGTTACTGCTCACCTCCACCGCCTTGAAGTCATTGAGGATGTTGTAGAGGAGCCAGGGGAATGGCAGGCTGTGCAGAGGAAGACACACACGCTCAAAGGCTGGACCAAACATTATGGACCACTTTATTATATACTGTGCAAGTGAATAAGTGCACTCACCCCACTGTGATGTCAAAGATGTTTGAGCCCACTGAGCTGGATACTGCCATGTCCCCCAGGCCTTTACGTGCCACAATGACACTGGTGATCAAGTCTGGGATTGAGGTGCCAGCAGCTAAAATGGTCAGTCCCATGATCTCCTCTGTGATCCAGAAGGTTTCTCCAACCTAAAGAATATTACCAGAGGAAACTTTTAGATTAAGTGTCTAGCTTATGGATCTCACAATTTGCACTATGGCCACAGCAAGAAGTCTGGCATCAAACTCATTTAGCTTCTGAGATCAGTCTTCAAATTTGACAAGCAAGTGTGGCCACTGTTAATGTGCATTTTTCATTTGCGTTTTATTGTTGGATGAAGCCACAGCTGCCTTGTGACAAACACTACTGTAACACAAGTTTACACCGGTCAATAATCAGGTCAATTCAGATCAGGATGAATCATACTATTTTTCTATATACATTTAGGTTTGCATTCTGTAAATTATTATATGCTGAAAAATGTAATACATTTGGGGTTGGAGTTTAGTTTTACAATACTTTACTTGTTGCAAAAGTTACATTATTTTATCCTTATCCTTCCAGTGTCTGTGCCACAACTCTTTTTGAAGCAAAGGTGGCCCGAGGTCTCTTCTGTCACCTTGCACCATTAAGAAAAAGCTCCAGTACTGGACCTCGTGGAGCTAAAATAGATTGTTACAGGTTGATCTGGCCGAGGATCAGGACAGATTAACTGGCTTTAGCTGCCGCAGTCACACATCCAACACCCTGACTGCTGCTCTCTTCCACAGGATCATGTCAGGCTCGCTAACAATTAAATAGGCAAGGTTAAAGCTAGGGTACTTACATATTTTGTTTCATAAATATATTTTGTTTATCACAAAAAAAATTATATTGTTTAACTTTTTGTGAACAAATCAGACCACAACATGCTGTCTTAATCGTAATGAGAGCTGATTGGCTGAGTGAGGCCAAAAATGCATGCATGAGAAAACTAGTTTTGGAGCCAAACTTTTTCTATTTTCTATCTAGCCAAACTATTTTCTTTTAGGTGAGAGTGCATGTACCTGATGAGCCCACCACACCATCAGATACGAGAAGAATGCAATCCAGGAAATAGCTCCAACAAAAGTGACTGGAAAATACTTTTCAGATGACTGAAAAAAACAACAACAATTTAGTAAAGGAGGAATGGTAAATTCTTTTTATGAACTGTCACTGCTCAGTTCATAAAAACACAAACAATCAGTATGACATTGTGTGGTGTTTTGTGTGTATTTTTTTATTGTTTACGTTTAAACATTATGGCCTGTGGTCTGTGTATTATCTAAAATAATAATAAGAATTTCTGCTCAGGGAAATTGTGGTCACCTCTCTCCTAACATCTGGCAGTGTGATCCAAAGAGGGAAGACAATGGGCAGAACAATTAGGTAGGTGATTCGTTTCCTGGTAGTGTCTGGCCAAGCCAGGCTCAGAGGCTGGTCTTCATCCTCCTCTTCCTCCTCTGGTCCCTAAGGAAAAATCATTCAGTGTTCACAAGTAATATTGTTTAAAAAGATGGTTTTGTGATTTTACCTCAGTACCACCAGCAACACCGTTCATTGGTGGTGTGACTTCAACTGCAACATTGGTGTTATTGGGAATCTTTTTGTCGGCTGAAAAAAAAAAGACAGAATTTTCTGCAAGCTGCAAAAAGCGTAGTACTTTGAGGTCGATCTTTGTTACACACCTTTTCTCTGTTCTCCTACACCATTGGCATTAATAGTTTCCTCTTTACATTGATGCTTGGCCATTTTGTGGAGGATTGAAGCCTTCTCTTTGAATTGCCCTGAAACATAGCAATAACAAACCTGTTATTCAACATCTGAAAAAGGATTTTACCGAATACTGGTTTGTACCGTCACCACTGAGAGGGTCCAAGGTGTGAATCATGAGCTGGAAGATGCTGTTCCTCATCAGAGAGTTGTGGAGAGAGGCACAGCTTCCTTCTCTTTGCAGTCTGGGTTTAGCCTGTTTGATAGAAATGTAATCACTTTATATTCTATTTGGTTAATTAGAAGTACTTTTTTATTGGTTCAACATTATTTTAACACAGCATTTAACTAAACTAAAGAAAAGCTACTGTGACTCACCGTGAGCTTGTTCTCATTTTCACTTGGTGGAGGGACCTTTAGAAACAAAACAAAATGAATCCCAGCTACAAATATGCCATTATTCAAAGATTGTCTACTATCACCAATCACTACAGCTGACAGCTGCACTGCTGGAACAGGGGATTTGGTGTAGACAGAGAATGGTAGTGTTGTTTGATCACAGCTATTCTAAAAACAGAGTTATCTACATGTGTGTGAGGGTAAGCTGCCCACAACACTGTTCAGAGGCAACCAGCGGAAAGAGAGAAGTTTGAAAAAACATTTCAAAGAAATGTTTGGGGAAAGCAGTTTATAACATCAAGGTGAAGTTGTCAAAAAACATGTTTTAAGTTCAAGGCAATCCAGTTATTTCAGAAGGGAAGAGAGTTACAAGACATCGTCACATCAAATCACAAACATGCTCCAGTGTTTCTCCAGTCAGTGAACAGAACAGAAATGTACACACAACGCACCCGGGTTAGGGTTAGGTTTCAAACTTTTGGTTGTCCAGTGGCAAACAACAGGAATTCAAATAGAGCCATGTTCCTCAGTCACCCTGATACGGTTACTGGAGAACATATACGTCTATGTAGTAAATATTTTTATATGTAATATAATATCTACATTCCTTGGTGTTTAATTTGTGGTTGTGTACATTTTGGAAGTTGTTTTTTTTTTCTTCATTTTTTAATATGAATTTTAACAAGTAACTCTTTCTCAAAAGCATGATCCTGCCGGATCTCTGAAGCTAAGCAGTGCAGGGCTGGTTAGTACTATGATGGGAGACCTATGGGAACACCACGTGCCACAGTGGGGCGACTGTAAAGTGACAACTGTTGTTGTGTCTCAAGGAAAATGATTGATGGTTAGAGGGGCCAGTGGCATAGATTAGTTGCCTTGCTTCTGTCAAACTACCCCAGGGCAGCCATAGCTACAGTAATAGCTTACCACTATTGTATATAGAGCAAATATATATTAGCATGTGCAGCATTTTTGAGTGTCAACAAAATCATTATATAAAAGCCGATGTATTATTCATTTTATTTACTTGTGTTTGGTGGATAAAAGTAATTTTGAATATCCAGAGCCCTCAACTTGATAAGAATAAAGAATCTTTTACCTGTCTCTTGTTTTGAGTTCTGTATTCAAATACAGTTGAAGTATCGCCTGACACTTGGTTTAGACAGGATTAATCTTGTGAACTCGTTTGGAGTGTTTTTTTCTGAAGCTGCGTGTGAAAGCTCGCCACCCTTCCTTTGAGGTCACTTCAGAGCCCTTAATTCATGTTCTCTATCAGAAGCTGCCTCCTCAAGGATCACACATAAACCGCATGATTATACTACAACTAAGGTTTGTTCTTGCACAGCAAATACTTAACAAACACACAACGAATTAAACACGTATCATTACGGAATATTTTAGGTATTCTATTTCATTGATAGTACTATATACAACAGCAGTACTAGTAGTTTTTTGTTAATTTTTGCCTTTTTTGGTAACTGCTACATTTCCTCTGGTACAATGAATGGATTCGTGAATTATCTATCTATGAAATGCAGTCTTGTTGATATATTTGGTTGACAGGACAGGACCTTTGTGACAGTATGTTTGACTGTGCTTGTTGTCGTCACTGGAGGTAAGCAGCCGCTAAGGAGATCAGAGAGGATTGAAGTCTTTGGTGAAAATTCATCAAATACATCTGATGTTGTTAATATCTTCTGGACTCACAGTTGACCGCAGCAATACCATTTGAACTCAGGAGAGACTACAAATAATGAAATATAAAGAAACAATTCTTTCTCCCCAGTGAGTGTTGAACTATTATTAGCCATTCTAATGAGATTAGAGGGCATTAACCTGCGGATTATAAACTGACATATGAGGCTGAGGAAGATGTGCATAGAGAACACAGCCACAACAGAGAAAGTTACTTCTAATGTGAGAGTTAAACCCCATAATATGTATTCAAAATAGTCTTCAATTGGCATAAAGCCTTTCTGTTTTCTGTTTGCCATGAGATCTATTGTATTGAGAATGTCCCTGCTCTTAAAGTATTTGTTGTGCTACTGAAATCACCAAAAGCATTGAATGTACTGTATACGCCCCTGCAAACCTGGGGAGGTGATTGAATTAACTATGGGCCTTTATATCGTTAGTAGATGCTAAAAATATTATTTATCACCTGTGTGTAATATGAGATTACAACATCAGAGAGCAACAGATCTGACTCCAACTGCACATTCAAACAAGAAATACACAATCAGAGACACTACTCCAAAGAGAATGGCCCTCGGCACTTTTTGAGTAGCTCTCTGAGTAAATGTGCTTAACATTCGAGATAGTTAAGTGAAGAGTGATGAAGTGTTACTTGACCCCAGACCAATCACTTACAAATAGAGAAACACACAAATAACCAGAGTGGTCTCACTTTTTGCATTGGATATATTTCTTGACATGTTACACAACACTGTTTTAAGAGCTAAAGTGTAGCTCTTATAACTTGGGGATTAGGCCTGTTAGTCAGTACAGAAGTCTGCCTCTGCTTCTTGGTTCAAAGCCACAGGACATTAGAGAAGGGGGAATAACCCCTCCCTATGATCATGTTATTAGAATCTGTTTGATAGATTTAGATGTAGTCATAGTCACTGGACTAATGACAGCCATACAAGATTTACAGAGAGAGAGAGATTGGTGGGGTGCAGGACTGCTTACCTTTGGTTCACTCTCCAGTTTGTCCACCTGGTTGCTGCCAATTGTGCCTTTAATAAATGATTCTACTTTGGCATTGAACTTCATGAATGTCACATAGGTGGTGTAGCACAACAGTAGGCTTGCACTCTCCCCCACAGTGATTTGATTGTCCAAAAAGAAATAGATGAGCATGAGGAGCCCCACTATGTAGAATGAGACATCTCTGAACAGAGGCCACCAGGTGAGGTTCAGCACCTCTTTGGAGAAGAGAGCACACATGCCGATGACAAATAGGATGTTAAACACGGCAGAGCCCACAATGGTACCGATGCCTACGTTACTATGTGAGACAAAGACTCCTATCACAGAAGTGAACAGCTCTGGGGCTGATCCTCCTGCTGCCATGAAGGTGGCTCCTGCGACATCATCTGAGATCTCCAACTTCTCAGTGATAACAGTGAGTGCTGGAACAAAGAACTCATCGCAGACTATTGCTAAGGATATGAACATGTACAACATGCCGAACATATGAAGCACCACAAAGCCTTGGCGCCTCTCCTCCACAGTAAAATAGTCTGTTGGGTAGTCTCCATGGTTCATTTCGATCTCAGATGACTTCATTGCTATAGGTGTGTCCTCAGTGAGGTTTGGGTAATGCAGAAGAGTCCTCCGGGGCCCTGCTGTCTCTGGGCCCTCTGTTTGTAGCAGTGCAGCTGTAGTTGTGGTCAGTGACCAGGCACTCCATGAACAGACTGTGCAGACCACCACCAGGCTGAGGATGAAACCATAGATCCTCCCAGGCCGCAGCTTCCTCCTGACTCCATGGTACTGCAGCCGGGATGCACATCTGCGGCTGTCCAGGAGTGGGACAGAGGGACTCATGTCCTGACTGTGTCGGGGCAGCATGGACACCATGTTGTTGTGGGTAAACAGCCCAGGGGCAACTATGAGGGTGGGGGCTTCACAGGACGCAGCGGTTCACCGATTTGTCTGCATGCTGCTCCGTGGTCTAAACACAGTGGAAACACTGCTGTCTTTGTTCTACCCATTCAAAGGCCTCCTCATATTATATCCTGCAGCACACAGAGAGGTAGCAATCATTAGTCATTGATAAATGGAACATATTACAATAACATGTAAACAATTAAACAGAGGCCATTAATTCCCAGTTTAAAAGGGACAGTATATGGTTGTTTCATATAGGTGTAAATCCTTTCTGCAAAAAAAATCTAGACCAGGTGTTTCACTGCATGCAGAGCACAAGCCTGTTCATTCTGGTACTACAGCTGCCAGAGTATAGATTGAACCAGCTGGATTTCACCAAAGAAACCATAATGGGACCCTCATTCTACTCTATGATTGTTTTTCTTTCTTTAACAGATTATCCAAACAACATGGTCATAAATTTGCCCAGAAGTTATGAATAAATCTGTATGTACAGTGTGAAACTAGAAAAGGCTATATATAATGTGTACATGTGTGCATAATTTATATCCTGCTCCATGATGCTTAATAGTAACAATTATGGGCCTTAAATTATACTTGCTTTGGTTCAGTTTATGGTGTATATTAACAATAGGATGTTAGGTTGAAGAAAGGCCTGCTTGACATTGTGCCACTGCCTCAAAATGAGCTCTGACTTTAGATAAAGCTCATTAGGTTTCTATTTAATCCCTGAGAAGATATACTTAGATTAGCCTGTTCACTGAGGCAACAGCAGAAAGTAAAAAGTGAACTAAACTGAAGAGATAAAACCACAAATCAATGTTATTCTCTTTTTATTTCATTCAATTCAAAGAGCAAACCTGTTGTTGAATTGATTTTGGTTTCTCTCACGAACACAATAACATTTAAACGGAAAAATATCGAGGCCTAAGATCTCAGAGCGTGTTCACCTAAGAATAAAAACTGCTTAGAAACAAAAATCTACTTTAAAACAACATTACATCCACAAGACATTACACCCACTCATTCATACTACACAACATTAGGCATATTTTGTACCTTATAAGAAAATAGGCTTGAAGTCTCTCCATATACGTCCAAATCCTGAATGTAATTGCTAATAAAATAATGTCCGTGATGAGTGTCCAGACTGAAGCCTCTGGGGGTAAATCCCTTCAATTTTCTGTGGCAGATCCCAATGGAGCTCCTGGAGATCAGGTCAAGAGCCAGGGCTGGACTCCTCCTCCTGTGCCCGCATGCCCCTCCTGTCATTTACACTCACTCACAGATTACACAAGACTGTCCTCTTTCCCACCAATCTCCTCATAGCCTCTGACCTCTGCACAAAAACTACCAGTCTTCTCAAAATAGCAAACGGCTAACTAAATATAAAATACATACATATATAATTTACACACTCAGTCATAGCTGTCATTGTTTTGGCCAAAGTTTGGAGATGATTACTCCAATACTTGTATTCCCAATTATTGTGTTTCTATTTGATAGGTTGGTAGTTCACACAATCTACATGTAAAACATTTATAGCCAAGGCAAATTTTGTGACGTCTGTCCATTGAAGAGCTTTTAGCACCATTAAGAACAATTTTACAATTGTAATACGTCCAGATTAGTTATTTTTAGTAGTTGTATGAAGCCATATATTGTCAAATAAACAAGTTTTCCATTTTCCAAATGTGTCTCCTTTAAAACATTTCATTTATCATGCTGTACCTGGGAGCATGTGGATGGCTGAAGCCTGTCAGGGTTTACACGTGAAACTAAGCTTCATTAACAAACTGTTCAAGCTGTCTGACTGTATGGTTTTCATTTCCCTGTTTAAGAATGCTGTAATATTTAATTATAATTCAATGGGACATCTAAATAATAAACAAAATGAATGTAAATTGTTAATGTTAGTGTTGCTTGATTCATACCCAGCCCCTCAGAGTGACATTTAACAAACACAGGTTTAAACAGTAATAAGATGATAAATCTCAAATGTTTACACTTTCAGTCATTAACTGAATGTAATTTTATAAGTTGCTGGTTTCTATATTTAGCCCTGAAAGAGACTAAAGATGTTGCATAACAGCAGCTCACCTAAAGTGCACTAAGGCAGGTACATCTCCTGCAGGAGTCTACGCTAAACATATCTTTGGGCTAAAATCCTTCATAGATATCTACCATGGCTTTTACCATTTCAAACAAAATACACATCACAAGGGACACAAGATTGGAACCATTTTATTTTTCCTGATCAAATACATTTGGCATTAAGTTTTAGAGTAATTTATAGGCTGGCCCTTGTCATAAATAATCAAGGAAAAGGCTGTTTTCTGATTTGGAAGCTTGCTGAATTAAAGTTTTTATTCTCAACCCAAAATTGTCCTTCATGTAATGAAATCACCACAAAGGCCTTTGTTGAAATCAAGATTTAACTCTCTTGCCGTAACTGTCCACCACCTCAGGCGTGACACTGTCGTCCTCGTCCACATCTCCAGTTACAGATTTTCCAACCAGCAGGAAAATGTCCTCAGCAGCGACGCCCATGGGCTCGGCCACCTTCACCGCCAGCATGTCCAGGGTCAGCACAGTTCCTTTAGGGATCTTCACTTTGGCCACCACAGACTTCCCAAGCTGTGAAAACAATTAAGATAAGTTATCCATTATTATTTGGGCCACAATGGTGAAATTTCACAAAGATTGAAATATGCTTATGAGTCATTTGTATAGTGCATTTAACATTCAAAGAAGCAGTGACTTTCTATGAATACTTTCAATTGTCACTGAGAGAGCCTATTCAGTTGTCTGGGTGATTTGGCACACTTAAATTGATGCCATTTGCCTGACCAGGATTTATAAGGACTATCAGTATTTCTGGAGACCTCATAGAAATGATTTTTGGTTAAAAAATAAATAAATAAATAAAAAAAGCAAATTTTTTAGACCAGAATTTTTTAGACTTGACGATGTGGCACCATTAAAAAACATCTTCTACAGATGCAGAAGAATATTAGAGGACGATAATACTTAATTCATCCCACAGTGGGGACATTTCTGTTTGATGAATACATATATACACATGCAGCGTGCAATTAATTCCACTCTCCTTATGGGCAAAGTGGGGTAAAGTGTCTTGCCCAAGGACACAACGACAGTTAACGACATTAAAGGGAGTTGGTGGAGAGGGTCTTGCGGTGGACTCGAACCCACAACCTTCCGGCTGTCGCTCCCCGTGAATATTCAAATGGCAGAAAATAATACGAGAAACCTGTGGCTCATTTACTACATTTTAAAAGTCCATACTGATGTAAACCAACCTAAAAATGTATCTGCATAAAAAAACTCCATTCACAGAAACTTAAACAAACTCCATTCAGACCATAAATGCAGAAGGCAAGCAGCAGTTTTTCCTTGGAGCAAAAATGGCTGCACGACCCTATATAATCACCCAATTATATCCACAGAAAGAACATTTTAAACAAATTGGTTCTTAGAGAATGTAGCTCCACATATGGATCGCTCCAAGACAACAGAGCGAGATGACAAGGGAAAAAACAAAAGGTCAATTTCGAAAAGTCAATGTTGCATGTTGTTAAGTAAATTAATAAAAGGTTTTGTAATACGTCAGGTACAAAATGAAAATAAAATTAAATGAAAGGGGCCAAACCTTGTCATGGCATGGCTTCTCGCAGGGCAACATTTGCTTGATGCCGCTGCCCAGAGCTCTCTCCACCAACCGGATGGAGCGTACCAGCTCCGTCAGCTCAGCGGGCAGTAAGGACGCTTCATGGTCACTCCCCTTCCAACTCTTGTCTAAAGTCACATGTCGCTCCACAATCTTTGCCCCTAAAGCTACAGCTGCCACCGAAATGCTGATGTCGGACTCGTGCCCAGAGTAACCAATGGGGATATCGGGAAAGGCTTTCTGGTATTCCTGTAGATTCAAAAAGGAAATGAAGATGTATGCCTCCTGATGCTTGGATTGAAGAGAGCACAAAATAATTGGTTATTTACAGTGATGACCCGGAGGTTGACATCCTGAGCTTCGAGAGGATAGGCGCTGGTGCACTGCAGGATAGCAAAGTTCGGGTTGTACTTCTTCACTATCTGATATACTTTCTTCATTGTCTCCATGGACTGCATCCCACTGGAAACCACCATGGGACGTCCTTGAAGACACAGAACAAGGAATCAGTAGCTCCACATTCAAGTGGTCTGAGTATTGCGAGAAAAAAAGGATTTAGAAATCAGTTTTTGCTGGTGTAAAAAGTCACTACAAAATAAAAACCTCTACAACAAAGGGGGTAGCTTGCCACCCTTTTTTCCACTTCCAGAGGTTCTCAAACTGTGGACCCTCAGAAATGTATATGGATCATTACTACAATATCCTAATATCCCATACATTTAATGGGAACTACGCAACTTCAAGAAAAAAAAAAATTGAACTGGATTGAAGTGTACTGTGACGTAGTGGGATTTTCTTTGAATACGTTAAGCAGATTCGGTCACCTTTCTTTGCAGTTTTCTCCAGGTAAGGAAAGTTGTTTGTATCTCCAGAGCCCACTTTGAAGAAGGGCACATTGAGCTCATGGAGAAACTCTACAGCCATCTACAATGAAAATCATGTTTGCTTGAAAAATTCATTTTAAATACCGCAATTATTTTGATTTAGTTTGTCTTCATTCTTTGCCTCACCTCATCCATTCCTGATGCAGTGAAGAAGATTCCAACTTCCTCGGCATATTTCTGTAATTCCCTGTACTGCTCGTGGCTGAACTCTAGATGGCGTTTGTGCTCTCCGTAAGTTTTCCCCCATGACTGTTTGGAGGTATAAGGCCGCTCCAGTGCCTTCTTGTTGAACTTGTACTCCAGTTCACTCTTCTGAAATTTGGCACAGTCAGCTCCGCAATCCTGTGGTGGAATTGGAATTTCAATATTACATTTCAATAATTACAAAGATATAAAACTCCAAATGTTCATATTTTACGTATAATCAGAAGCCTAAAGCCTGGTTGCATCTTTACATGAGCAGTCAGAATGTTTAATAGTTGAATTGAAACAGCAATTAAAATGTTGAGTATACAATAACTACTTATTGTGTTGTAAAATAAATACGGTAAATAAATAATAATAATAATGCATCGGTTTTATATAGCGCTTTTTGGACACTCAAAGACGCTTTGCATGTCCTTATTCATTCACTCCATACACGGTGGTGATAAACTACTACTGTAGCCACAGCTGCCCTGGGGCACACTGACAGAAGCGAGGCAACCAGTATGTGCCATCAGCCCCTCCAACCACCACCAACCATTCACACACCAGACTGATTCTAGGCAATGGGAGTGAAGTGTCTTGCCTAAGGACACAACAGCAGTTTGGCACTTTACAGCCGCAGCCGCCCCACTGTGGCAGGTGTTCCCAGAGGTTAAGTGTCTTGCCAAGGATACAACGACAGCAGACAGTGGGAGTCGATGGTGAAAGTCAGGCTCAAAGTACAATTCTCTACCAACTGAGCTACTGTCGCTCAAATAATAAATAATTAATAAATGTACGCGATAAAGAACATTACACAAGATTAGCAGTGGGACTGGGGTTCTTAGCTTTTATTTTTTGTCCATAATAATAATAGAATAATAGAATGGGTTATGTAAAATGTTGTGAGCAAATCACACCTCAACCTGCTGTAATCATCTTATCAAAAACATGTGATCCTTTGCACACTTGTAAGACAGAGCCCTGTAAGTCACAAATGGACGCATTAGGCTGAGAGCCGAGGGTGGTACTCTGAAAAAAGCGAATCTAAAGACATGACAGAGGCCAGGATACACCTGAAAACGAGTGACTTTGAAAGTCAGGGATTCTCCATGTCAGGAACCTAAGGACCGGAGACATCGTGGCTCTTTTGATGATTGTGCCGTCTCTCAAACAAATCTTAGCAGAGCTTATGGTAAGAATGTTTTATATATAGGATTTCTTCAGTATAAACATTTTATCAAACAAAATAATACACAGTAAGACTAATACTACACTCTAAATGTGTTGATCTTATTTTAAAAAATCACATGCATTCAGAGTAAAGCTGTAGGTGCTTAAGAAACTTTTTAAGTATTGTATCACTCAGTGTCTCCACTGAAACAATCACTTTAAACTCTTCAGCATTTGTTAACAATGCAAAGTCATTAGGCAAATAATTATCAATATTTTCTTTCCTTTCGACCAATTATGTGATTTTTGGATCATTTCCAAACAACATCTCAAGACACACTGATGTGCCACAGCTACAGACAGCACACTGGTTGGATAGTATTACTTATTTTACTTAGATGCTTCTTTGTGGATTCGAAAGATATGTTCCCAAGCTTTAAGATACTGTACTGATTATAGACGACTAGTAACAAGTAAATACAGAGAATGATTATACCCTCAAACATAGTGAATAATGTGCCGTAATAAAGCTTTAACATCTCTACAAAACATGCACAGTTCTTCCATCATGAGGTCCCGTACGTTTTTACATTTCTTTAGAAGGTGCTCAATAATGCTGTCTCTTATTGTAGCGGGGGGTCAGGTTGTTGCATATAACGTTACATACTTATTTCAATTTAAAGACTACACACTTTATTGCTTTACTAAAGTGCGCGATGTTCATTTTGCACGACATTGTAGCATTACCTTTGCCATTTTGATCATCTTCTTGGCTATTTCAATATCTCCTTGGTGATTTTGTCCTATCTCAGCGATAATAAAACACGGATGAGAACCTCCAATCATCCTCCCAGGGCACAGCTCAAATTTCAATGGCATTATTCAGATTATTAACGACAAAAAAGTGAACAAGAGAAAAAAGTACAAGAGTAAAGGCACGTGAGCAGTCAAGAGTTCTGAATGAAATGTGTCAAACGCTGAACCCGGAAGCAGGATGTAGCACTGCTTCCGACTTCCGGGTAAGTGAAAAAATAAAAGTTGTAATTGTGTTGATTACATTTGTAGCGGCATGTATGTATTTGTTTCATGATGTGCACTGATACTGACTCAAAAAAGTATTTTATTGAATTTATATATTTTCATTTACATACCCACACACACATTAGCCATGTTGCCGTTTCCAAAGTGATATAATATAGTTATATTTATCAATTTGTTACAAATATAGTTACAAAATCATTGAATAGGCAGGCATAAGTGCGCCATTAAACACCTCCCTCTATCATGTTTGGCAGGATGCTATCGTCAAAGCCAACATCTACTAAAATCTTCTTGCCCAAGAGCTGCTCCATCTTCTCAGGTGGGATTCCTTGGGGTTCACCCACTTTTACTGCAAACATGTCAAGACTCAGCACTGTGTCCTTGACAATGTCCCGGCTGGCAATTACCGACTTCCCAAGCTGGAATGAAAAGGTTTGATTGGTATCACATTCAACTCGGATATTGTTTATTCACATTTGTTTTCTGTTCACTTCTGACACATGAGAGATCCGTAGCAAAAGCAATTAAAAGACTGAGGCTTTGGACCACACTGATCCACACTTGTTTTATTTAAGGCAAATGAGGTTGTGATTGTGCGGTTCGACAACAGCACAGACAAAGAAAAGAGAGCTCTAAACATGGTGCTCTGCTCTGTGGACTGTGAGCTCTGAGCTGCATGTTCGGGAGGTTCTTTATGAATCCAGACTCTTAAACCGAGCCCTTAACATAATCAACAACTCTTCAAGCCACCCTTCCAGCTGGCAGAAGATATCGTACGTTGAGATTCTAACAGCTTCTTTCCACAAGCTGTTATCAGTTTAAACAAAGCACTTAAATGATCTTGCACTTGTATTGAGACTGTTTTTGTCTTTTTTTTTAGCTCATTTATTTTATCTTGTTATATTGCTATACATTTTAGCTTGTTTTATTTCTTTTCTAGACTGGTGCAGACTGGGGACTTATGCAAATGTATTCCAATGTGGTTTTACTGCATATTATAATGTTGCGAACCTTGTCATGGCAGCTCTTCTCACAGGGAAGCATCTGTTTGATAGGAGATCCCATGGCTGTTTCTACCAGTCGAATCGCCTTGACCAGCTCAGCCAACTCACTCGGATCCAGAGAAGCTTCATGGTCATTTCCCTTCCAGGTTTTGTCGAGTGTCACATGGCGCTCTACAACTTTGGCTCCCAACGCCACAGCAGCCACAGTGATGTTGATTCCCTGTTCATGTCCAGAGTATCCAATGGGAATATCAGGGAACTCTTTTTGGAATTCCTAAAAAAATGTTTGACGTTAAAGGCTGAAAACAACAAATATTGTGTAGAAGATTCAAGAGGTTGCTCACCCGAGGTCACGGAATAGTAATATTGACAGGTCTTCAAAATCAATGAGGGTGTGCAATGTTTTGTGGGTTTATTATATATTTGAAAGTGTGTGGAGACACGTACATCCAAAGGTTCCATGGTTTGCTCAACTCATATGGTCCCATGATCAATAGTTGGCATGTCATGTGATGCCCAAACTTCACTGTTTATAAAGGCATCCAGACTTTTATGTTTCGTAATAGTAAAGCTTATTTTTTGTATTACTTTGTTTTGTTACTGGTGTTTTGTGTTCCATTACTAACATATTGTAATTGTATGTTGCTGTATTTGTAACTTGTATTTTACCTGGATCACTCTGAGGTTCACATCTTTGGGGTCCAGAGGATAGGCAGAGGTGCACTGTAGGATGGCAAAGTTTTGGTTGTGCTCTTTCACCATCTGATAAACCCGGCGCATCGTCTCCATTGACTGCATCCCACTGGAGATCACCATGGGACGTCCTGGAAATGGCACATTGCATCACATTTGACTACAGTCCAACCTTGAACATAATAAATCCCGGAGTCAATTTTAAGGTGTGGCTTTCTACAGACAGTGGACCAGTGCTTTGATTCACAATGCAGACTCGAGGAAGAGCACTGGTAAGGCATCTTCATCTTCATACTCACTGATTTTTGCAGTTGATTCAGTCCTTTTAGTGATACATTTTAATGTTTTAAGTTTTAGATATTATAATATTTTTTTGCACAAAATACCACCTTTACCTTTCTTTGCAGTTTTCTCTAAACAGGGAAAGTTATTAGCATCACATGACGCAACTTTGAAGAAAGGCACGTCTAACTCATGAAGGAACTCCATAGCCATCTGAAGAAACATACACAGTTTAAGAGAAGAAATGTTGATAATTTAGCAGAAAAAATATATTTTACCTCATCCATTCCTGAGGCTGTGAGGAAAATTCCAATGTCTTGTGCGTACTTTTTCAGCTCCCTGTACTGCTCATGGCTGAACTCCAGAAAGCGTTTGTGCTCCCCATAGGTTTTGCCCCAGGAGTGTTTGGAGTTGTATGGACGCTCTAAAGCACGCTTGTTAAACTTACACTCCAACTCACTTTTCTGGAACTTGGCACAATCAGCTCCAGCGTCCTTGATAAAGGATCAACGCAGATGAAACAAGGAGCAAAAATAACAAAAGGGGTAATACTGTACACAGGATTTTACCTTTGCCATCTTGATCATTTTCTTAGCAATCTCAACGTCTCCTTGATGGTTTTGTCCAATTTCAGCAATAATAAAGCATGGGTGGCGTCCCCCAATCATTCTACCAGGGCATAGCTCAAATTCCAAAGGCATTTTAGTAGAAAGATGAACCAATAATGAAATATAAACTCAGGTGTATTGCAGCTACGTGACCTGTGAGTTAGAGGAATTACAAGCGGATTGAGTGAGGCTTTATAGTGGAAATGACACGCCTCTAAAGTTGGCCTTGCCAGTTTTTTTTAGTTTTCATTCGTAGTCCCATGGCAGGTTGATATCAAGACATAAAATATACATACAACACTGTAACATGTGGTAATTTGTTAAACCTTAAGATAAGATAATGTAGACTTTATTGATAAAATTAATAAAACTTTGAATCCAAATACAAATGATAATAATTTGATTTTAATTCCTAGATCCAGATAGAATCTATTTCTTTCTTCTTTTTTTCCTTTTTCTTAAAAGTTTGCGGATAGGATTGAAGTAATTGCGATGAACCTAGACTAGAGATTTACAGATCCATTCTTGTCCATCAATAACAGGATAATATTTGGAACACTTTATTTTTTATCTTTACTTAATAGAAATATTTGTGTATACATATATAGACTAATTTGGCCAGCCACGAATTGTGCTAGTGCCCCCACTTAAACATGTATTTTTCCACCCCCATGCCTCACAGTACGGTTTTCTTTGGACTATAACAGGCATTGCTCATATTTTTAAGTGGTTGGATTTGCACAATTGGTAGCTGACAAAAAAAATGTGTTGTCCCACTGTATACAATTTTGTTGTCTAGTGTTGCAGATTTCAGAAATGCAGCACACTTCAATACACATGTGCATTACATCAATGAAAATACAAAATTCTATATTTAATCATGAAATGTCTCCATAAAATGTTTTATACCAATGATTAATCATCAAGTGTTTTTATAAAGTGTTCTTATATGAATCATTAGGTGTTTAATGTTTAGTGAGTTCAGGGAAAATTCGAGGACAATGTTGGATTCTGTGATATAGTATCTTTTTAGGAACAGAGCATTCCTCTCTTATCGGGACAAAGGCTGAGACCAGACCCAGACTAAAAACTAACATAAACATTGGATAAATATAAATTATTAAATATATTAATGATAAATACAAATATTAAATATTCACACAGAAGTGTGTTTGATATAATTTACATTTAAATGTTTACATTTTACCCTATAGTAGTTCAAGAGTCAAAGATTGGGAAAGGATAGGATTTGATAAATCTGCATTTGAAAAATGTATTAGAATGCTGTTTGAAATATCACATAAGTGGATTACTCTTCCGAATAATAGATAAAACACAGGGCCCTATTGTTTGCGCAGGTGGTGATCTTCTGTTTGCATACTTGTCGCGCCCAGAAAACAGGTTTGGCAATAAAGTAAAGGGATATGTTTTACGTGTTTCTATGGGCTGTTTACCAACATCCTAAATCACAGCAGACGAACATCCATGGAAGAAAAATAGTCAGTCTAGACATTATATACATTATGGTCTGGACCTAAGAAGAAATTGCTGGTTTCCATTGAATCACGGCCGTCGGCCTGTGCGCCCCATAGGGTTGATGGTCTTGTGTGTCAGGGACTTTAACCCATTTGTGCCCACATTTTTCTCAGAGTGTTAATGCCTATAATGTTGTCAGTAGTGTCCCCAAGAATAATTTCTTTCTTATTTTGTACCTTGCCTTGAAGAAGATAGCGTTTTTAGGACTGGCAACTATATAAAGTTGCTGGTAGATATTATCAACCCACAAAAGGTTGTGATAGGCCAACTGATTGTGATTGATTCATCCTTGAGGCAACCACTGCTAACCATACCAGTAGTTGCCTCATCATCAGATCAAGCCTCGATGATCCAAGATGGTGCCCTTTTCAAATGAATGGCTTGTGCTCAGTAGCGCATGGGACAGCCATGGGGACCGAAAGCTGAGATTGGGTTGCGCTCTCCACGTCTGGCCAATCCGTCGTTGCAGCTAATCAGCACCAGACCTGAAAACTTGCTCCTTCTGTCCGGGCGGCTTGAATCAGTGTCTTGTCGGCCACCGGTCTGAGAGAACGTGTTTCTGTGTGCTAGAGTTAGTAATTAAGATTGCCTGTGTGGCTCTGTGTTTGTGTTTTGAATAAGTTCCTGTGTTTTTGTTTGACTCAGGAGAGGTCCTGTACACTTTGTTAAGGCCATTTAATTTACCATTCTACATCTTGGTTTTGTATGTTCTATTTCATATGTTGCTTCACCCTTTAGGCTTTGCTAATGCATATCTCTTCGGAAGCATCGCTTCCCGCCCTGAGAAGATCAAACGATCCACCCTCCAATCACCTTCACGTCCTGGCGTAGGTCTGTCCCCTATAAATAGGGTCATGCACCACAGCTCTTCTCCTTTATCTCTCAGCTTGCCTAAGAGAAGCTTCGATTCATTGGAATAAGGATGTCATCAAGCAAGTTCGCCGCGCCTGAAGATCTGTCACCCTCCGCTGTCAGGCTGCGGGTCTGCGACTCATGCCCAGCGGCACTCTCCCAGGCTGTGACATGTTTTGACCATTTTTAGGCTATTTTGGACCCAAATGGCTACTTTAACTCCATATTTCTCCAAATTTCTACAGTAAAAGTTCCTGGTCTTTGGTACAGTGGTAGAGGGCAATGTTGAGGTCGTGAATCCAGTGAAATTAGTCGCACACCTTTTTACAGTAAAAAGTTACAGTAGATCAAAAGTGACATGTTTTGACTATTTTGGGGGTATTTTGGATCAAAATGGCTACTTTAAATCAATATTTCTCAATATTTCTACAGTAAAAGTTCCTGGTCTTTGGTACAGTGGTAGAGGGCAATGTTGAGGTCATGAATCCAGTGAAATTAGTCGCACACCTTTTTACAGTAAGAAGATACAGTAGATCAAAAGTGACATGTTTTGACCATTTTTAGGCTATTTTGGACCAAAATGACTACTTTAAATCAATATTTCTCAATATTTCTACAGTAAAAGTGTCTGGTCTTTAGTACAGTGGTAGAGGGCAATCATGAGGTCATGAATCCAGTGAAATTAGTCGCACACTTTTTTACAGTAATACGTTACAGTAGATCAAAAGTGACATGTTTTGACCATTTTTAGGCTATTTTGGACCAAAATGACTACTTTAAATCAATATTTCTCAATATTTCTACAGTAAAAGTTTCTGGTCTTTGGTACAGTGGTAGAGGGCAATCATGAGGTCATGAATCCAGTGAAATTAGTCGCACACCTTTTTACAGTAAAAAGTTACAGTAGATCAAAAGTGACATGTTTTGACCATTTTTAGGCTATTTTGGACCAAAATGGCTACTTTAACTCCATATTTCTCCAAATTTCTACAGTAAAAGTTTCTGGTCTTTGGTACAGTGGTGGAGGGCAATCATGAGGTCATGAATCCAGTGAAATTAGTCGCACACCTTTTTACAGTAAAAAGTTACAGTAGATCAAAAGTGACATGTTTTGACCATTTTTAGGCTATTTTGGACCAAAATGGCTACTTTAACTCCATATTTCTCCAAATTTCTAAAGTAAAAGTTTCTGGTCTTTGGTACAGTGGTAGAGGGCAATCATGAGGTCATGAATCCAGTGAAATTAGTCGCACACCTTTTTACAGTAAGAAGATACAGTAGATCAAAAGTGACATGTTTTGACCATTTTTAGGCTATTTTGGACCAAAATGGCTACTTATAACTCCATATTTCTCCAGATTTCTACAGTAAAAGTTCCTGTTCTTTGGTACAGTGGTAGAGGGCAATCATGAGGTCGTGAATCCAGTGAAATTAGTCGCACACCTTTTTACAGTAAAAAGTTACAGTAGATCAAAAGTGACATGTTTTGACTATTTTGGGGGTATTTTGGACCAAAATGGCTACTTTAAATCAATATTTCTCAATATTTCTACAGTAAAAGTGTCTGGTCTTTGGTACAGTGGTAGAGGGCAATGTTGAGGTCATGAATCCAGTGAAATTAGTCGCACACCTTTTTACAGTAAGAAGATACAGTAGATCAAAAGTGACATGTTTTGACCATTTTTAGGCTATTTTGGACCAAAATGACTACTTTAAATCAATATTTCTCAATATTTCTACAGTAAAAGTGTCTGGTCTTTGGTACAGTGGTAGAGGGCAATCATGAGGTCATGAATCCAGTGAAATTAGTCGCACACCTTTTTACAGTGAAAAGTTACAGTAGATCAAAAGTGACATGTTTTGACAATTTTTAGGCTATTTTGGACCCAAATGGCTACTTTAACTCCATATTTCTCCAAATTTCTACAGTAAAAGTTCCTGGTCTTTGGTACAGTGGTAGAGGGCAATGTTGAGGTCATGAATCCAGTGAAATTAGTCTCACACCTTTTTACAGTAAAAAAGTTACAGGAGTAGATCAAAGGTGGGAATTTTCTTAGTTTTGTGTATTTTGGACTAAAACGTGTAATTTGTCTCAATTTTACCCACAATTTCCAAAGTAAAGGTTTGTGGTTGCACAGCGGTGAAGGCAGTGGTGAGGTCATACACCCAGTGGAATAAGATACTCAAGTCTTTACTGTAAAAATGGACAGCAGCTGAAAATTTCACTTTTTGACCAAATTAAATGTCGAACATTTTAAGTTTTTACATGCTTTTCCAAATAAGGGTTTATTCACAAAACGAGTCTCCTAAGCGCGCTTTCTGTTCGAGGAGAAAAGCTGACAGCGAAAGGCTGTTCTGCTATTACCGTAAGCAGTCAACAAAACGCGCACTGCTTTTCTCTCGATGCGGGCCGTTTTACTTCGGAGGTGAAAGATGCGGCCCACTTTACTGCGGTCTCTCTAGGGCAGTGTGCAGCGGGAGCCACAAGCGGTCCCACCGCTTCGCACAGCTCCTCAAATGTTGTGCGCGTCATTCTGAAGTTTTGGATCCATAGTTCCTCTGTGAAATCATGTACCACGACTTCCCAAAAGGTTCTCATCCGCATCCTCTCCCAAGTATACGGAGATCGCCGCTCCATTACACTCAGAAGGAGATGCCGCCGACGCTTAATCAGGTTAAGGATGAGAGCCGCAGCATAAGTCAAGACATTAATATATCTCACGTAAATCAAAGTGTTGTTTACTTCTGTTGCCATGTTGACGTACTAGAAGCTAGTGAATAAACGCGCGAAAATAGTGTATACTTATTCGAATATGTCTTAATGGAAACGGCCGCTTTTGCGAATTACAGGTTTTTCGAATTTTGAAATGTATCAAAAAAGTTTTTGCGCATTATTCAATGGAAACGCAGCTATTGCTTAATCTCTTATGCCTAGCGTACATCGGACTGGCAACTGATTAAATCCGTCGCATATGAGTTGCTGCCCCGAACACATCGACAATCTGGCGAAAACGGGCAACTCCTAGTAGCAGACCAGTCTTGGGAATAACAGCGAGTACATCGACAGCATCTGGCCTCAACTACAGTGTGTTTGATGGCATAAACTGTAGACACATGTTGTTGGAGCGCATAAACTGTAGACACACATTACCCAAATACAGACAGTTTATCAAATGCCCGACCAGAGAGGAGAACACTCTGGATCACTGTTACACCACCGTGCGCGGAGCTTTTCGCGCTGTTCCCAAGCCAGCCCTCGGCTTCTCAGATCACTCCATGATACATCTGGTTCCTGCTTACAGACAGAGACTAAAGCTCTCGAAACCTGCAGTGAGGAGCTCCAAAGTGTGGTCTGATGAAGCTGTGGAAGAGCTGCGCGCATGCATGGAATCTACAGACTGGGACCTTTTCAGAGCTGCCACAGACAGCTTGGATGAATATACGGACACTGTGACGTCATACATCCACTTCTGTGAGGATAGCATCATTCCAACAAGGACCAGGGTCATCTATAACAACGACAAACCCTGGTTCACTGCTAAACTCCGGCAGCTCAGGAAAGCAAAGGAGTCTGCTTTCAGGGAGGGGGACCGCAGCGGCTACAAAGCAGCTAAATATCAGTTCAGGAAAGAACTGAAAGCAGCCAAGTCCCGGCACAGAGAACGACTACAGGAGCAGTTTGGTAACAACGATACTGCTTCTGTCTGGAGGGGCCTACGGGAGATCACCAACTACAAACCCAAAGCCCCCCCCTGTGCTGATGACCACAAGCTAGCTGACGAACTGAACTTATTTTTCAGTCGCTTTGATGCTGCCCCTGACACCTCTCCCTCCCCCACCCCCCACTACTCTAACGACCCACCCATCAGCCCTGCCCCCAGCCTAACAATAGCCGCTAAAGAGATTAAACAACTCTTCCTGAGGCTGCACCCCCGCAAAGCTCCTGGCCCGGACCACGTGTCTCCGGCCACTCTGAGACACTGCGCCAGTGAGCTTACTCCTGTGTTCACTGACATTTTCAACACCTCTCTGCAGTCCTGCCATGTCCCGGCCTGCTTCAAATCCTCCATCATTGTCCCCGTCCCGAAGAAGCCCAGGATCACAGGACTCAATGACTACAGACCTGTAGCACTTACGTCTGTCGTCATGAAGTCATTTGAACGCCTGGTTCTCTCCCATCTCAAGTCCCTCACCTCCCCCCTCCTGGACCCCCTGCAGTTCGCCTACAGAGCCAACAGATCTGTAGACGACGCCATTAACCTGGCCCTCCACCACATCCTACAGCACCTGGACTCCCCGGGGACCTACGCCAGGGTCCTGTTCGTGGACTTCAGCTCTGCCTTCAACACAATCCTGCCATCCCTGCTCCAGGACAAGCTCTCCCAGCTCAACGTGCCCGATTCCACCTGCAGGTGGATCACTGACTTCCTGACGGACAGGAAGCAGCGAGTGCGTCTGGGGAAGAATGTCTCGGACTCTCGGATTATAAATACAGGAGCCCCACAGGGCTGTGTTCTTTCTCCCCTGCTCTTCTCCCTGTACACCAACCACTGCACCTCCAGCCACGACTCCGTGAAGCTGATCAAGTTCGCGGACGACACCACCCTCATTGGACTCATCTCCAACAACGATGAGTCCGCCTACAGGAGGGAGGTGGACCGGCTGGTGTCCTGGTGCAGTGGTAACAACCTGGAGCTGAACGCCCAGAAGACAGTGGAGATGATTGTGGACTTCAGGAAGAGCACTGTCCCCCCGCCCCCACCCTCCGTGATGGACTCCCCCATCACCTCTGTGGAGTCCTTCCGTTTCCTGGGCACCACCATCACCCAGGACCTCAAGTGGGAGCCGACCATCAGCTCCCTCATCAAGAAGGCCCAGCAGAGGATGTACTTCCTGCGGCAGCTCAGGAAAGCCAAGCTGCCTGCACAGATGTTGGTGCAGTTCTACACGGCCATCATCGAGTCCATCCTCACCTCCTCCATCACCGTGTGGTTCGCTGGAGCCACAGTCAGGGACAAACAGAGACTACAGCGCATCGTGCGCTCTGCAGAGGAAGTGATCGGCCGCAGCCTTCCATCGCTGCAGGACCTGTACGTCGCCCGAGCTCGAGGCCGGGCTGGTCGTATCACAGCCGACCCCTCTCACCCTGCACATGGACTATTCCAACCACTCCCCTCAGGCAGGAGGCTGCGGTCCATCAGGACTAGAACCTCCCGCCACAAGAACAGTTTCTTCCCCTCTGCTGTTGGACTCTTGAACACTTCTTAACCTGTCCCCCCGCCCTTTATAAAGTCACTTTACTGCCCATCATACGTCACTTTACTTCACTGTACTGCTGTCACCTTACATTGTGTGCACCATGTGCTGCTGTCACCTTACATTGTGTGCACCATGTGCACTTGTATATTGTAAATAGTAACTGTAACTCTATTTTAAATTTAAATTTATTCTTTAGAAGTGTTTTTTATTCTTATTTTTATTATCTCTTTTTGACTGTTGCACTGAGCCAAAGCAATTTCCAAGTCTGTGACCTCCCGTTACTTACGTTGGCAATAAAAATGATTCTGATTCTGATTCTGATTCTGATGTTGTTGGAGCGCGCCATGGAGCGCGCACATGGAGCGCGCACATCGGGTGATATCTCCAGATCTGAGGACAACTAGTTGCCAAAAAGTAGAACACGGGCAACTGACTGAAACTGGAGATCGACTGTTTATCTCCAGTTGTAAGAGCACTCACTCATTTCGGGAACTGATCATCTCCCATCATCTACTCTCAGTTGCCGCCTTGCAAGTAGTTGTCTCCAGTTACTCTGTCGATGTACGCTAGGCTTTATGTTTTTGACAAAATTGTTGTGGCTACTAACCTTTGCGAGCTGTTTGTAGTACTATAGTTGTACTATTGGTTGAAAACAGTTCTTTATATTTGACGCAGATATAAACATGGCGGGCTCCGGTGCTGCTATGGTAGTTTTAGCATCAGGGTCAGAGATGGCAAGTGGTAGGGCCACGAATTTAGTCTCCAGGGCCGCGGGCGTCCAAGGTTCCCATTGGTGGGACAGCTATAAGCTAGTAATACCTAATACAGATATTATTATAGATCCATGTCCATGGATGGTTCATGTCAGCCATGTTTTCACTCAAAGGGACAGGAAAATGATGTCACGCGACAAGAAGCGCCAGGAAACTTATAAAAAACTAAAAACTAACAACTACAAAGTTGTTTACTAGCATATAAGTGGAATAACCTGCACTAATACCTTTTTTTTTTTTTACTGTGAGAAGAAAATGACAATGATAAACTAAATAGTTGTCGGTGGGGCCAAATGGGTTAAAGGAGCTATACATATAATACAACTTGTATGTAGTGATAAGCATTATGTACTCATATTAAAAGAAATCGGGTATAGCTCGCGAGTGAGGCTTGTGAAATCGCAAGTTTACACAAAACTTACGGGAAGGGCTAAGTGAATGTATGTGTCCTGATTTAACAATGTCTCAATGTGACTGCAGTAAAAGGGAGGGAGAAGCAGGAAACATACAAATACAAACATGTATCAATGTCAGAAAATAAGACAAATATTTGTCTTTACTATTGGAAAATACTAAAATGTACCATGTATGAGTTATACAAATAACAGTTGAATTTCTTTTAATTATTTATTGATACTGAAATAATAGGACAGTCAATTTACGTGGTCAAGCAGCAGCTGACAAATATGCAGTTTTAACATTACAATAAAAATTGATTGTTATATACTGTATTATATACTTATATGTTTATGTACATTGGTGTCCACAGAGTACATAAACACACGCACACACAGACACACACCTGCAGACATAAAAACTATACTATTGGGACCGGTCTTGGATCATTTCCTTATGGAAAACTTCATAATAGATGCATAGATTTGAACATTAGCCACAGTTGAAAGTACATGAACTGAAATTTACAGTTTGGTCCTTAAGAAAAAAAAAAAAAAAACATTTACAAGTTTTACATGAGGTGAATGAACAAGTGCCACACAATACACAGGGAAAACAGCATTTAAGTGAACAAAATCAATAGGGAATCACCCCTTCCCTTTTGTTGTCATGAGAGACAGCTGTTTTACTTAGGACCACATAGTTTTCCGTTTTGACAGGAAGAAAGAATACTATTGATTGAATATGATGGACATTTTTTCCTGCATGATCGGATTACTGCCAGCTGATGCTTGGAAAGAGAATGCACTGAACTGATATGGACTAAAGGTGACGTCTGTAGGGTTTGCATTGCAGAGGAGTGTGTGGACCAGGTTGGACCAGGTTGGACCACTCCAATCAGCAGGGTGTTGTTGATATGGGATGTCCTGAGCAGGTGGCTGGTTTAACGAACCAGAGGAGACTGCTTGAGAGAGATGAGCACGGAGCGCATGCGGGACACGTCTTTGGCTTGCTTACTGGACTTTGGGTTGAAGTCGCAGAGACGGGCCACACGCTCCCACTCAGTTCCAGGGTTGTTCTCGTCCAGGTCTGAAACCATAGCCTCTTCAGCCGCCCTAAACCAGATCAGACAACGCTTTAGCAAAACACATGTAAAAGATATGTAAATCAGTCCTGAATGAGACCTCTGTTGATCACCAACAAAGATGTCTTCACTGGTTTTTCATGTGGTTTAGTTGAGGGTTCAGCAGAGTCTCATTCAGGAGTTTCAACACAGATAACTATTGACTACACTCAAATGCTGGGAATACAAATCTAGGTTATTGTAATTACAAAAAAATATCCAATGTCTTAAAACTTAAACACGGAAATATCAAACAGCCTAAAGCAAATTTGGTTGGTTAAAAAGGCAAGCGCATTTTGAAATTTGTCCCTGGAAGCTAACCAATTTCAATAACTGAAGCTGGCAGATAAACACAACAGTAATTCTAATTAATTCTGGATTGTACTTCCTTGGGACAAGTTTTTTTTTAACCAACCCAAAAAATGAAGCTCTGTTGGCTCGTTGGCCATGCAATAAGCTTTACCTGAAAGAACGCGTTTTAGATTTAGAAAAATACAAAAAAATAAATAAAACAACCAATAAATCACATTGGTTTTAAACGTCAGTGCCATTGGGATTATTTTTTACTTTAAAAAAAACATTTTAAAAAGTCATAACAGGGCAAGAAAAAACAAAACAAAAACACAACAAATGGGAAAAAAGACTAATACTTCTAGAATCCAACTAGTCACCGACGATATTAGCAGCCCTAATGGAGAATAACATTGATCATATATTTTTTACTTAACTGTTCTAGGCGGTAGCAAGGATGGTTAATGTGTGTGCTTTAAAAGATGCAGAGGAAAAGAAAAAACAGGAAGAACAGTTTTACAAGTCAGAGTAGAAAAACGAAATAAAGATTAATTCAGCAAGATGTTAAAGCAAGCATGCAAAAGGAGTTGTGTGCAGACATTTTAGTTTCTATTGCAATTAAAATGACTGCACACCGACCCAGATGTCATGTCTTTGTAATGACAGATCACAACAAAAAAATACTGTACATTCATTAAAACCAAACTGACCGTTTACAAAATATTCATTTTTGTATCACCAAGTAAAGAATGGAATTACTCGTGGTTTTAGGTATTTTCTTAATTCATTTTGTAACTTTGAGAAGCCCACTTTGATTAAGGAAGCAGCCTTACGTTAACTCCAAAATATGATTGAGAAGGAGAAACTATTTTTCATCGGCTGTTGTAGTGCGATAGACAAGCAAAGTTGGTAACATTAGATATTTGTCATATTACTGTATAAATGTAAGTGATCAAGCGTCATGTTCCATTAGTTAAAGCTGTGTCAGTACAGCACCTACTGCGTGGTCCACATAGTCAGCTGTCCCAACTGTCCTTAACGGTCCTGAAGGATAATAAAACCATATTTCATCTGCATCGAGCAGCTGTTCAGAAGAGCCATCCTTGTGGGAGAGGAGATGGTGTAATTCACTTTGGACGTAACCAATAAGATTGGAGTTTGTCCCGGACTAGACAAAAGGAAGTGAGTTGAACCTCACTTCCAGGATTCATTTTCTCCAGGACCCCTCAGTGTAGTCCCTAGAACCAGTCCACTGGAATCCTACCAATTATCACTGCCCCTTGTTCACCATGTACCTTAGCACACCACAGTTTTTGCTCATAGAGGCCAATGTTGTAAAAGATATCCAATTTAGAAAAGTGTTAGTACTCCGACAGCTCCTCAGTGTTTAGTGTTCAGTATTATCGTTTAGTGACCATCCCGGCTCTTTTTTTTAAATCATACAACAAATTTAGAATTTTTTTTCTTAGCAAGAATATTATCGGTTTGAAGGCGAGCAATTGAGTAAGAAAGCGGCCTGACGTCAACAAAGTGTGTTTCTCAGTTGAAGAATGAAATAAGAATTCCTCAAACCAGAAGTAATTCCATTCCACTATGTAATACAAACATACTTTGTACACTGATCTAAAACACATGAATTACAGTGTGTCTTGTCACGTACAGTACCGTATAAGTATCTTTATGCAACAACATTCATAATAGACCGCATTTAGTTTTTATTTGAAAGGCTAAAGAGCACTACATTTGTATAAGCATAATTTAGTACAATTCTAATTTCTGGATCTCCCTAATATCACCCCGGTATAGTCATCAGGATTTTGAAATGCATATATAAATAATTACATATGTACTGTCTTTGTTAATACTGCAATTTTACATTTGTATTGCACATAGTATTTCTAAAAGAAAATCAACAGAAAATGTCTGGTACTTCTCTTGAGTGAATAAAAGAAGGCAAAGAATTTACTAAATAAGTAAAAACAAATGAAACAGTGCACAAATACTAGGGCGATGCATCTGAACTACGGCGGAAAATTAAGTCTTGTATTTTTTACTACTGAGTGTCGCATTAAACTGTAAGTAGAGACGTATAGTATGCCTTTGTGACTTTATATGTTCTCAAAAGCTGACCGGTTGAAGATTTTGGTGTCACACATTACAACATTACGAATTGTGGGAGCATTAGAACCTCAACTTAATATGATAGTAACGTTTGAGCAATTGGATCAGCACGTACACGATTCATTACTCCAGTGGACCAAAGCCTTTGAGTCAAACAGTTTAAGAATGCAATACTTCATCCTTCCTGCTGATGTGATGATAATGTCACTGTTCATCGCACGCACAGCCAAGGCAAATATGTGCAGTCACATCATGCTGGCATAATTTGAAACGCAAATTCTACACACAAAAAAAACATTCACAAGCAGGCCACAAGACATTAAAATTTAGAGACTGCTCCAAATCCAAAACAAATTGACATCATATTGTCTAAACTAAAGACAAAGACAGCATGACCAGTGTTGGGGGTTTTTTTTAAAGGCGATGAGTGTTAATTCACAATGTGTTTTTAATAACAAACCTTCACTCACTGTTAAATTATTCGTTTGTTGCTTAACTGGTCTTTAACAGACAATGGATCGGCACATGTTGTTCCGAAACGATATGCACATTAAAAGATTAAATGATAATTTGAAGGCACGCTACACCCAACACTGACCACGACACAAAGAGACTACACAGGGGTTAGGTGTTGGGAAGAAGGCCAAACAAAACAGAGGGGGATGGTGTTAGTTTTAAGCCACATACACATAACCAATGAGATCAGAGAACGGCTGTTTGTAGAAGTCTTCATCCAGAACCCTGGGTATGCATCCGCCAAAGACAGCATTAAGAGAAAGAGTGGTAAAGACAGCATTGAGACAGTGTGCGCAAAGTTGTAAATACATAACGATCAAGGCATGCAAAAGGTGTGGCAAAACATTCAATTGTAAGTTTTATTAGATTGCCAAAGATGTCAATTAAACAGGAAATGCAAAAGGATTAAAAGGTGCAAAGGGAAAACATAGAACAAGAATTTCAACTAATTTTTTGGCAAGGAACAAGTCTGTTATCTAACAATTCATAAAAAACATTCATGGGCATTATCCCCGTTTCATGATTGTAATACCTGAAAAACTATGTAAAAAGAAAATGATATAAAAACATTGCTCAAACAGTATTTATCGCCACTCTAAACCTGTACATATAGCTAGCACAACTGTAACGGAGATTAAGCAAAGAGAGGGCTCATAATTAAACATTACAATGTGCAAACTGCTGGAGTCTTTATTTGCAATCTGAGCTGCTGTGCCACTTACACTTTTTTCCCCCCAACGTTCATGACTAATGTGCTGGTCTGTGGGGTCTTAATGAGAGCTAGTGATGGGTAAATGAAACCTCATGTATCGTTTCGGCACATCCAACGAACTGTATTGATACTGTGCCGCAACAGTGTTGCTTGTGCTGCTCTATACTGACGCCTGGTGGATCTGATAAATCATTGCATCCAACTCACTGATTCAATGAGCTTTACCTACTTGTCTGTACACAATATTACGTAACTGCATTGTCTGTTATTATTTAATTTTTCATGTGAAAATTAAAGTGATAGTTGTGAATGTATTCATTAAGCAAAATGTCATTGAGGGACTTCAGATTTTTTAAAATTATTTTTCAAAACAATAAGCATGTCCAAAGTGCACTCTAAACCCTGGTAACTAAAGTATACTTGAAAAAACCTTTGACATTTTCTAAACTTAAATTTCTCGAAATCATTCTTCAAGACTGTGATGTCAACATAAACTTTTGAGGTCCGACTGGGATTCGTACCCGGTTCTCTTTAAACGCGAGGTGAGAGCACTATTCACTCTTCCACCATGCCTAACTAGATTTTCCGTTTCAAACTAAATGTTGATTGTAGATAAAGCGTGAAATGTAAAATACAAACATTGCCTTATTTGCTGTTATTTGCAGTATCCCACTGCAGAATACTTTCTTTTAGTGGCAGGTTCCATTTTGATGCTGTAAAATGGGATGATTTTCCTTTTTGAAAGGGTTATTTTCTTGTTCTGAGAGCGGTTCATACCGGTGACACTTGCAGACACGGAAACTTTTAAACACAGTTTGCCGTCTCGGTGGCAAGCGACACTGCGGCTGTATCGGTCACGTGGCTTTTTCATAAAGCCACGTGACGATACGAGGTTTCGCTAAACGAACTCGGCACATGCGCCGGTGTATCAGTGTTGCTGGACCCATCACTAATAAGAGCCCTGTTGAATCTGGTTTAACTTTGGTTTAAATATATTGACTCCTAAATGACTCAAAGTGAGTAAGCTATATTGCCTAAAGCTGAATATAAAACTTGTCTGTCAGCTCTAAGTGGAACTGATGAAGCCGCTGCCACGGCACAGGCCGCCTTCATGAGATCTCGGAAACAGAACTACGCAATCATCCAACTTCTCGAAGTCAAGTTCAGAGGAGCGGTGACATTGATGACACACAAGTGCAGCAGCAACAAAACTACACAAATGTCACTGGATTCTCTTTGCTCTGAGAAAGGCACAGACACCTAACTGTTGTCATCTGAGAAATATAGAACCAAATGTTGCTCCTTATAACAAAAAGTGCTGCATACAAAATGTTTAGATCTTTTTTGTAGATAGAATAGATGAGTGAATTCTGCAGATAATAAAAAATCTGCCTGTCTTCCAAGACAAATTGTCTTGTTTTAATTGGTAAACCAATTGTGTTTGGCCCCTAGTTAATATTCTGATTAGGAAAAACGTCAAGCTGCATGTCGAAACATGTAGGCCCATGTCCACGGCATAACAGAAGGACTTAAGGTTCTGGAAGTTCACATCTGAAAGTCTAATTTTTATTCTTTATTGATCATTGTGTCACTTTGTCTTAGACGACAACATTGTACCTGTTGTTGGTCTTTGTTTTTTCCAGCTGCTCATTCTGCCGAGCATGCCACTCCTCCAGTTCTGCTTTTGCCTTTTCCTTCCATTCCGACTCCTGCTTCACAGAATTGGCATCTGCAAATACAAAGTGTACAATGTATCTGTGCACAAGACAAAACCCCAAAATATCATTGTCTGTATTTTACCTAGCACCTCCAGTCTCTCACTCTGCTCCTCTCTCCACTTGCGAAGGCTTTCAGGCTCAGCCTGAAGACGATCAGCATTTGAAATAGCTGCATAGGCATCTGAAGGGCCGTTACTTTCCTGAAAGATCATTTGTGTAAATTGTGAATCATTGTGAAAATGTGCAAAACTGAAAATGTATTCATGAGATACTCAAAGAACCTTGACATGGCAGAATAATGTTGCAAGCACAGCAAAGAAAACAGGCGATTGTGACATTTCTGTGAATGACCTTGAAATCACAGCTACAGCGTTTTTATTTGTTATCTCTAACAAAGACTGTTCCTGTTTGAAGTTAAAATCCGTTGGGATTTTCAGTATGTAAAAAACACAAATGTGATAGTAATTCTTTGGAATTTCTGAAATCATGTGGTTGCATATCATACTTGCTTGTTTTGTATTTCATAAAGCTTTGATTCTTAATCTGTTCCTTGAACTTGGTTTAAAACGTGGTTCAGAACTGGGTTCAGGTTAATACACTAGCACATCTTTATTGCAGCTGCACTTGTAATACATGTGGCTTGTTTCTCTATGAATATAAGATATGCAAAGTTTAGCCAAAGCCAAGACTCCTGTATTGCATTGTGTGAACAAGGGGATGTCAGCTCTTCCTGGATTGAGCAGAGACAAGGGCAGATGTAGCCTGGCCTTAGCCATCCGTACACTCTGCTCAATCATCATTTCACTGCTGTAATTTGTACTATGGTAGGGCTAGGGCAGATGGGGAGAAGGAGCAGAGGCACTGGTGCTGTCAGTGTACTGTGAACTGTGTGACCCAGGGTTTTTGGCTGATGCACCAACATGACCCTCGACTCCATAAAAACAAATGAAAAGTATATACAGTGCTGCACTGTTTGGAGATGTCAGAGAGGAGAGGTTTTACACATGGTTTTACGAAAGCTCTTTGTCACGACCCAGTGGAGTCATGTCCACGGCCTACCAGAGGGTCGGGAAACCCCTTTCGGAAAATCCTGTTAGAGCTTGGGTTCCATCTTCTGCTTTACTACATCTCTAATCTGATGTAAGACTCAAAACATTCATAGTTTGATTCTCTGATCTGTGTTGGTGATTTCAGCGGTTATGTTAAGTCCTTGGAGATAACTACTGCTGTGATTTAGGGCTTTACAAGAATTAATTTAACTGAATTGAAAAAGGCGTTACCCCATGAAGATCTCCGTTGATAGCACCATCTAGAAGGGAAATGGGCAACAAAAAACACATCAATTAAAAGTTTGTATGAGCCAAACTCCACAAATGTAACATTTGATTTTTTTCTGTTGTTTTTCATTACAAAGTACACGAATGAGAAACGCTAACAGGAAGTAACTTAGTTGGTTAAAGGTCATTCTCCTACACCTTGGGATATTAAGCTGGAGCATAGAGAGCACACAAGTTTTAGTGGCAGGCAGAATGATGATCCAAAGACGACTACTCTGAACCAAAATGACTTAAATTATGTTTAAAATTTACTGATTTACTTGAATTAGTTACGTTTTTCGTTCTCCATCATAAATGTATAACAATTACTCTCTGGTGTTTTACTTCAACCTATTAGTATATACTATGCCAACCAACTAACAACGCTCAACATGAGTAAATACTAAAAATCTTAATAGAATATATAGTGTACATTGCTAAATCAGGCTAAGGTTAGTAGAATCCCACTGTAATCTCAAAAACACCCATAGCAGGTAACATCCAAGTATCACTCGGGTCATTGGTAGCATCGCAGTACAGATGGATAGTACAGTATGATGGTAATGTGTCCAGTGAATGTAAAACGGAACATTAAATGAGGCCTGACCGTCTCCCATGGACGACGGCACCTCTCCGCTGTCCAGGATGCTGAAGCCCTCGTCGTTCTCAATGCCCGCTATCTCGCTCTCCTGCTGGGCCAGGAAAGCAGCGGCCGGGTCCTCCTCGGAACCCACACCATTGCCTGCGCTCAACACATCGAATTCATCCATGGTGGAGTGGGTTTGGTTCGGGATCAAACAGACAGGTGTAGCGGTCCAGCGATTAGCACGGAGAAAACAGACAAGCTAGCCAAGGGGAAACACAACAGTAGCCAATCGTAGAGCAGACCCTCTGACTGACAGTAAGTCCCACCAATCACAACAAAGAATGTTATATGTTGGACCAATCATGTGTGGGATCTCGCGCACATCCCGTCCCGTGACATAGAGGGAGGGACCAGGGGGATTCATTCAGAGGGGTTTTCCACATTTCCTCAATATAATCAATTAATACTTAGGCCAAATTGCTGTTCTACAATCTGCTGTTCATCTCATCTAGTTGTTGAAGTGAGTAAGGAACTCTTCTACATGTCTGTTTAAAATGTTAATTATTCACCAGCTCCAGTCTCACTGAGCCTGAGGATCAGGTGACACACTTGTGATGTCACTGACTTTGTTCTAATTACACAAAAATAAAATTAATTAATGTTACACAGGCCATCGATTTCCTAATGCAAAGTGTAATTAAGCAATAAAATACATTAATGGTAGTGATGGCAATACGAAGCCCCATGATGCATTGAGGGTTTGCAGCCTATGGCTCGAGGTGAATCAGGCTCCACTACGCCATCATGTGGACAAAAAATATATAACACTCTTAAGTGCTTATAATAAATGGTGGGGTCTAATATTAATATTGATATTTACAGTCTATGGTCTAAACATGTTGTATTCGAAATGATGCTTCATGAACTATGAACTATTTGTGGCTTTCAGTCAATTGTGTCGATACAACAAACATAATGAATCCAAACCAATACAGTTTTACAAAAAGTGTTTAATTGAGGAAAAACTACCATGAGGTAGATTAATTAAACACAACAAATCATTTATTCCCCATAATTAAATATATTTACTTTGCAAATACAAAAATAATTTTGAGACGAGCGGGATCCGAAACGCTCATCTTGGACAATAAAGTCCAGCAATTACTGACTGCGCCACGCAACAATTAAGAACACAGTGATCCAACGTATTATTAACATAAACAAAAGTTTGTGTAAGCTCTCAGTCGTACAGGGATTAGTCAAAGCAAAGGAAGGTTTCTCACCATTACTCATGCTAATGAGTTAGGAGGGGTGAGACCTGCACTCCACTTGAGCATCCCAGCAGACAATAGGTCTGTGACATGCTAAGGAGTTAGGGTCGTTAGCCTCAGCAGGGTCGTTAGACCTGCTCCCTGCTACATCAAGCAGACCGTAGATTGTTTATGAGTTAGTATCAGGATTAGGGTGTGGCTAACCACACCCATAGGTTATAAATCTCCAACGCGCGGTCCGAGAATTCATTCCCTGAAGAAGTCCGCTAGTTTGAGGACGAAACGTCGGGAAAACTTGCTAAGAAGTACAGATGATGGGTGAGAAACCTTCCTTAACTTAAACAAAAGTAAAACATCGTGACATTAAGGCAAACCTTGTTATATGAAATTGAGGTTTTACTAAAGTGAAACGTTTTTAATTGTATTTCAAATGAAGTAGATACATCACGCACACACACGTACGCACACAGAGACAGGCGGGTACAGCCTTGGATCACAAAACAACCTATCGAAACGATGCACTCTTCGAACTATATGAAGCGTTAATATAATACATCCATGGAAGCGCCTCAGTAAACCGCGTTAATATAATACATCCATGGTAAACTGTCACGTGGTGCGGCCGCTTACGCGAGGCTTCGAACGTCACCACTTACGTCACCAACACGCGCCTCGGCTCACGCTTCAAAAAAAACTCTTCTTGATTACTTGGTACCATGGATCTATTATAATAACCTTGGTACACGCTTTGAAGACTCAGCACATCACTCATTAATGGGCTGTTTGACTGATCAACACACACACACGGTCAAACACCTTAGGTTAACTTCAGACCGGTACCCTCAAAAACACCCCGACTGAAGAACATTCACACACATAATCTGAAGCGTCAAAACACGCTAAAGTCATTGTAATAATATGATTTGAGTTATTAATTTAAATAAGTGGTCTAATTACATTTACAATTACATTTTATATTTTTTTGTTTTTTAAAGTATATATGCATAGAAACCAAAATAACAATGCTAACAACAATAGATTAAACAATAATAATAATAGATCATTATCATAATAAAGAATGCCACACTTTTAGCCTTCAAATAATGTATTTGCGCTGTCTTGGATGGACAATAGATTTGCGGTAATCACAGCCATAAATGAAACATTGCAACACTTGCAACATAATAAAATAATATAAAAAACACATTATCATATTTTAGATAATTGACACAAACATAAATATTACAATTTGGTCAGTTGTGAACGTTGTTCAGTTATACATGTGGTAACTTTAAGCTTTCTTGTGCAATATAATAACTTTTTCATTGTCAACCATTTAAAACTATATACATTGACATGATTTTAGCTGGCCATAAAATGGTTGAACTACATTCTACAACTAGAAATGTACAGTATTTGACTGACTTGGTCTTTGTCCTTCAGTAAATTCTTCTAGTTGTGTAATCTAACACCATGCTCGCAGCTCCCATTAGAGCGGGTTCCTCAAGATCTGACTTGAGAACTTGGATGTTCTGTGCGGAGGACAGTGCTCTCTCTAAGATGATGCGCTGCACTGGTGCTTGGTAGTACGAAGCCAGCACACCCGACAGAATGATCAGTGATGGGTTCATAGTGTGGAGGATGTTAATGATACCTACACCTAAGGCTGTGGAAGCTGGGTAAAATAGAGCATCTATATTAATCACATATAGATTTTCCACATACATACAATCAATAAATTTCATATCCAAGAGCATACCTTTATTGAGAACAGCTTGAGCTTTTAAATTGCCCATTTTTGCAGCAGATATGAGGTGAACTGCAGTAATCGGCTCCACAACTTTCATTCCCTCAATCTTCAGCATTTCTTCTGAAATATGAAAAGTTTCATCAGTCACAACATTCTAGATGTGAGCCAAATATTCACAGTGGTTTTGGTTTTATATAGCACTTTTTTGGACTAAAAGACGCTTCACGGGTCATTATCCTTTCACTCCAAACACGGTGATGATAAACTACTACTGTAGCCCCAGCTGCCCTGGGGCACACTGACAGAAGTGAGGCAACTAGTATGTGCCATTGACCCCTTGAACCCCCACCAACCATTCCCACACACCAGACTCATTTGAGGCAATGTAAGTGAAGTGTGGCATTTTTTTTAATACATTTTTAGAGAATATTAAATTTCAAAAAGGTAAGAGAAATAAAACAGATATCTGACCTTTGCACCTTGCACCACTCTAGACAAAGTGTGTTTTAACCTCTTGCACATTGGCCTCAACAAGTACAGAAACTCACCATCATTAAGTTTTTTGGCCTCTCTCTGCAATGCCATGCCAGATGCATACGCCTCAATGCATCCCTGGCTGCCACAAGAACACTCTGGTCCTTCCAGTGAAACCATGATGTGTCCAAGTTCAGCAGCGCAAAAGGTGTTCCCATGAATCAATTCATTATTGTGTATGATGCCTCCACCAATACCTAGGAAAACACACAGCTGTCAAAATTAAGCATTATCTCGTCAAAACAAAATTAAAACAAATAATGACTCACCGGTTCCAGTGATTACAGTGGCAAAGCTCTCCACCCCTTTGCCATGACCAAACTTTTTCTCAGCAAGTGCAGCACAGTTTCCGTCATTGTCTACCCAAACTGGGAGATGCAAGGCGTCAGAGATGGGTGTCCTCAGATCCACTGCTGACCACTCGCGGATGAGTTTTGTGGAATGCAGAATCACGCCTTCCTGTGGATTTACTCGGCCTCCTGATGATATTCCTGTAATGTACACATTTAATTTTTAAACATACTATATTTTATGTCAAATAATTAACCGTTTTCTTCTCTTACCAACACCAAGTATCCTACAGTTGAGCCGTACAGCGTCTTGCATGGCTTCAGTGCACATCTTTAATATTAGTTTTATTCTGGACTCAAAGGTTTTTGGATTTGCCTGAATATATTTCTTGACTATGCTTCCCTGATGTGAAGGATACAAATACAATTAACAGTATGCCCACAGGTTAGTGTTCACTATGTAGAAACCCCCTGTATACTGACCCTCATGCAGACAATGGCCACGCGAAGATTAGTTCCTCCAAGATCAACCGCCAGAGCACATTGTGTCTCTAGAATATGATCAATGTCCTGAGAGTTGCTGTCCTTCAAAGTCGGAAAACAGAAAGACTTCTGCAGCGGCTCATTAATGTTAATAGAGTTTAAAAATTTCAGAATACGTGGCACTGCATTTCCATCCCCGTAAATCTTGGAGCTGAAGAAACAGTGTTCATAATATAAGTTGGGGATTGTCAGATTAAATGAAATGAGATTTTTGAACTCACCAGGGGTACCGTTTCCCAAACTGCAACTCTAACGCATGGTAGATCTTACTATGAGTATCAGCATCTCTCACATGGAGTACATTTTCACCTTAGAGAACATTAATAATGTTGAATAAAAGATACACAATACCAAAACTGATAACAGGTTAAGAAGCCTTTGCTGTCTCATTTGGGACAATACCAGTTTCTCTGCCTGTTTGTCTTGTGCCCAGGTTTACAACAGGAGTCCCAAAGGCCCCAGCTTCTCTGACTCCACAGCTGCTGTTTCCGATCATGCAGCCCGCGTGGCTCACCAGCTGAATGAACTGCTCAAAAGGCACATGCTTCACGGCTCGGAAATTGGGGTGCTGTTCTATGCCCTTTTTTCTCATCACACGCACCATCTCTTTGCTCCCTGTTCAATAGAATATTGTACATTTACTTTACTACACTTTACTAAACTGCAATCTAAGTTGTGACTAACCTGCATCAATATTTGGGAACAGAACGAGTGTCTTCTTGTTAAAAGTCAGAAGGGCATCTAGCATTAAACCATATATTTTGATAGAGTGTTGAATATCTGTGGTGACTGGATGTTGTAAAGCCACAATATAATCATTCTCTTTGACATTTTCCCCTGTAACACAAGGAAAATTGTTTATTATAATGACATACTGAATTTATGTATATATATAAATACATTCAGTATAGGTGTTAAAACCTACCAAGCCAACTCTTAATGACATCTATATGATCTTCTCTGTGATGTTTTGCCAGCAGTTTATCATAAGAAGGGCATCCAGCCAATAATATGCGAGAATGGTCTTCACACATGGCTATAAGATGCTGCTCAGCTCGGCGTGTGCAACAGGCGTGATAATGAGCCAGTTTAGTGATGGCATGACGGATCGAGTCATCAATCGTACCGCTCACCTACAAGTGATATACAATCATAAATGCAGTCAAGGAAACATATTTTCAATTTTGGGGCATTCAATCTCTCAGTTTTACTCACCTCTCCTCCTTCTAAGTGAAGTATTCGAATGTTCATTAGAGCCGCAGCAGTTGCTAGGGCCAGTGCATCAAAACGATCACCATGAACAATCAAAATGTCCGGCTTTAGTCGCTGCAGAACATCTGGAAGCTTCACTAAGGCTAGACCCACACTTTCTACCATGGCTGCCTCATCCTCCCCTCTCACTATTGTGTGAAGCTTAGAGCCGATGTCAAAGTCATCTTGTTCAATCATACGAAATGTGTTCCTGTAGAAAGACAAACAAAAATTATATAATAATAATATATATATTGTGGAATTTGATAATGATTTTTAGCTTCAAAGGGAAAAAATCACATATAAAATAGTGAATCAAATAATGTATGGCCACAAAAGCAGTGTACCAAAAGACTGTCTGTAAATGTCTGTACTTGGGCGCTCAGAAAACCAAGACAATAAATTATCAGATTATACAAATTCCAACGCTGTCTTTGTGGGAAGCAAACGCTCAGCTCATTTGTACATAAATTACATTGTAATATTTGCCAAATGTAGCAAATTGTTGGTCTAAGTGTTCCATGTTTCTCTAGGCAGTGTCTGGCTTTATATCTTAACTACATGTGCCCTATTACAAAGTCTTTGCTCAGAGAGTATCCTCCTGTGGACCTGAAATATTGTATTTTGGATTTTGTGCAATGGTTGGTTCACAAGACAATTCATGATAAATCAGATCAAAATAGGTACTAGACCAGAACTAAACCCTATTTTTGTGGTCTGAATGAGCTGTGCATAAATAGACCAATAGGAGCTATTAAAACAAGACAAAATGTGTCCAAATATAAAAAAAATATTGAGAATGTTTCTATGTAGGATTGGCCTCTGCTGGTTATTCACCGGAACTGCACTCTATGGTTAAGATATTATTAATTACAGATCCATGGTAGATATGCATGGAACACACTGACCTAATTAAAAATGAAAAGGGAGGATCCATTTAATAAAATATAATTACTCTGGTGTGATCCATCAGCAAGGTAAAAAAAGAGCCAAACCATCAAGATTTCAACAAGAAAATGGAAACTCAAGATGGTGTAAATTGTGCTCTCAAAATATTAAACATGAACATAAGTAAGTGGATAATCCACATTAAAGTTTTGATCGGGAAGGCCCAATATGTTTATTTGTATAACTTGTCCTTAAAGCCACCCTGTGTAATTTTTACAATAGCTCCAAATGAAAAAACATGTTAACCAATAACAAATGTGACCTTTCTAAGAATATTTACCTCCATTATGTTTTTGAATTGTTGTCATAGTTTCAATTATAAATGTCCCTGAGAGCCGGAGAACTGTCTATGCCAATGCACCATCTTGAAATACATTGGTTGATAAGGGACAAAAAGTATGCAAGAAGTAGTAGGAACCATGGAGTACCTACAACAAACGTAAAAGAACGACCCAAACTATCGACCCAATCTTTTAGAAAAAGAATCATGCAAAAATATAGAAACCAGCGTCATAACAGCAAACTGTCAACATCGCTAACCACACGCACTGAAGGTTAAAACAACAGGAGGCACATTAGCTGCGTTCCCACCGCAGGAGTTCCTGGTAAAAGGAGCTGTTAGTATTAGATAGCAATATGGCCTACGTGCAGGACTGTACAAGGACTCTACAAGGACTCCATGTTATGACTATGATTTGACTGTCTCTTTGTGACACGTATGTCTTTCGATGTGTGACGTGACAATGACTATATAAACTGTGTACTGCCTTTATTCTGTCTGAGAGAAAGAAACAAAGTAAACCAGTGGAACTTGAGAGAAACTTAAATAAACTTCCAGAGTTTGGCACACCACGATCCGTCTCTGTCTGCTAAATCCTGACAGATTGGTGTGGAACTTCGACAGGAACTGCCCTCTCCCTCTGTCCTCTCAGTGGCTGTGTCTCCACTGCAGAGTGTGACCCCTCGGCGACATCAATTTGATTGCAGCATAAGCGAAACTCATGCCATATCCTCCTGGCTTCTGGGATCATCGTGGTTTTAAGCTCCCACAGATCTCTTCTCTACTCACCGCATTTGTAAAACTATATATTATAATAGATCCATGGTAAAGCACCTCTGGGCAGCGCGTGCTCCGGTCATTTATCAAACTAAAGGACTCTTTCCTTAGTGGTCCAGTGAATTATCGGGTGTTTGGGACCACTGTCAAACACGATATATGGTCCTCGAAGGCTTCCGTAGTGTTGGTGGTAGAGGGAGACTTGCAATATATTTTCTCACCGCTAGATGGTAGTAAAAATACAGTGTATCTTTAAAGATACATATAAAATATATGAATGTAATGTTAAATACATATGGTACCTTTAGGGCTGCCAGAAGTAACAAAAGCAACCGTTGGCAACAAAGAGCATTTTTTGAAAAAACACTGGTCTGAACTTTTATTTTGATTATGAATATCATTTTAGGTCAAAATCCATTTCCAAAGTGGTGAATTAAAAAAAAAAAAACAATTTAAAGCTTTCAACTTTATAACATGAGATTAAATACAGTCGGTTATAGTATCATGAACTGGTGGTTACTTTTTCAGGATCTTGCCGGAGCCTTTTGATTGAACTGGTCTTACCCATAGTCATCGATGAGATGCGATCCCAGCACCACCACTTCCAGATCAAAGTCCTCTGGGTGAGTTTTAATCCCAAACATGATGGGGGCCAGTTTGGAGTAGTCCGCTCGATTGCAGGTTGCCACGCACACTCTTAGCCGTTTGTGAGACTACACAGAAACATAAATGTCAGTGGGTAAAGTTTGCTCATTTATAAACACAAATGACATGTGCATTAATATAGTGTTACCAGGTGCTGAGCTTCAAATAATCCTTTCTCCATCTTTTCTCTGTTTTTTTGCATTCTTTGATAGTATAATTCCTGTTAAAATAGACATACAAAGGGATAAAACAGCTTAGTTTAACTATTATGATTTTAATCCAAAACCTTCCCGAGATTTACTCACTTGAGTTTTCCAAAAGGGCAGATGCTTAAGAGGACAATTACACTAACAATTTAAATTGCAAAGATTGTGTTTAACACTTTGGTACATGCTGTGCGCCAGAACACATGTTACTGAAGTTAAAACTGTGTGGCAAGACTTTTCCCCATGTCACTCAGAAAACAAACAGCAGTACATAGTGCAGCATCTAAATGTTTGCAGTTGTGGGGTGGAGCACATTTTGGTGGAAGAACAGAGCATAAATCATTCACTAGGATTTAGCTTCTATGTCATTTATGACTTTTCGGAATTTATTTCCTTTATGAGAGGCACAGTCTTTTATCACTTAAACACACAAGTTTAACCAGTCCAACATAATTGTCCCAGCATCCTGACTACATATCACTGTCACACTGTTGACCTTGGCAAACAAAAAAAACCTTATCTCTTTCTTAGTTTGTACAGATTATTTCCTTATCATGTGGCCAGGTTTGAAGATGGTGCTTTTAGTTAAAGATGTGTCAGAAAAAATTGAATGACTCTCATTAGACCACAGGGTGTAAAGATACTATTTCAGAGAGGCTTTATTCTTAGGCCGATTGCAGTGTTGAAAAAGTGAGTCAGTGGTCATTGATCTGATATAATACAAACATCACGGTTAGAGCCCATGGCTCAAGCTGTGGTTGAGATAAAAAGGTGATTTGCAAGTATTAGACCACTCAGCTAGATGGAAACATTTTGCACTAGTTACAACACAGAAGTCAAACACCTCGCTCTGTCTACCACCAAAATGGTATTTATTCTGCCATAATAGTGTAATAAACAAGGATGCCAGCCAGTGTATTTAACAAAACCATTTGGCTAATGAGGAATGTTGGTACACGCCTTTAAGTCACCTGTAATGGTCTAGCCAAATATGAAACATTAGTATCCATAATTCAGTAAGTGACAAGATACAAATTACATTTTTTGAAAAGGTTTTACAGTTACATTTCTCTCATGTAACTGGGGACTGCAGATAGAGACTAGCTGTGTTGCTGTAATCTGGTGAAGAACACATTTGTTTTTGAGCTTAAAGCTGGCTGTGTAATGTCCCTTTCAAATAAAGACTAAACAAACACACTAAGGACACTTCTGTTCTGTTTACTATTCTTATTAGTCAAATCCTAACAACTCATTTTCAATTGTATGCACCACCATTTGTTTTAAAAATTCCTTTTTTTCTTCTGTCTTTTGCATTTTTCTTGCAGAAAGAAAGAGCACAAGCTGGAGAACTCTCACAATATTCAGGGAGTATCATAGTATCATCAGCTCAAAGCGCACAAAGCACACCCTCATCATGACTGCTACTCCAGCCGTGTCACAAGACAGCATCAGCAGCCAGCCTTATGGCATGGGGGCAGGGATGCATGCAAAAGGATAAGGCTAGGGCAGAATGACACAAAAGACAGAAGCACTGATAAGAGGCAACAGCGCTAACAGCAGATGGCAAGGCTAAAAGATGAACAGCACATAAAGAGGTAGAAATGACTCACATGAGGGTTTCTAGACAAATTGCCTCTATGTTTTTCCATCCCACGCTTCAGACGTTTCACACACGTTGGTGTTAATGGTCAAGCTGTGTATAATGCCTTATTAGAGATTGAGCATACTAAAAGAAGACAAATCATTAAAAATGGCCGGCTCAAACCATCAGAGGAGGAAAGGAAAAGGAAAAAGCAGAGAAATGTGACAGAGCCATGAACGAGCAGGGGGAGGGGCAGCGTCCTCTCACAGACAGCCCTCGCCTTTTGATTGGCTGCAGCGAGTCAGTAATAATATCCATGCGGCATTTAACTCTTTATTCCACACTAACATTCAGAATAATGAAAGAAGTGACAGATCATTGTAGGACGAGTAAAGCGTGTGTAACTTTGTAAGTTTGTAAGTAATCATTTCTATGGGAATTTGCTCCATAATTTCTGTTTTTTTTTATTTTTTCTTTGATATTCCCAAGATTTACTCAGTTTTAAATAGCAAAGATTGTGTTTAACACTTCTGTACATGCTATGCACCGCATGACACTTAAGTTAAAAAGTGTGTGGCAAGATTTGTCCCCATGTCACTCAGAAAACAAAGAGCAGTGCCGAGTTCAGCATTGTTGTGGCGAGTTTCATATATTAGAATATATTGTACTAAAATTCACTGATACACTTGCAGACAAAGGCCGCTTGTCCTGCACAAAGAGGCCTTCACTTTCACATGACCCTCGCTGAGGCGACGGTACCGTGTACCACTCCTTTTGCTCGTTATAATGTTAAATGTTTGACAGGTGCACTATCATTCTTTTGCCCTCCCTTCTTTTACCTCGTCTTCCTGCATAACTCAACCCACCTTACCCCCAGTGTGACATGTCTTGTTCTTTGTTCTAGCTTTTTGCAGGACTATATTATCAAATGTTAGATGTGAGCAGACCAGAGAGAGACGACGCAGGCTTTGAGTGCGTCGCTTCTGTCTGACTCTGCAGACTTTTATTGTATTAGTTTATTCTCATCACCTTTTAAATAAATTGCACAAAGACAAGCAATTTTCTCTCGGATCCATTCATTGAAGTATTCAAATTTCCACTACAGCATCTACAGTGCCTTGCGAAAGTATTTGGCCCCCTTGAACCTTTCAACATTTCGCCACATTTCAGGCTTCAAACATAAAAATATAAAAATTTAATTTTTTGTCAAGAATCAACAACAAGTGGACACAATCGTGAAGTGGAACGAAATTTATTGGATAATTTAAACTTTTTTAACAAATAAAAAACTGAAAAGTGGGGCGTGCAATATTATTCGGCCCCCTTGCGCTAATACTTTGTAGCGCCACCTTTTGATGCAATTACAGCTGCAAGTCGCTTGGGGTTTGTCTCTATCCGTTTTGCACATCGAGAGACTGGAATTCTTGCCCATTCTTCCTTGCAAAACAGCTCGAGCTCAGTGAGGTTGGATGGAGAGCGTTTGTGAACAGCAGTCTTCAGCTCTTTCCACAGATTCTCGATTGGATTCAGGTCTGGACTTTGACTTGGCCATTCTAACACCTGGATACGTCTATTTGTGAACCATTCCATTGTAGATTTGGCTTTATGTTTTGGATCATTGTCCTGTTGGAAGATAAATCTCCGTCCCAGTCTCAGGTCTTTTGCAGACTCCAACAGGTTTTCTTCCAGAATGGTCCTGTATTTGGCTCCATCCAACTTCCCATCAATTTTAGCCATCTTCCCTGTCCCTGCTGAAGAAAAGCAGGCCCAAACCATGATGCTGCCACCACCATGTTTGACAGTGGGGATGGTGTGTTCAGGGTGATGAGCTGTGTTGCTTTTACGCCAAACATATCGTTTTGCATTGTGGCCAAAAAGTTTGATTTTGGTTTCATCTGACCAGAGCACCTTCTTCCACATGTTTGGTGTGTCTCCCAGGTGGCTTGTGGCAACAAGCAGTTCATCCAGAGTGATCATGGGCCTCTTGACTGCATCTCTGATCAGTCTTCTCCTTGTTTGAGATGAAAGTTTGGAGGGACGGCCGGGTCTTGGTAGATTTGCAGTGGTCTGATACTCCTTCCATTTCAATATAATTGCTTGCACAGTGCTCCTTGAGATGTTTAAAGCTTGGGAAATCTTTTTGTATCCAAATCCGGCTTTAAACTTCTCCACAACAGTATCTCGGACCTGCCTGGTGTGTTCCTTTGTCTTCATGGTTCTCTCTGCGCTTTAAACAGAACCCTGAGACTATCAAAGAGCAGGTGCATTTATACGGAGACTTGATTACACACAGGTGCATTCTATTTATCATCATCAGTCATTTAGGACAACATTGGATCATTCAAAGATCCTCACTGAACTTCTGGAGTGAGTTTGCTGCACTGAAAGTAAAGGGGCCGAATAAAATTGCACGCCCCACTTTTCAGTTTTTTGTTTGTTAAAAAAGTTTAAATTATCCAATAAATTTTGTTCCACTTCACAATTGTGTCCCATTTGTTGATTCATGACAAAAAATAATAATTTTATATCTGTATGTTTGAAGCCTGAAATGTGGCGAAATGTTGAAAGGTTCAAGGGGGCCGAATACTTTTGTAAGGCACTGTAGATGTTTGCAGTTGTGGGGTGGAGCACGTTATGACACATTAGACACAACATGTGTGGCTAATACCACACATGTTGTGTCTAATGTGAATACTGAATGATTACGAGCATTAAGAGGCATTTTGTAATATATTGTGTTGTATCATATGAAAGAATGAGAGTCTTTATAAGTCCCATCGAGGGGTAAAAATAAATACATTTCTTTCTTTCCTCAGAACAGGTTGGACAAGATATTTGTGTGTTGGCACACAATTATGGGTGTAGTCAGCTGCATTTATGGTTTAACCCCAAAAAAATTCTAACAAAAGGTTTCTGAGTGGTTTATAGTAGTATCAGATGTACTTAAAGGTCCTATATCACGCTTTTCTTCATGTTTCACACTCAATCCTATGCACATGTGTGATATTAATGTGTATGATACACCACACAACAATCAAAGCTTGTGAGATTAGAGCCATCTCTTGTATAGAGGTGACGTCACCTCGACTCAAACGAGCTGATCCAGAGAAGAGTCTGCTCCTCTGTCCGTGAGCCCGCCTCCCCCCGCCCGCACGGTGACGTAGCATCACGCTTTTGTCGTTTATCACCTGTACTTAGTAATTTCATACATAAGAATAAACTTTTTCCAGCAATGACAATCCGTCACATCGAGCCCTATGTCCTCGATGCACAATCAGACCCTAGTTATTTAGTTTACAGAAGTATACAGCGAGTTAGCGTCACTACTTACAGATCGAGGGGGTCCGTGTTACGTCTTTTATCGTGGGAATAACTTGTTTCCAGATCAGCTTTTGAGTAAGTCCAGTTCCATTGTCCCTGTAGTTCTGGAACAGTCTCAGTGAAGTGTCGCAGATGAACCGGTTTATAATAGATCCATGAGATGAACAGATGAAAAAAGTCGAGCCGCTTTCTTCCTCTTAGGGCCAAATAGTGTGTCAGATATTTACACCCATAACACACTTCATTCAAGTTGACGTGATCCTAACACTTTTAGTTGCTGACAAAAGCATAAAAACAGCAGCTCTATGTGGTGTCCGCGAGACCAGACCACAGACGCTGGACTCGGGAGCCGGAGCCTGTGCGCTCTGATTCGCTGTTTTGATCCGTCAATCACCTCCCGCCGGCTTTTAATTTATTTTTATTTTTATTATTTTTGACAAAAAACAGCATACTAATTGTGTATTGTTTACCCCGTTTTGACAAAAGTATTTAACAACTATTTTAAATACAAAGCAAACGGGGTCATGCGCGTCATCAGTGTGGTTTTTGTCACTGAAGTGGACCCGAGCGTTTCTGTGCCTCACGCTGGGGAAGGAGACAGATGGCTCTCTTACAAAAGATTGACAGAATCAATGAATAAACTACTGTGGGCATGTGTATGAAGGCCAAATAGCATTGTAATTATGTTTAAAGCAGAGAAAAGTCAAAAACCGTGATATGGGCCCTTTAAAGGTACATTGTGTAATTTCTAGTGCCTCTAGCGTTGAGATCTTATATTGCAGTCTCATATATTGAGATTTGAGTACGGGTGCCTGTAGAGTTAAGGAGACTTTTGCCTATACTGTTTGACAGTGCTCCTCAACTCTCAGTCTTTCACCAGACTGCCAAGGAAAGAATACTTTAGTTTGATAAATGAACGGATCTCTCCAAATGTCTCGGGCACTTGACTGTCGCGTGGAGGCGACATGTAAACAAGACCGCGTTCAGACAGCAGCACCCTACACAGAGGCTCTACTGAGTTTTACCATGGATCTATTATAAAATATAGTTTTACAAACGCGGTGTGAAGAGAAGAGACACATGGAGGAATAAAGTCTGTGTGAGGTTAAAACTGTGGTGATCAAAGAAGCAGGAGATATACACAGCAGCAGCAGGACATGGCAAAGCTCATGTTAGCATTAGCATTAGCCACAGCGCCCTATCTGCATCACCAGGTAAGAAAAACAGAACATTCACTCTCGCTGCTGATACATTATTCTGGCGATCGTTTTGTGGGGATTCTGTGTGTTTTATTTGATGCTTGTCCCTGAATAAGTTTAGTTGAAACTTGTGACATAGTAGTTGGACTGTGCTTGGATCGGGTCAGAACATCCTGAGACTGTGATTCAGATTCTTATTGTCAGTGTGAAAAAGTTACGTATTGTTCACGTGTGAGTCTGTTGTGTACAAAGTACATGATGTACCTCCTGTTGTTAACGCTGTCTTTGTGCGTGTGGTTTGCGATGTTGACACTTCGCTGCTATGACGCTGGACTTCTACATAATTATTTATCTAAAAGATTGTTGTTCCGATCGTTCTTTTACATAACTGTGGTCCTCTGTGGTTGTTTTATATAACTGTGGTCCTCCATGGTTCCTTCTTCCAAATTGTGAAGGCACGGTGAAATCAATATCAGTAGCTTCTGTGTTAACAAAAACGCGTTTCTCGCTTTTTTTTTTTTACTGAGACCTACTGAGTAAAGTTTGT